CGTTGTGACACTAATTGATTCACGACCAAGAATGCATATCTCTGCAACAGAAGTTGATATATCAACTCTTGTTGGATGAAAAGGTAAATGTCCTTTATAGTAGAAGTTCCTACCATGAGTGATCAATGTTTTAAAAAAAAAGATAACACTCTTGGGGCAATAACTCGAGCCAAGGAACTTAAGTCTCATCAGGCATCCAAATTCAGAGAAAACGTTAAATAAATGAGATGGTAACTCATGACATCGATCGTATCAAAGTTGCAAAGAACATTGATATACCATAGATCACTAAAGCCTAGTACATGTTGGCTATGACTTGGTAAACGTCTCAACTGCAAACACATTGTGTGACTGATTGGTTTTATGTACAAGTGGGAGACTGTTAGATACATGCCCTAGAAGTCAATATAAAATTGGAAATTCTAAGGATATAATATTGCATAACTATAATTAATAAGGTGTGAATGTTAGTTTAGGAAATTTATATGAAAACTACAAAGTAACAAGTCCTTGGATCAAGATATAAATGGAAATCAATCTAAAGAATTTAGATTCACGAAACCTTTCCATCATATCCTAAAATGTTACTGGTCATAGGATCACCAATTGGACAATGATGATCCGCAAAGACTGGTACACACTATGTCTGTTCAATTAGGAGGATGACTAGTCTCAAGTCATTCATGTAGAGACATTGCGAAAAATATGTAGGTGCTCAATAGAGATAGAGTTCACTGAACGCGATCAAACTAAGAATTCTTGTATGAAAGTTTTACTTACAAGTGTCAAACAAGTAATTCTAAGTTGTGATAATGCAAATTAGTCTTCAAACGTGAGACATCACAATTGTCTTGTGTATGAATTGTTTGTCTTTGAGAACACTATACAGTCACATCAAAAGATGTGACTTAACTGTGCTCATCGAGATACCCAGCAAGTTCAAAGAGGCATGTGCATGTATAATAAGGAATTTCTACTCTTAGTAAGAAGAAAGAATACTCTAGAGATATGATTCATTGAATCTTTGGTCAAAGTATAGGATCAATTGAAACAAAATATTTGCAATTACATCCAAGTGAACAATATAACCTAGAAATATCGTATTAGGGATTTGACATGAGTTAATCGTACCCCAACAATACAACATAGTATTGTATTAGAGAATGACTGAATTGCATTGCAATCACAAACTGACTATGTTCTCTAAATGAATTCTATTTCGTTTGGGTAACTATGACATATTGTTAGATTTCAGCCATGGTTTACGGAAACCCTATGAGGACTAATTATAATTAGACTTTGCCAATAAGGAGAATTGTATGGAGGGATACAATTCATATTTGATTTAGAAGAAATCATACTTATCCATGGCCTCGCTAATTAGAACTTAGAAGATCGCACACCGAAAAGGAGTGGATTGAGAATTAGAAAAGAAGAAAAGATTTTGTGGCTTGGTCAAAGTCAAAGTCAAAGGTCAACCATTGACCCAATACTTGACACGGTCAACAAAGGTTGATTGTGACCAATACTCGTTAGACAAGTTAGTGACTTAATTTATTAAGTCATTAAATTAATTAAACTAATTAGAATAATTTAATTTATTCAATTAAAGTTATCGAACATTAATTGAGTCTCACATTACTTAAAGAACTAAAGAAATGGATTATACGACTTTAGACACATGTGATACATTATAAGAAAAATGTGAAAGACCAAGATGACCCAAAATTAGGCTAATAAAGGGGAAGTGCGACACATGTAAATAAGTCCACATGTGTCACACAAATGAGTCTATATATTAGAAGCCATAGCACCATTTTATTTTAGGGTTTCAAGTCGGAAATTTGGAAGAGAGGAAATATCACACCTCTCTCTCAATACTCCCCTGGTTGGCCACTTGGTTGAGTGAGGGCTAGCACTCTCTTCTCTCCAAAGTTCTTGTTCTCTCATCTCAATCGTCCTTGGTGAAGAACTTTGGGGAGGTACGCATCCTTTGTACCTATTTGAAGAGTCATAGTGGAGCATCAACAAAATAAAAAAGATCAAGTACACTACTTGAACACCTTAATAGGGTTCAAGATTCGCTCCAAGGGTAACCATCTTTTATCTCTTTCTTTAAAAGTAGATTAAAGAATCAAATGTGCAATTTTTTATAAACCTAAAAAGATTTGGGACTATTAGTACTTCTATGAGTTTCTAATTTTTTATTTTGCTTCTGCTAATTTAAATAAGAGATATGTTAACACTAGATAATTCATTTTCCTCTTTAATGGTTTTTTTGAGAAATGCCCAATACATTATTTTCTTTCTGTTTCATCGCGTTTAGTGTACCTGTCCCTATAAGCACCTATACACTTATCTTAGTGTCTCTACATTCAATGACTTGAGACTAGTCATTCTTTCAATTGAGCATATATAGTGTGTTCCAGTCTTTGCGGATGATCAACGCCCAATTGATAATCCTATGACCGGGAACATTTAGGAAATGATGTGGAAGTATGGGAGGGCATTGCAGAGCTCTCATACTATTTCATATTCCAAGGACTTGTTGTTTTATTGTTATAATAATAGACCAAATATCATGATTGAAAACAACAATCTTGCCTATTAGTAATGCTTAAATATCTAGAAAGCAACATCACATGTTTGGCTTTAGGGCATATTTCTAACACTAATAACTGAAGAAAATTCCCTCGCTACGGAATTGGGATTATAAATCTATGACACTTGAGATACTTATGCTTTCCTATTCTTATTTTTTAGGATACCTAAATTTGATATTGAAGATGTACCTTCAACACTGAATGTATCATTTGATAAGTAGCTACGAAATGCATCATTGCCATTCGGTATTTAGATAATGAAATCTTCAATAAGAACTTAATAAACATGCTGACATTTCTAAACAACCAAAGTACCATGAGTTCTAATACAAACATGCAAAAAATTCTCTAAACAACTAAAGTACCACGAGTTCTAATATAAGCATGCTAACAATTCAGTTATCCATGACGACGTTGATATGTCATGGTAGACTGTATGGTTGTACCCTCTAAAATCCGTTGCAAGCTCTCAACTGCTTGATAAACGTGGCAAGTCGTGTACGCAATGCATCAGTTTGCCCTAATTCCACGATCGCCTTAGTAATGGACAACATATTCTTTATCAGGTCGAGATGATGTAGCCTCAATAGTACCTCTACGAGTATTCTTCATATCTGAAAAACAATATTAAGTATAAACTTGATATGCATTTGACATACTACCATTGAAAAACTAAAACTAATTTGGTATACTACCATTGAAAAATAGAAACAAATTCAATAGACTACCACTGAAAAACTGAAACGAATTCAATAGACTACCACGGAAAAACTGAAACGATTTCAATGGTAACCCACCAAAAGTTACAACTGTTTTCGTAAGATTAGGTTCGAACTCATACATCCATTTTCAACAAAATCACAACCATGAATACATCTATGTACTCTAAAACACATCAAATTTTTGAAGTATCACTCATAAACATAACATTACAAATCAAAATTGAAGGCTAACCTTGCGTTCTTCATGATCTAGGATTAGTGGCGTCATTCTTCACTAGAGTTGCGATGTGGAGTTCTAATCTTGGTGTTTCCAAACAAATGTGTAGCAAGAGCAATGGCCTTTTGGTGTCGTTTGCAGATTTGATGGGGTTTAGAGATGCACACATGATAGGTTTTTCAAATATTTAGGGGCCAAATGGATACACAGATGATATACCCCAAATTTTATTATTGAGTTATTTCAATCATAACTGATAGGAGGGGTGGGCATCGGAACCGAAGAACCGATCAACCAAAGCAAATCGAACCCAAAAAAATCGAAAAAAACCTTGTTGACCAAAAAGTCAAACCCAATTCAAAAAACCGAACCGAACCGTTTCTAAAGGTTCCCGTTTTGGTTCTATACCCCAACAAACCAAATAGAGCTGAACCAAATAGGCTAAATTAAAAAATATATAATTTTAATATTTATTTATATCCAGTGCTATATTTTTAATCTAATAACTAATATTTACCTAAGCTCAATTTCAAAACATCTCTCTTTTCTAGCCCCAATATTTCTTTTTGTATGAAATTGAATAATTTGTTAATTTTCAAGCCCAAAAAATAAAATTTCAGTTGAAATTTGTATAAAAAATAATAATAATAATTTGGTTCAAAATCGAATCGGTCTGGAACCAGACCGAAATTGGTTCAACTTGAACCGAATAGTTTTATATTTTTTTTTAAATAAAACTAGATCGAACCGAATAAGGTAAATAGTACCGGTTTCGATTCCAATTTGAGGCGAAAATAGGCCGTGATGGTGCCCACCCCTAACTGATGGGGTGTGAATATAAAAGTGTAAGATGAGTTAAAGTTAGTGGGGGTAATTTATGAAGAAATAATGGGTGTAGATAGTAATTTTAAATTTCACTAAAATGTTTTGGGGTATAAAGATTATGTGAGGTCAAAAGAGCAAATTGAGATATTCAAATAAAATCACTCAAAAATTAAAATTAAAGAGGGGATGCTCTAGTCAAACAAGTTTTTTTATTTATTAAGGTCAAGAAATATTTAATTTATTGAGTTCTCTATCCACGTATAAATTTTTAATTCTTAGTGTTGGCGAGATATCCTAGTCCTATTCGGATATTTCTTTCTTATTCTATTAGGATTTTATTTGTTTCCTTTTTGTATAGATATTATGTAATTAGGACTTTTCTTATTTCCTAGTATAACCCTACTAGGGTTTGTAACCTTGTATTATAAATACCTCATTTTGGAGAATGAAATACATCTGAAATATTCTACCCATATTGTTTAAATTGGCATCAGAGCCGACTTTCTGGTGACTTGTGTGTGTTGTGCCCACTCGTGTTCTACTGTGTGCCCTAATTCCTTTTAGGGTTCTTGTGCCTGTGACTGTGTTGTGTTTGTCATATCTGCTTCGTGTTGTGTTTTTTCCGCTGCTATCATGGGTGATGATTCCAAAGTCATGACGGGTGCCAGTGCGTCTACAACAAAGGAGGAACGTCCCTTGCGTGATTACTCTACCCCGATTACTTCTGACAAATTGGATGGCTCTAATTATGCCTCTTGGTCTCGTGGTGCGCGTATTACAATTACTAGTCGTCGTATGGAAAGTTGGATCAATGGGAAGAAGCCTGCTCCGTCTAAATATTCTTCCACTGCCTATGCCGAATGGGAAGAAGATAATTGTCTGGTGCAGTCATGGCTTCTCAATTCCATGACTAAGCCAGTTCGTGCTTTGTTTGAACATGGTGCTACTGCTTTTGATATATGGGAAGCCACTCGGAAGACTACTGTGACTCAGAATAGTTCTCGTATGTTTCAACTCCGCCGACAGTCCATCCTTACGTGTCATAATGGTGAATCTGTCAAAGTGTTCTATGAAAAATCCATGCTATCTGGCAGGAGATTGATTGTCTGCGTCCACATGAATATAGCTGTACCGATGATGGGGCTCGCCGTTTGAAAGAACTTGAAGCCGATCGAGTTTATGATTTTCTTGGAGGACTTGATCCACCATATGATGGTGTCCGTAGCCGTATCCTTGCTCTTAGTCTTGTCCCGCCCCCTCTTGAGGCCTATGCCATGGTCATGGAGGAAGACACCCGTCAGTCCGCTATGCTTGGAGGAGGTTCTATGGCCCTCAAAGTCGACCAGCACGTCAACGATCGGTCGCACAGCACGACGCGACCGGTCGCCCCTCATCCAGAAAATTTTCTACTTTTGCTGGGTCGCATCCTGCTGGCTCTACCCCTAGCTCTCTTAATGGTCCTTCTAAATGTCGTCATTGTAATGGGAATCACTACTCTGAGAAGTGCTTTAAGGAGCATGGTTATCCCGATTGGTTTGCTAACTACAAAGCTCGTATGTACGGTCCCAAGGCCGCCTGCACTATGACTCAAGATGAGACCCGTCCTCCGGCCCCGTCTGCAAATCTGTGTGCTTCCGATACCATGCAAGGTATGGGTTCTAATACTTGGATAATTGACACTGGTGCTTCTGATCATATGACTTATGATACCAATATGTTTGATGAGTTGTCTTGTAACCCTCGTGACCCCTATATTACTAGTGCTAATGGTTTACCTTCCCCAGTTACCGGTGAAGGTACCATCCACCTCACTCCTTCGCCAGAAGAATGTAACAGTGATATTGGCTGTGAAGATGAGATTGATATAAGGCCCCCATCTGCCCTGCCATTGTCCCAATCAACTCGTGATGATGATGAGGTACTCTCTAATGATGTATCTATTTATCCCTTACCCCCACACACTACTCGTGGTAAACCTAAAGTGCAATATTCCCCTGATATACATGCCAAATCTAAATATCTCATTAATCATTACGTGTCAACTCATCGGCTGTCTAAGTCATATGCATCATATTTGTGTCAATTATCTAGTGTATGTGTGCCAACTAAGTTGCAGGATGCTCTATCAAATCCAAAATTGGTAGATGCAATGCATGTTGAGATAGAAGCCTTAAATAAGAATGCCACTTGGGAGCTAGTCCCTTTACCAAAAGTTAAAAAGACAGTTGGGTGCAGATGGGTGTTTACTCTGAAGCACAAGGCTGATGGTTCCATTGACCGTTACAAGGCAAGGTTGGTAGCGAAAGGTTATACTCAGACCTATGGAGTGGATTACACGGAGACCTTTGCTCCAGTAGCAAAGCTCAATACTGTACGCGTACTTTTGTCCTTGGCTGCTAATCATGATTGGCCTCTGTTACAATTTGATGCCAAAAATGCATTCCTTCATGGTGACCTCAAGGAAGAAATATACATGGACCCTCCGCCAGGTATCCCTGTAACCTCTAAGAAGGGTATGGTGTGCAAACTACAGAAATCCTTATATGGATTAAAGCAGTCTCCAAGAGCTTGGTTTGGGAGGTTTGCTGCATTTATGAGGAAGTCTGGGTATGTACAAAGTAATTCGGATCATACTTTGTTTCTAAAGCGTCGAAAAGGTAAATTGACAGCTTTAATAATTTATGTTGATGATATGATTGTAACTGGAGATGATCAGACAGAAATACAGAGTCTCCAGAAATATCTGGCATCTGAATTTGAGATGAAATCATTAGGTGACTTAAAGTACTTTCTCGGGATTGAAGTGGCCAGATCTAAGCATGGTATTTTCTTGTCCCAAAGGAAGTATGTTTTGGATTTACTTACAGAAACTGGAATGTTGGATTGTAAACCAATTGATACTCCTAGTGAACAGAATCACAAGTTGGGGTTATATCCTGATCAAGTTCCTATTGATAAGGAGCGCTATCAACGGCTTGTGGGGAAATTAATTTATTTAGCTCATACACGTCCTGACAATGCGTATGCAGTAAGTGTGGTGAGTCAGTTTATGCACGCACCTAGTGAAGATCATATGGCAGCTGTGACGCGTATTTTGAGATATCTCAAAGTAACTCCTAGCAAAGGGTTAATGTTTTCCAAGTATGGTCATACATATGTGGAAGGATACACCAATGCTGATTGGGCAGGTTCGGCTACTGATAGACGTTCTACGTCTGGGTATTTTACGTTTGTTGGTGGTAATCTTGTTACTTGGAGAAGCAAGAAACAAAAGGTGGTGTCTCGATCTAGTGCTGAGGCCGAGTATCGTGGAATGGCCCATGGTGTATGTGAGTTACTGTGGTTGAGGAGATTATTGAGAGATCTTGGCTTTGGGCCTAAGAAACCTATGGATTTATATTGCGATAATAAGGCTGCGATTGCAATTGCTCATAACCCTGTACAACATGATCGTACAAAGCATGTGGAGGTTGATCGAAATTTCATTAAAGAAAAGTTGGATGCGGAGATTGTTTCCTTCCCATTCATCAGTTCTGAGTATCAGTTAGCAGATGTCCTTACGAAGGCTGTTTCTACTAGTATCTTCCACAACTCGCTTGACAAGTTGGGCATGCGTGACGTCTTTGCTCCAACTTGAGGGGGAGTGTTGGCGAGATATCCTAGTCCTATTAGGATATTTCTTTCTTATTCTATTAGGATTTTATTTGTTTCCTTTTTGTATAGATATTATGTAATTAGGACTTTTCTTATTTCCTAGTATAACCCTACTAGGGTTTGTAACCTTGTATTATAAAGGCTTAATTATGTACATGCCCCCTGTGCTTTCCAACTTATCTCATATTACCACCTGTGGTGGAAAACGTCTCAAAATACCCCCCAACGTGCAAAAAACTGTCTCACGTTACCCTTTCCGTCAGTTTTTTTGAAGTTCCGTTACGAACGTTACTGTTCATCTCCCCCAAAATTCCAGAACAGCAGCTCCTCCCATTTGTTACTGTTCATCGCACCAGTTTTTGGGCTGCCATCGCCTCCTCCGGCCACCCCAAGCGACGACATGGATATCAAAAGAACCAGCACGTTGTCCTCTACCACCCTCACATCTCAGCCGCTGCCAACCGTCGTCTGGATCACCGAAAAAAGCAAGAAATTGGCCGGTTTTTACCCAAAATCTCCATTGCTCGTTCGGGCGATTTCGAGCACCATTTTCTTCGATCCAGGTATGATTTTTCAACCTCTCGAGTTGTTCTTGCTGCTAGTTGTGTTGGTTAGGAGAAATTTCTGAGTTTTGGAGGGTAAATAAGCGATGAACAGTAACAAAGGGGAGGGGCTACTGTTCTGGAATTTTGGGGGAGATGAACAGTAACATTCGTAACGGAACTTCAAAAAAACTGACGGAAAGGGTAACATGAGACAGTTTTTTGCACGTTGGGGGGTACTTTGAGACGTTTTCCACCACAGATGGTAATCTGAGATAAGTTGAAAAGCACAGGGGGCATGTACATAATTAAGCCTATTATAAATACCTCCTTTCGGAGAATGAAATACATCTGAAATATTCTACCCATATTGTTTAACTCTTAGTACTAAAAGAAGTCATTATATGTTCATTAAAAAATAGTTAGAGTCGCCTATAAAGTCTCCCTTTCAAAATTTATTAAGTCAATTGTTACATATTCAACCTTTGATTTTTGGGATCCAAACAACAAGAGATCATATGAGAAAGTGATATGAATGGCATAAGTATAAGTTTATGCCTTATGTATTGGTGCGCTGTCACATTGTTACATTTTTTTTAGTTGGTCACAAACTACGATGTTACTTGAATGTTTGAAACTTTGAAACCCAAAAAAAAATATATATTATAAAATGTTGCATGCTTATATATATAAGTTAGTTGGGTTGGCTTATAGATTTAATCTCATCCAAGTAATTCCCTAATATATTATCTTTGAATTATGCATATGATTATTCGGTTTTGAATATAATTGATAGAGTGTTTTGGGAGGTAGAAAGAAAATATATATTAAGTATATGTTAAGTGTTTATTAGGGGGAGTTTCAACTGAGAGACATCTTTTAAATAAGTTTATCTATATATATAAAGCAAAAGGTAGATAATGGTGAAACATTCAAAATACTAGAAAATGCCATTGGTTAATTCAAACATTAAGAATTGAAATTATTACTTAAATGAAGATAATATGATAAATTCACATTTTTCATATTAAAACAAAATAAGATAATAGGTCTTACTTTTATGGAACATAACTACCTATTTTATCTTTTCTTAATTCTAAAATAAAATAAAAAAGAAAAAAGAAAACCAATTGGCACATGCTCACACATGTGCCAAGGGGCTAGTTCAATGTATAGAAAATTAAGAACTAGAATAGTTTCAAAACTTGCCAACTCTAGTTCCAGTGGATAGGGGTCTTGGCTTGGAAACCAGTAATCTCAAGTTTGGACCCCAATGATACCTTGATAGCGTGTGAGTGAGAAATCCCGCTCCCTATATAGTTTAGACTACTGCTTGTATTATATATAATAATAAAAAGTTTCGATACCCATATATTAATAAATGCAAAAAAATAAAATAAATATATAAGAATAATTCCGATACCATCCTAACCTATGTTAATCAAAGAAGAATGAAAAAAAAAAAAAAAAAAAAAAAAAAATATTATTTGAGGCCAATTAGTTATGTATAATCTTCAATGAAAATTTTAGACAAATCAGTCCAATTGTATACAAAATGTGCTTTTTGCACCGCAATTATCAATTTTGTTATTAAAGATGAACATGGTCAACAAAACACAAAGTCAACCCACCAATCAAATTACATGGCACGTCATTACATGAGGATGGGTTGCCCTGCGTTTTTGCATTCTGCATGCAGTAGGAATGCATGAATAAGAATACAACAATGGAATAAATGAGGGAGTTTTACTATTATGCTCAATATAGGGGTCCAAATTATAAAAATATCTAACATGAAATGGACTTTAAAAACACATTCAAAGCCTATTTACAATATAACAACGAGACTTTTAACTTCTTATAATTTACAAAACTACCATCAATTTCTTAAAACAAGCCCAACTCCAAAATCTCATATAAAAAATCCAAAACACTCAATAGGGTATCAAAGTAATTTAATAATTAAAATTAAATTAAATAGAGCCAACAGTTATTTTTTGGGTTTGTTTATAGAAATTAAATGGTGTATGATTTATTTATATTTTTTGTGCTAATAATGAGTATAATGAGTATATGACTAAATATCTCAATAAATTAAGCTTAATTCGACAAGCAAGTCAAAATCAACTCTCACGCTCTGTTTCTTTATCTTTGAACAAGAAAAAAACAGAGTGGCTAATTATTTCCCACTGATCATATCCACTGCAAATTAAGATGAATTCTTTCACCTTAATTAAATTATATTTTTTAGAGAGCATATCCCGTATTTTAAAGTTCTTATCGTATTCTTATATATATATTTTTAATTAAAAAAATTCTAAAAATTGCCCTAGCCCCCTATTTCTCCCTAACAATACATAAAAACAGTAAAATAGATAAGTAAAGTAGATTAAAAATGATAATGAAATTTGTACAAGACAAATATATATATATATATATATATACACACACAGTGAGTTTAGCTTTAGTTGAGGGATATCTCAAATAAACTTATTTGATAGACAATCTTGTAGAGCCCACCATACATTGTATTTCATTAATCTAAACTGTCTATTTTGTATATATTAATTCGATGATCATCTCTGCAAAAAATACTTGAATTCGATATCATTTGACCACTCAATTAAATGATTGAAATGTGAGTACTTTCTTGAAGCACCATGTTCATTAATTTTGTAAAACACAATTAGATATCTAAATGGTTTCCAATTTGTCTAATTTTTTGTAAGAATGATCTATGAATGAAGACCTAAAACATAAATAGTTTGGATCATTGGAAAAATAAAAAAATAAAAATTGTAGAGTACCCTAAAGAGTGTCCCACAATAGAAAATGACTATATATATAAATTAAATAATATATTCTTTTAAAATGGGGATGTGAGATTCTAATTAAATTCTTTCAAACATTGAGAAAGAAGTAACACTAAGCTTAAAAAAAGTTTGTGATGGTGATGCCAATGAAATTTTTTACTTGAATACAAGGGGGAGTAATACGTGTGCTAGCTGCAGGTACTTGGAAGTTTACTAAGGACACTCATTAATTATATAATTTATATCTATATATATGGCCACTCTCCATCATCATCCATGAGGGTCTCAACTGAGACATATCTTCCTCTGCTCTGAATATCCATTAGGGTCTTCTCCACTGCGACTTCAAGAAGGTATTTCTCTATCTATTAAGGGGATGAATATATATATATATATATATATATATATATTGCATATGATATAACACACCGATGCTAGAAGTTGTAACTGCTTATTAGTTATAGCCATATAATGTAGGCATATTTTTCACTTGTTTTTAATTGAACTACTTTTGCCGTTGATATTTAAAGATGGAAAATACTTGCCTCCTTTCCTGAAAGTAGGAACTCCTACTTTCATACCAATCACAGTTTGTCATGTGTGTAGAGATTTCTTGTGTTTTTTGCATACTTATCAAACTGTGTTTTGCAAGAAGTAGGAGTGCCTCCTTCTGTGGAAGCAGCAGTTTCTTCTTTTGATGTGTAAAGATATTGATGCTCTATTTTCTTCTTCTCTTCTGTTTAATTGGGTACATATGAAGAGTGTAATGGAGATTACCGGTAGGGAGTGAATGTGGAATATGCCATGTAACTACCATATTATGATTAATTTCCAAGGTTGTTATTAAGATTTTCTGATTGTGTAAATTATTAAGGGGGTAGAGTGGGCATTTTCTATTACTTAATAGTAATACATATAGAAGGCAACCTTAAAATAACATGGAATGATTCTCCTTGCCTATATCAACCGGTTACCGATCTATAGTACTTTGTATGATGCAAGTGATGTTATGAAAATAGTTAATAACATTTATCCGTGCACTCAAGGACCAATCTTATCGGACTTGATATTTATATTTTGTCCATATTTAATATAGCACACGCCAAGCACTCCGTCAAGAAATATTTGTTCAGACATGTCTACTTTATCATGGCTACCGGCCACTTCATAATTTTTTTTATTTTTTTTAAGAAGGAAAATTGATATATTGTTTTTCTTCTTACTTTTGCTAACAAATATGTTTCTTTTTGCAAGGTACACACTTTCTGCAATTGCTAAGAGTACTGGAAATCAATTAGCAATATTTATAAGATTCATCCATGGCTAGAGATCAACAAGCGGTAGTGCTTAATGCACTTGATGTTGCCAAGACCCAGTGGTACCATTTCACAGCAATTGTCATTGCTGGAATGGGATTTTTCACAGATGCCTATGATATCTTCTCCATCTCCTTCATCACCAAACTCCTTGGTCGCGTATACTACACTGAGCAAGGTGCAGAAAAGCCCGGCACATTGCCTCCCAATGTATCTGCAGCCGTTAGCAGCGTTGCCCGGACAACTCTGCTTTGGATGGCTTGGTGATAAATTAGGCCGAAAGAAAGTTTATGGTATAACTCTCATGCTAATGGTGATCAGCTCCATTGCCTCAGGGCTCTCTTTTGGATCCACACCAAATGGTGCGATGGCAACGCTTTGTTTCTTTCAATTTTGGCTTGGTTTCGGCATTGGCGGTGACTATCCCCTTTCAGCTACAATCATGTCTGAGTATGCTAACAAAAAGACTCGTGGGGCTTTCATAGCGGCTGTTTTTGCCATGCAAGGATTTGGAATTTTGACGGCTGGGATTGTTTCTATAATTGTTTCAAGCGCATTTGATCATGCATACAAGGCTCCTCCTTACTCAGTTGATCCAAAAGCTTCTCTTGTTCCTCAAGCTGATTACGTTTGGCGCATCATTTTGATGTTTGGAGCCCTCCCTGCTGCTCTTGCTACTGGCGAAGTAAAATGCCTGAGACAGCTCGGTACACTGCCCTTGTTGAAAACAATGCAAAACAGGCAGCAGTAGACATGTCTAAAGAGGGCAACGTCGAGGAGAAAGTGATCGAGTGACAACATCCAGACAAAGCATCGTTTGGCTTGTTCACCAAGGAATTTGCACATCGGCACGGACTTCACTTGCTTGGTACCACCACTACTTGGTTCTTACTTGACATTGCCTACTACAGCCAAAATCTTTTCCAAAAGGATATATTCAGTGCAATTGGGTGGATTCCAGCAGCAGAAACCATGAATTCCATTGAAGAGCTCTATACAATTGCAAGGGCACAAACACTTATAGCGTTGTGCAGTCTTGTTCCGGGTTACCGGTTCACAGTGGCATTCATCGATCGTATTGGAAGGTTTCCAATCCAATTAATGGGTTTCTTTTTCATGACAGTATTCATGTTTGCCCTTGCAATTCCTTACCATCATTGGACATTGAAGCCTAACAGAATTGGGTTTGTGGTATTGTACTCACTCACATTTTTCTTCTCCAATTTTGGACCCAATGCCACCACCTTTGTTGTGCCAGCAGAAATCTTCCCTGCAAGGCTGAGGTCTACTTGTCATGGAATATCAGCGGCTGCAGGTAAGGCTGGAGCTATAGTAGGTGGCTTCGGGTTCTCATACACTGCACAAAGCACAAACCTGGCAAAAACGGACCCTGGATACCCACCAGGTATTGGTATGAAGAATTCTCTAATTATGCTTGGCACCATCAACTTCTTCGGCATGTTGTTTACTCTGTTATTGCCTGAATCAAAGGGAAAAACACTGGAGGAGTTGAGTGGTGAGAATGAGGAGTGAGACATGATAATGTAATTGAGTGCAATTTTAGAATGTTTAAAATTGGAAGGTTCAAATAAAGCTTTGCACAAGTTCAAATGTTGGTTTATAGGCTTAAGTATCTAGATTGTTGTATAAGAGTTAAATAGCTTACGCTTGTTTGTTGCTAAAGTCCATATCTATTGTACTACAGCTTTGTATTTATACTGGGAATAAATCATCAGACTTTCACATCTATTTTTTTCACATGGTATCAAAAGCCACACAGCTGATCCTTTACTGTTAACCTATTTTTCTTTCCTCAATAATCATGGGGTGATGCAAAAAGAAAGTCTTATGTGCAGGATAATTGAGCAAAGATTTTTTGCCTATCTAAATAGTTTTTTGCTACTTCTTTATCATCCCAGATCATTGATCAAAAGCTCCCAAGCTTAGAAGACCATTCTGATTTGTATAGCACTCGCATGAACACATGGTTCAGAGTTAATTCTAAAGGGATATGCTGATCACTAGAAAACCAAAACGTTCAAAAGATGAAATATTCAAAAATTGCTAACAAATTCTCAACTTGCTCACAATCACTTAGCAGCATACACATAATGAACAATGTACAAAGGTACTGTACACCCTCATTCAGTAGAAATTCCAGAGTGGATATATCATCACACTAATGTTTCGATGGAACAACACAAATAAATTATAGAAAACACCAAAATAGCTTCTTTTTTAACCTCTCGTTAGGAATGCCACAATGAATCTTCCAACATCCACAACTATAGTCTTGATACTAACCATTAATAAATTCCTCTAAAAATATTGAACCTGCCTTCCTTGGCTTTGATTCATGCTCGAGCATATACGTGCAAACTCGATTTCATTAGAGCCATAAAAAAAGTTTCATGCTAACCTTCTGATACATAAAAGCAAGGTTTTGCAACTTCTAATATTTCATACTAAATCTACACGTTTGAAGAGTTAGAAGAGAACAACAAATCAATTGAAAATTTTCAAGAAATATTGAAAACTAATTATGTACCAAATATAAAGAAATGTGATCTGCATCATTTTGAAAGTATGATGAATATGCTCTTGAGTCCTGAGTCTAGAAATGATAGTAGTGAATCCTGAGTCTAGAACTGATAATAGTGAGTCCTGAGTCTAATAAATAATAATAGTGAGTCCTCTCCTGATTGTGTGTGTGTGTGTGTGTGTGTGTGTGTGTGTGTGTGTGAGAGAGAGAGAGATGATAGTAGTGAATCCTGAGTCTAGAACTGATAATAGTGAGTCCTGAGTCTAATAAATAATAATAGTGAGTCCTCTCCTGATTGTGTGTGTGTGTGTGTGTGTGTGAGAGAGAGAGAGAGAGAGAGAGAGAGAGAGAGAGAGAGAGTATGCCTGTGAGGAAGTAGCAACAAGACTTTAACTTACAGTAGACTTTGCATACAAAGTACCCCAATGCTTCCAATTTGTGGCTTATGTATCATATGTATCAAGTATACAAATTAGCTATTACGCTGAAAGAAAGACCACTGTGGGGACTAGCTCATCAACAAAGCTTCCAATATGCATACGCAAATGACTTAAATTATCTAATGGTGCTGGCATGGATTATTCTCGAACAACAGCCTACAATATATATATATATATGTATATATATATTTTGGACAGACAAAGCCTGCAATATTATAAATCAGGTTTCTCACTTTATTTTCATTTTTTTCAACAAAACTTAGCATAAATATGGACTTTCATCTGAGTCAGTGAGAACATTACCAGCAATGTCATCATTCAAGTTTGAAACAATTCTGACGTGAAATAAATTGGCTAAACCTAACAGTTATATACAACAAAGTAATGAAAAATTGGTTCAAATTTAAAAAAATATAGTTTTTGCAAAAAATAAAAAAGCATAAACAAAAATTTCAGCCTGAAAGGTCCGGGTTCCCTTTACCTTAATGATCTCTTCATACAGAATAAGAACTTCAACTCTGCCTGCGTAAACTGGAAGGGACCCCAAATGTTTATCAAGGTCATCTTGCAGACAAATCTCAGCTTCTTCTAAACATTCTAATTTTATCACATTTGGGTGATTGATCAAATTATTAAATCATTGCAAATGTCTTGCAATGTGAACAAAATTTCCAGTTTATAAGTGTGTCTTCAAGTCTCTCACCTGTGCTGTTAAGCATATCAATCAATTCAAAGGACTCCAAAGACAAGCTTTCAATTGTGATATTTTATTTTATCCCATCAACATCTTGAAGAGGCAATTCCTCAATGTATTTGCAAAAAGATCTCCAAGTGTTTGAGGTTATAGCAAGAAGTGGAGGGCTGCTTTAAGAGTTGTAAATTTCATGTCTACCACTACAGACCTCAAAGATCCACAAACTCAGCCCCTCAAAACATGTGGATGCATTCGCGTTGGAAAATCTAGCAAAATTCAACAGCGGAAGAGTTGATAGATAAAGTTCTCTGCATCTTTTAGACACCCTGCTAAAACCGGTAAGCTTACCCGTAACTGCAAATGCTCATCACATTCTTTCCTGCCATACTATCACATCACACACCGGTGAAAGTAAGGTAGGAAAGAATGTGACGAGCAAATCAGTCTAGAAGATTGCTAACTTTGTCTAAACTCCTTCACCTTCACAAGCACTAGCCTAGCCACAACCCTACGCCAATTACATCCATTTTTTACAGTGAAAGACAAGAACTTTGGACACATACCATTCAATTCCATGTACCCAAGAGACTTGGAGCTTGTATGTGCGAGTGAACAAGTACCAGTCATCTTCTTTGGTCCTGCAGATTTTGGAATTTGACGCGTTTCCAGGTTCCCCGCCCAAGCAGAACGCAGAGAACCACCTAATTTTGTTAATTTGGGGGTCTCCTATGCTTGGTGTTTGTTTGAGAGTTGCGTTTGATATGATTGGAAAATGGGAATCACTCTATTGCTAATGGGCTTCGTTCTTTTTCTGCATATTTGGCTGGCTTTATAAAATTTTCTATTTATATAACAAAAGCCCAATAAAGCCTTTTCTTTTTATTTTTTGTTGAAAGTGACTTTTGATCTCTGCTGTTTGTCGGATTTTCACTTTTATCTCTGTATTTTCAATTCTGGCAATTTAACCTATATAGTTTGATATCCTTCGCAAATTAAGGGCATGTCCAAATTTCCGTCAAATTTCATCACAAAGTATGTAGCGATGATATAGAGGGGTATGTATCGATGATATAGAGGGGTATTGTGGATGGAATTTTTGAGAGAATTAAGACGAATTTGACAAAATTTGTAATGCGTTTTTGAATTGCCAGGGACTATGAAAATAAATACTAATAGAGAGTTAGTTGAATTAACCATGCCTTTAGTGTGCTTCCAAATGATCATAACTCATGGATTCAAGCTCACATGATAAACCTTAAGTGAGTATTCCCATTCACTTCCTAACTTTGGAAATTTTTTAAATTATAAAAATAAATAAAATTACAGAGACCAACATGATAAAATTGGTAAAATATAGGAGAACCACAACTGACTTGCCGGGGCATGTGGGTTGTATTAGTTAGTCAGGTAAGGAGAGTATTAAAAGCCCAAATTATTTAAAATAATCAAGTAATTAAAATAATATAAATTGACACCAAACAACTGATATGAACTATTTATTTCTATCCAGAGTATAATTCGGGATACCAAACGAGCCTTTTACGTTTTTATTATTTTTTTTGCCGGCTTTTGCCCTTCTCGTTCTTTATTGGTACGCTCTGCACTTATTTACCGTAAAATCCAATTCTCATCAGAATATCGGGATCCCTAATTTCCTCTCCATCACGCCTGCCGCCTCTGTTCTTCTCTCTCTCTCTCTCTCTCTCTCTCTCTCTCTCTCTCTGCTCTTTCTCTCATCTGATCAGATTTTACTGGTTCTTTTCGTTGTATGTGTTTGCTGGGTACTTTGATGTTTGGTATATATGCCTCAACCTTTTGTTGTGAGTGGATGGACTTATGTCAATGAACTCGGACAAATGTGCGGTCCGTACATTCAAGAGCAATTATATGAGGGTTTATCAACTGGGTTCTTGCCCGATGAGCTTCCTGTGTACCCTTTGGTCAATGGCTCATTGATCAACCCAGTTCCATTGAAGTACTTCAAGCAGTTCCCTGATCATGTTGCTACTGGGTTTGCATATCTCTCTTTGGGCATCTCAACCACAGCAACCACAGCCACAAATTCTTTCAACTCACCTCATGGAGGGGATTTGCCTATGTGTAGCAAACCTGCACCTGCACCGGCTCCTGTTTATCCTGATCCCCAGTTCAATTCCACTTTTCATGCCAAGAACTACAGCAGTGTTAATCTTTCCAATCAGCCCATGCCAATGGTATTCATACTTATACTTTTCTGGTTGAGCATCTGTATTACACTGTAATCATATGTAGTTTTCTAGATACTGTCTGATTATTGTTTTCTTGTTTTGTTTGTTTCTCTATGTATGTATACCAGCCTAATGAAGAGTCTTGTTGGTTGTATGCCGATGGTGAAGGACAGAAACACGGCCCGCATTCTCTCTTTGAATTATATTCGTGGCATCGGTACGGATATCTTCAGGATTCAGTAATGGTAAGATTTGAGATCATCTTGTGATGATGGTGGTTGGATATGTAAATTCTTATAAATAAAAAAAATCCAATTGGCATTTTAGTATGATATCACATCTTTCAAGAATTGAGCTTGCTGGTTTAGAATGGATTCTACCGTTTGTACATCATAATCAAAATTATTCCCATTATATGGTCGTTTAATTAAAACAAGTCAACTCAGATCTGGGACACACATAGACTTTGTAAGCATCGAACTGATAAAAATAAGACATGAAACCTGAACAATGAGTGTGGTGCTTACTCGGAATTGTGATATTCGGTGTTAATCACCTTTTGTTGGAGGTGGACTCTCCTGACATTTTGCATTTTCTGTAAAGCTCACTTTAAATCATTGGCTTATTGCGTGTATACTGCATTTTATCTTGTTACCTTTTTGAGAGATTTGGGTCCAATCCACTACAATGTGTTTGAAGATTACTTAGTGGCGTGCTGGAAGGTTATGTGTCTAGAAGCATGGAGGATCTTTATTGAATTTGCTAGGTCTTTTATGTTTAATGTTGCATGGATTCGCTACTCTCTGCTGTCGCTGATACTTATGATGCTTCTGATTCTGCTATTAACTTTTTTTTTCTCACAGATATATCACGTCGAGAATAAGTGTACGCCGTTCACACTATTATCTGTTGTAAATGCATGGAAAACTGATGGACCTGAAACCGTCACCAACTCTGATGCCAAAAGCAATGGGACTTCCTCTTTGGTAAGCTTTATAGCTGAAATTTCCGAGGGAGTTTCTGGTGAACTCCACCATGGGATTCTGAAAGCAGCTCGTAGAGTTGTATTTGATGAGATTATCAGCAATGTAATTAACGAGTTTTTTACCACAAAAAAAGCTCAACGACTTAATCAGACTGTGAAGACTTGCTCGTCAGATAGCAAAACGGTAATGTATACAACTCCCAGAGTAGACTATTAATTATGTTACTTTTAAAGCCTCTTTAGGAGTGCTTCCGAATGAAGTTGTTTCTTTTGATAGCACTTTGTTGTTATGACTGTTGCTTAGTAGCACATAATTTCATTAAAAACCTACGTGCTGCCTTCAAATTCACCTGGAAACACTTCTTTGATCCTAAAACCACCTTTTGTTTATTTTACCGAACACTACAGAATTTGCTTTTGGTTCTGTGAAAGTGCTTTAGGCCTGCCAAAAGTACTCAGAAACACATTTTCTTTGCTTTGTGAGATAAATTATATATAAATATTTTTGTTTCAACAGTCTGAAATTTCTGGAGATTTGAAGGGCTGTGCTGCTCCTTTGTGCGAAGCTGCAGCTTCCTACTATGTTGCTGATGAGACATGTATAAATGAAGATTCCACAGAACCTCCACCAAGCACTAAATCTGTTGGAAGCATTGAAAACTTTTGGGGGTCATATGCAGCTGTTTGTAGAATGCTTTTTGATTATTGCATGCAAGTCATGTGGAATGCTGTCTTCTATGATTCAGTGGCAGAGTATTCCTCTTCTTGGAGGAGGAGGAAACTTTGGTCTGGTTCTCCAGTGTTGAGGACACCTCCTAGTGAAAGTGGTGATTATGCTGTGAAGATTGATAAATTACCTCATGAAACTGTACGTCTTTAACATGCTTTAGTTTCTTATTAAGATGTTATGTTACATTTTGTAATGTTCCATTTGGTCATGCAGTTACCACCCTGGGAAAAAAATGATGCTTGTGATGATGATCGCCCACCTGGTTTTGAACTATTGGAAAAGGAATTAGTTGATCCTGCACAGCCATCAAGCATCACGTCATTAGTTCTTGTGGAAGGAAAGTCATCTAAACAGATAAGCCCCTCATATGAAGACATGAGATGCATCGTAGAATATGTAGAAACAGAGCTCCAGTTGTCTGCAAAGAATGCTATGACTGAGTATGTTGGATCTTTTCTGGATTCGGAAGTCAGGAAACTAGTTAATTTGTCTAAAGGAGAAAATTTAATGAAGGTGATCTGGAGAATTGATTTCTCCCCCCTCCTTTTTTTTCTCTGTAACATTAAACTGATAGTGGACAATTAGTAATTCATGTCTGCACTAGCTCATCTTGTATCCTATTTATGATCATTCCGTATGTTGGAGTAACATGGTTGTTGCTGCAGGCTAATGTCGATTCTGCTGTTCAGTGTCCCCAAAGGAGCACTGATGGATCTTCAGAAACATGTGATGAATTGGGGATTTCAAGTAAAATGTCTGCAGAAATGATTATGTCTAATGTATCCCCCGAAACTGCATCACAAGTAGCAAAACCTTTTGATCGTTCTGTACGTGAAAATCGGATGTCTAATTTGTTGGAAAATGCTTTTAAGGAATTATGTTCAGATGTAGATGATATGGTTGTCGACCAAGAAATAAATGAGCCATTACCCCCTGGTCTCGTAGACAAAGCTAAAGCTGTTATTTCATCACAAACTTGCAAATTCCGACCTTCAAGGTCAGATGAATGTATTCCTAAGATTGGAGAATATATTGCTACAGCAATGTGCCGGAAGAAACTTCATGATTCTGTCATTAATGAATGGAAATCATCATTTATTGATTGTGTTCTTCATCAGTTTCTTGCATCATGGCGTACTTCAAAGAAGACCCATGCTCATAAGGTATGGTGCTTGTCCCCCCCCCCCCCCCCCCCCCCCCTCCTCTCTCTCTCTCTCTCTCTCTCTCTCGATTTAGGATAACTAGAGTTCCCTGACATTTCAGTTGATATTCACTTCTTTTTTCTTCCAGGAAAGAGCATGCAAGACAAATAAAAACCATAAACTTGAGGAAGAATCAAAGCATTGTGACAACTCTGGCACTGCAAAGGTTTCTCCAATCATTGGTAAATATACATATCACCGAAAGAAGTTGTTTCTGAAAAAGTCAGGATCTTCTCGGTCTGTAACCTTAGATGGCAAAGAGTTAGAGAATGAAATAGTGGAAAAGTCTAAGAATCTACATGTTTCTGGAGATATGCCCGAGACCACAGAATTCAAAAATGCTACTGTGATTCCTAAGAAGAAAAGAGGACAAAGCAAATCCCAAACCGAATTATCTGTTGGCGCCACGTCTTTGCAAGCCATTGCTAAAGGGTGTGCATCCACAGATAAGAAAGAAGCTAAGAGTTCTAGTAGTCGGAAACTATTGAAGGTTTCCCATGCAGTTAAAAGTATGCCAATTCCCACATTGATTGATATAGTTTCCTTTTCCTTTTCTTTTTCTTTTTTGCTTCAATCTTGTATTCTGCCTGTGCACTTGGTTTGTCACTCAGAATGGAATGCATCTAATGATAGGGGGTATGGACTGTTTTATCCAGGTAGTGAGCCCATGGAATGCACTCCTAAACCTAGTAAAAAGATGGCTTTGGCTCATGGAGCCAACCACCGCGATGTTCAGAAAGTTGTAAATAGCAATGGTCCTGATTTTGGGCTTAAACGAGAGCCTTGTAAGTATACTTTTCATTCATTCACTCATGCATTAAGTTTTTCTTTAAATATTATTTTGTAATTTGACACTTCATTCTGTTGTTTCATTTTCGGTATTTTGCTGTTCTTCATACAGCAACTAAGGCATCAAAGCTGAAAAGGGAGTGTGTAATGGATGATTTGAAATTGGCACGTCCCAAGAAGGTCCTGAAAGTAACCAGTGGGACTCCTAAGCAAGCAGCATGTAAGCCAATTCCAGTAAGAAAGATGCAGTCCAGCAAATCCAGGAAACTAAATCCTTGCCCTAAATCTTGTGGATGTGCCCGGGTCTCAATTAATGGCTGGGAATGGCATAGATGGTCACTAAATGCAAGTCCTGTTGAAAGAGCCCGTGTTAGGGGAGTTAAATATGTTAATGCTGAGCATCGAGGTTCTGATATTAATACATCACAGTTGTCAAATGGAAAGGGTCTTTCTGCAAGAACTAATAGGGTGAAGATGCGGAATCTCGCCGCTGCTGCTGAGGGTGCTGACCTTATGAAAGCTACTCAATTAAAGGTGATTTTTGAATAAAATCTTGTCTGCGAATATATTTAAATTCCCTTTTGAACATTACATTGATATACTATTACATGGTAGGCAAGGAAAAAGCTTCTACGCTTCCAGCGGAGCAAGATACATGATTGGGGTCTTGTTGCATTGGAGCCAATTGAGGCAGAAGACTTTGTTATTGAATATGTTGGAGAACTGATTCGTCCCCGGGTATGTTTTACTATACTCTTGTTGCTTTATCACTCAAATAATTGTGTGGTTGTGTGTGCATGTGTTTGTTTTGTTTTGTTTTGTTTTGTTTTTTTGGTTGGGGAGGAAGTGCCTCTTTCTTTTTCTTTTCATTACTTAGTATTCTGACTTTGCAGATATCTGATATACGTGAGCGTCATTATGAGAAGATGGGAATTGGCAGCAGTTATCTCTTTAGGCTTGATGATGGTTATGTGGTTAGTAAACCAACACTATGATGAATTTAGTTTTGATGATGCTTTTTTCTTGTCTTATGTTTGATTTATTTTTTCTATTTAGGCCCTTATTTTAGAAATTTGTAATATTTGCACAGAAACATTTTAACTGTAGTATTTCTCTTTTTAAATACTTTATAGACTAGTCTCTGGTCGGCAATATTTGGCTGCTTCGTTCCATTTTCTATAGCATGGAACTTGGTGTTTTCTTCCAGATTCACTAATAATACATAATTCTTTGGTTCCCGTGCATGGATGGATCTTTTACTCCTTTTTCTGCTGTTGTATTCTTTTAAAGTTATTTGTGCACAACTAGAGTAAAGTTTAGTGGCTAATATTTTCTTTCTGAAATATGTGTAGGTTGATGCTACAAAACGCGGAGGGGTTGCTAGATTTATAAACCATTCTTGTGAGGTAGCTATATTAGATTATAATGCAAATGTGTTATATCTCGTTCAGTTATATTGATTTTGGACCTCATAATATGAATTAATTGTGTTGCAGCCTAACTGCTACACCAAGGTTATCAGTGTTGAGGGTCAAAAACGAATTTTCATTTATGCAAAACGGCATATAGCTGTGGGTGAAGAAATTACGTACAATTACAAGTTCCCTTTGGAGGAGAAAAAGATTCCTTGCAACTGTGGTTCGAAAAAGTAAGTCGTTGACATTCATGCATGCTCAGGATGTTTTGGTGTTATTCATGATTTTACTTTATGTTTATACGAAGGAAGAATTTACTCTTTCATTATATCATCATAAAGTCTATTTACAAAAGGCAGGCTGCTTCAGAGAGCCTGACAACAACTTATGATTATGTATGCTACTAATGTTGATATCTTTTATTCAGGTGCCGTGGATCATTGAATTAGGAAGTGATTTGAGTTGCCCTGATGAGTAATATACACAATTTTTTGGAGAAATGGAGTTTTGTAGTTGGATTCATGCTCAGGCGATATTATCATTCAAGGTTTTCGCAGCCCATTCATTGAATTAGGTGTTACATGTCGTTGGAGTTGAAGTATGCTATCCCAGAGGTATGGTTTTGTATTTCTCAATCGTTAATTCCTTGTCCGTGATTACGGCTCTTGTCATGCATAAAGTGCTGCTGCACTAAGTTTCAGTTTTCTGGCTCTCATCTTTTGTGGTCTTATTACATCTGCAATTCATTCGTTTTATTTCTCCCCTTGTTTGGTGTGTATTTGTACATGTGGAGCATGTAATGTACTTCAGGATTGTTCAATAACTACTGATAATATAGTCCTTAAGAAGTTCGAGGCTGCAGGAGGGTATTTTAAATTTCATCTTTGTTGGCAGTCTGCATTCAACATGCCATTATATTGGTTTAATGCTTGTAATTAGAGATTATTAATGAATGTGTTTACTAAAAGTTACTTAATCTTGTGTTGATGCAGTTTTGTATGCTTGGAGCTGGGATGGTTCTTTCTAGATACAGAACATACCCCTTGGCATAATGTTTGAATCTTAGCTGGATACTGTACATAACAAGACGGATGAGTCACGGCAGAGCCCTTTGGCTGGCGTTAGCAATGAATTGTATGTTTCTGAATCACAAAACTATTCAAATAAAGCTGAACAGTCTGTTATCAGTTTTAAATACTGTTTTGTGTATATATAACTTGATTGTATGTACTGTAATGTAAACAAGGTTTTGCTCCAAAATTTTGTGGAAAGTCACTGTATTTACATAAAAGATTTCCCACTTGTCAATTTGTTTTTTTTGTTGGGGGGAATAATGTTCATTAGTCTAAGAAAATTGAATATATATCAGGGTTCATGCCTATTTGGGTTTTAATCAAATTTGGTTTACTGTGCCACTAGCATTGACAACTTTTAATGGGACGAAGTACCAAGTTAGTTCTACCAAGATTTGACAATCATTTTGCTGCCAAAAATAGAGAATTTCCAATGTGACTTGTACAAGTCTTTTGTTACGGATGACGCATGGGTAGCAAGAAATTGATGCAAGTCTGATATTCTTTCAGGTTATGAATCACTGTTGACATCAAAGATTGGATGGATGATGTGAACATCGTGACCACCATTACACACATTGAGAGAGTTTTGCCTGCTTGTCAAAGATTTTCTGACCCATGTGCATTCTTGTAGATTTCTCTATGTTGCAGATGAGTTTCTCCCCTTTAGAAACTGTAAATTAGTTAGTTAAATGTTTTCCTGCTTACATAACAAATTTTGGAACATCAAAACTCTTGTATAAACATGCATTATTTTAATTTCATTCAATTAATAACAAGTTTAATCATCTATACTGGCTCGAATGCTTATGTGGGTAGTTTAGAGTTAATGGTATAACCTACTTTTGCATTCAGGAATGTGAAGCATAATTCCAATATGTTGCCCTAATGTTTATTAGGATAAGCTATCCATCGTTTGATGCATGAGATTTGTATCTAGTTTCACCTTATTTGGACTCAAGTACCTTTTGTTGCATGGATTTCAACCTATTTACAAGGTGCTAAACATAAATTTGAGCAGCCGTGTTACGTTCGGGATTGATCTCGAGCAACTTTGTAAAGGTTTTCCTTTGTTGGATTATCTTCCAACAGTCAAATTGTTATTTGGGTTCCTAATCAAAATTGATTATAAAAAAACAGGTTTGCTTGTGTTGTATTATTACTCATCTGGGATGTAGCTTCTAGGATCTTGTAAGGGTGCAGAATGGAGAAGTTTTCTTAGAAACTTGGGAAAAGTGGCCATATCGCACTTTTAGTTGCTGGGTAATTTTAGTTGCAACTGTTGGGTTTGAAATTTTTGTAATTTTTTTTTAATACAATGGTTGCATGGTAATTTAGTTGCAAAAGGTGGTAATTTTAAGGCTTGAGGGTGAAATTGTTCCACATTGTCATAAGTAATAATCTGGCTAATTGGTTTGCAATTGCCTTTTTTAACCAATAATTAAGAGACCAAAGGCGGTTGCTTCATATGTGATGTGCTATCTTTTATAAATTTATACATGAATTGTCCCTCCCTTTATATTTTTTGCTTTCATTTGGTTGTATTTGTTTTATGGTTGCAGGAGTAGGATCAATTTAAGATAACAAACCACTTTTGCTGCTGGGGCGGATGCCTTGTTGGCCCTCTGGTATGTATCTTCTTTTTCATGTGTTGTCTTCTCTTGGTTTTCAGCACCAATCAATCATCTTGGCTTCTTAGCCTTTAGAGCCAGCGGAGTACAAATTGGTAATTGTCCTATATGGTTTAACGCAAGAATAAAATTTGATGAAATGTTTAACAAATCACTTGATTAGAATCATAAACTTGTTGCAAACATAATCAGTTAACAACACTTTTGGTCAGTAATTGAAGGGTTAGCTCACATTTCAATGGGTTCATGCCTCTTCAATTTGGTTAATTTGATCCATGTGGTTTAATCCGTTAACAATCAAATTCCTCTCAAACGGGCTTTAAGTTTACGCGGTAAATTACACATTTGGTTCCTTCGAGGGAGAACGACACTTATGATCTCCTGCACGTACGAAAAGACCAAGATTTGTCAATGGATGAACTCCAGGAAAAGAAAAAAGAAAAAAAAGAGAGAAGATTGTTAACGGATTATTAAACATGGAAACCAAATTGGCCAAAGTTAAAGCGCAAGGACCAAAATTGAAATTCTAGCTAAAGAGAAAAAGGACCAAAAATGCCTTCGATCCTTAAATCAAACAGTTGGTGCGTGTGGCATCTTCTTGGCGCCCAGCTGGTCAAAGTGGAGAATAATGTAATCTGGTGTACTGTAAACGCAAATTTCAGTTTCAAGTTATTATGCGTGACTGGTAAATTTATCATTTTGGATCGAGTTGTCAGACTGCCGGTGTAATGTGGACAACATGGTTCAAGTAATGATATATGAGATAAGCAGACGCTTGTTAGGTAAGTTGATTAGGGCAGTTAACCCGTCTCCTCGCATCAAGTTCGAATTCCCTTCTTGTAGAGTAGATTAATAGTTAGACTATTGCTCGTTTAAAAAAAAAACGAATGTATAAAAAAAATAAAAAATAAAAAAAAGGAAATGAAAGCTAAAAAAAAAGTAAATGATTCTTTTATTATAGTCTAAATAAAAAATTACGGTTACTTCACAAGTGTATATGGGTTTTTACGTTACCAACAGTGTGTCCTTCTTGGTCCATGGTTATGACAAAAGGTCAATGCGGTCAAAAAGCTCGAGGTTGTACTTGATGCTTTCATGTTGGTTTGGCTTTGCTTTGCTTCTACGTGTTCGCATTTTAAAGCGTGTCCACCGAGTAAATTTTCAGTTTCACCATCATAGCGTCACTACTAGTATTACTAATGTCATTCATGCTATTATACTAATTATTGAGGTCGTGTTTGGTGACCATGATTAGATTGGATTGGAAATGATAAGTATTATTTGTTGACACTACGATCCCACCAATGCCTTGGGTATTGGGTCTGAGGTCAAGAATTTGAAGCAGTGGGATTATGTATTCCACCTTCTTTGTAGGGTAAATCATCCTACAAAAATGCACATGATGGCTATGTTTTAGTGATTGAGAGTGGATTGAGTTATGAGGTAGAATTGGATTACATTGGATTAGAAATTATTACACTAATCCAATTATGTGTTTGGCACTACACATGATTAAGGGGTTGGATTAATTGAAATGTGCTATTACATGGCTTAATAGGATTAGATATAATCCAATCCAATCCAATTTAGTTCCAATCTTTTGGTAGGATTCATAATCCTACTACATTTGGCTCTAGTAGGATTAGACATAATCCAATCCATGTTGTTTCTAGACCATCAAAAATTTAACTAGGATTATAAATTCAACTCACCAAACGGGCCTAATGGGATGATCTTTTATCCTCTCTAAAATGAATGTATCTTAGATTCATGACTTAATAATTATGTTGTCTATTCATATTATAACATGTAAATTAGTAATATCATATGGCGTTGTGATTGTTATATTCAAAAATTTCTCAAAGCAAGGCATTTATATATCACTAAGTTTATTATAGTATAGATTCTATGTTGTACGTATATCTATACAGTATGTCAAGACCATGTGGTATATGCTCATGGTACGTCAAAAATCAACACAATTTCCGAAGAATTTGTTGTTTCAATTACTTGAATGAATAGCAACTCCGCCTGTGTCTTAATATGTGTATTTAGGCGCAGCCGGTCCCAAGCCCGGATAAAGGAGGAGGGCTATTGTAAAGATGCAATGCATAAGAGTTTCGGGTCTTGGTCTTGTTGTCTCATGTGAATATTATAGTTCTCTCACATGCTGGTTACTCGCCAGGAGCTTTTTGTTTTGGGCTTAATAACTTGCTAGTCCTTGTGTATTATCTTTGCCTACGCATTTGTTTCCACAAGCTAATGTAGTACATTCCGTCTGATTGGCATTAGAGAAGGCACTACGTGTGGCTAGGTTCTATTTACGGATAGATGTTTGGTGGCGAGGACAAGACAAAATTAGGGTTGAGTTCAGTCCAGTCCAGTCCGATCTAGTTCGACAAAGTTCCATTCTTGGAGAGGAGATTTGTTGTCCCCTTTAATCCTCACAAAATGAAAAATCTTTCAACCATAGTTTTATTAAATCTTGTGAGTTATCCAATTCAGTCCTAGGCACACCAAATACGGCCACTAAGAAATGCCAAGCATGAAGTGCTTATAAATTCTATTCTTTTATTTGGTATGTTTAATTAGTGATGGGAGTAATATAGTATTAAAAAAACCTAGTAAACCATAACTATAAGAGGTGCATACCTAAGAAAGAAATTCCCCCCAATAGAGTATGGAATATTCATGTAACATTAACCACGTTTTCAAGAATGTATTTAAAATAATGAAATTTTGTATCTTCAAGTGAGTGTTATTAAAGAGTGGGAATTCTCTCAGGTGTATTATCCTCTAATGAGATTGGGGAGCTCTTATATTATCTGCAACCCATTTTTTCAGAATCCAAGTTATTTGGAGTTGGTCTTACCGTTTTGAGAAATTTATAATAAAACTCATTTTTTGCATTGATTTTATATATAAACACTAAAAGCTATAAATTGAATGAAAACAAAAAACAAAAACAAAAAACAAAAAAGGACTAGTTGATGTGTGAAATACCATTAGTATCCCTAAATTATGATTTTTATGAAGCGAAAAAAAAACTCTGATGGTTGTGTTGTAATTTTTAGGTTTTTCAAGGCTTGTATGGTATATTTAGTCCATTTGAAAAGTCAAAACGGACTAATTCCTAAAGGATTGAGTATTGTAGAGCTTTTCTATATTTTGGACCCTACTTATAGGCTGACATGTGAAAAGCCCTACTACTTCTCCCGTACTCTTAAGAATAAATGCATTTCAAATATTTCTTTTAGGCTAAGTTTAACTAATAACTAGTAAACTGCAAGACAAATTCCTAAGTTTTAAAAGAAAATTGTGACCAAAATAGTGTTAGCTTTTTATTTCTAAGTCAAACATCATGCCATACTTGGGTGAAAATAAAATGGTTTAGAGCTTAGGATATCAAATATTGCACCAAGTAATATCTTCTCATTCCCTAACCAAAGAGGCCATCGAGACTTTGCATCATAGCTCCTCAAGCATGAAGCCTTCAACAAAATCTAGTACATGAAAGAGAGTGTGACATGAGAAAGATTGAAGCGGAGGAAAAAAAAATTGTGCTAGCATTTTTCTTTTGACATGTGATGTAATGTTGAAATGTTAGTTCTTTTGACATGTGATATTGTAAGATATGTTTTATATAAGTCTTTTTAGTTTTACTCTAGTAAAATTTTAATTTATTAATTTACTTTATTGTATTTGCGAATGTCTTGTGACACTTTTGTGTCACGAATCAGCAAAAACAATATTGATTGCCAGTTTTACTACTAGGCTTGGTCTCTCTAGGAAGAAGATAGCTAAAATCCTTGTAATTTCCTTATATTTAAAGTATTGTTGAAATTTTAACTCAGAACTTTGTTCAACAAGTAGAGTGCCATTTTTAATTACATTTAAAAAAAAAAAAAAAAAAAAAAAAAAAAAAAAAAAAAAAAAAAAAAAAAAAAACTTCTCATCAGAAAAAATTAAACTTCAACTTGACAGACAATTCAGACATCAACAAACACCACAGAATACATTTAAAATAACCAACAGGGCAACATATTAACATGTTAAAAGCAAAACTAACACGGACAAAAACCACACTAAAACTACTAAGCCCACATCACCACAATTAACCATAAGCCCAAACAAAGCTCACAAACCCTAAAACAATCCATGAGCTTAGACGAACCCTATCACCACCACCTGAAGAACCATTGTCGCGGCCACACCCACCGCCGCATCCGTAGCAGATCTGGGGAAAATATGATTTCCAGCAATCTACCTGCGCATAAGAGTGAACAAATAAACAAAAACAACAACCTTGCTAAAGAACAATTGGGTGATTTGTAGCAACCTCCGTCAAAGACGATATAGAATCAAATTTAGAGAACATGAGCAGTAATAGGGAGTGCATTTTGAGAGCAAGATTTATTGAAAACATAAACTAAAAGTGGTGATGGGGAACTTCAATCTAACCATGGTTCAGAAGAAACCACCACAAGTGACTTTTTATTCAAAACACCCCAATAGACTTATTCACTAACCTAAAGGAAAAGACAAGAAGAGAAGAGGGGGAGGGGTAGTAACGCTTCTTCCTCCTCCCCACTCTACGAAGTTTTCCTTTAAGACTCACAGAGGGAGAGAGCAACTAGGATTTTAAGAAAAGACAAAATGTTAATTACCTGTTTAGTTACAACCTCTAACCCGATAAACTATGAACTAAAATTTCGTGTTTAATTAGTCTTAATGACATTGGCAATATATGTTGGCCTATTGATTAATATTTATTTAAGTTTAAATCTTTCTTGTATCTATTGTCACGTCTCTTATATTAATGCATGTGAGATTTGAAAATTACATGTAGAATAGTTAACAAATGCCTAGAGGGAGGGTGAACAAGTCAATTTAGAACTATGATCAACAAAATGAAATAAAGTGCGGTAGCAGGTTTGATACGGTGTGTCAATTCTTGAACGCACAAAGCATAAAATTAAAGGGGACATATTTATGTGGTAAAAGCCCACTTAGATGGAAAATTCACAGGACTTCTTAGTCCAAAACAAATCCACTATAGAACTATGATTACAAGAAGTACACACACTTATCCCAGACACATTCTAGATAATGTTTACCGACTTCTTCATAACTCAACTTCTGTCACGGGATGATCTTACGACACTCCTTATGTTGAACACAATACTAGTCACGATTGCTTCAAACTCCCCGGAATTCTTCTAACTCTCCTTATGTTGAATTCGATACTTGTCGCCAAGGGCGGAGCCAATGAAGGCTCACAGTGGTCAAGTGACCCTTCTCATGTTTCATATTTGATCTTTTTACATGTTTGTATTTGATTTTTTTATGTAGTATTTCTAAAATTTGACCACTCTCACTATCTTATCTTTTGAAAACAATAGAAGGAATATTGTTGAGTTACAGAAGAATGAAAACTTTTGTCTCACATTACTAACTTGTGCTACTTACCTTTCTAATTATTTTTTTATTTGTAATAACTTAATAATTATTAACCTAATTACCTAAAACTAAAAGTTAACATAAACTTACCCCCCCCCCCTCCCCCCAAAAAAAAACTCAAACAATTCAAATTGAAGATCAACAACCTTTGTAAATATTTTGGAATGATACATAAATTAATACAAAGGATTTTTTTATTAGATGAATTTTTTTATTTTGTTTCATTTGATGTTGATCCCTTTTGATAGATTTTTTGGCTCAGCCATTGCTATTCGTGATCGATTCAAACTCACCGGAAAAAACCACCACAACGGTCTTGGTGCACTCGATTGTATGAATCACCGATCTATGCAATATGAATGAAAAAAGTGTTTGATAAATCGCCAAGTAAAGATGAAACACTTGATGATTAATCTGAAATAAAAACTCAACTTTCCAAAGTTTATGGACTAAAAATATGATCGTGAAAGCTCAATGAAGAAAGAAGAGAAAAATCTAGTTTTATATGCTTTTTGGTCCACCAAAAACATAACACACGTTCAAAATAGATTTTTAATTTGCAAGACATGAAAGTAATCACAAAGATACTTTCTTATGCTAAAGATGATAACACATGAGGCCCAAAACAATAAAAGAGGAAAATTCCAATCAAAATCAGATTTTGATAATCACACTATGAAAGACCGATTTTTATTCAAAAATATATTTTCCAATTCAAAGCATAATCACATTTAAGTCCCCGGGAAATACCAACGTAATTATCAATCAAAATATTTGAGAGACTAGTAGGATTTTTTATTTTTTATTTTTTGAAAAGATGTCATTCATAAACTCCCCATAACATAGAGAAAATTTAAAAGTACAAAGGAATTCATAAATGACATAATTTAAAATGACGGAAATTAATATTCTATAATTTGTAAAGTTTTTTATTTAGGTAACAAATTTAAAATACGAAATTTAACCTTTATTTGTAAAGTTATATATTTTTTAAACTCAATCTCTCTTGAAATTTTAGAAATGATGACTTTTAGATAGAATTTAAAGTTGGAATTTATAACCTCCAAATTCCATGTTTTTTCCAACACGGAATTTCTAAATTTCTATGTTTTTTTATTATCCAAACACGGGAACGGATCCTGTCATTTAGAAATTCTGACTTTTGTCAAAATCCCAAGTTTACTTCCCTTATCCAAACACACTTTAAAAGGCATACATAGATTGGCACGAATACAAAGGCCTCGTTAAAACCTTCCTAGGAAAACGACATGGGACAAACCTCAAGGTAGGAAAGAGTACCACACATGACATGGACTAACAGAAGAGTCCAACTTAGGCCATTTTGGACTGCTACAAAGAACCAGAAAGGAAAACCTACTAGAAACCAACACATGAGACCCCACAAAAGAGCACACCAACGCATCCCAACTGTCAAAGCCTTTTATAAGAGCTCAACAACACAAGAGTTGTAAAGCACACCAAGGGTCAGAGACACTAAAACACACCAAGAAGAGAACACATAGACGACAACAATGAAGAACCTCATAGGAGCACACCAACTCAATGCAGAACCTGACAAAGAAAACCTCATATGGCCAAGCATAGTTCTTCGGGAGGCGCATAGGTGAGATACTATGTAAAGAGTCAACATAACAGAAGAAAAACACTACAAACAAACTCGAAAAAGCAAACGAAGAAAACCCTCAATGAGCACACCACTGCATCCCAAAACTTTCAAGGGAAAACTCCTATGAAAGTACCATAGTCTTTTAGACAGCAAAAGAATTGAGAAGTATGTTGAGGGGAGACGACAGAAAGAGACACCGCACTGAAACAAAAACCCAGCCTCAACCACTTAACCAATAGAGAATTCAACTAATAGAGCATTCGTTGAATGCCAAGCCCACAAATGCTAGAGCTGTGCACTAAGTGGGGACCCCAAGAGACCCCATACGATCGGTCTCCTTAGCCTTATTAGAACAAGCACCATTACAAAATCTTTTAGGACCAGTTGAATCCACATCAGGACCCGTTACATCATTGCCAGTAGAGACATCCTTTGGATTCTTACGCTTCCCATTGATATTTACAGATGCACTCCTTGAACCTACCTCCTATTTTTAGATTGTGGCACGACCCCTATTCTTCTGGAGAACCTCAGAAAACTAGATAATAGGCATCAAATTAAAAGGATTAGATAGAGCCGAGCTCATAATATTTCGAGACGTAGCCATGATTCCACTATTTGCAACTTCCGCCTGCAAAACAGTATGGGCACCCAAAGCCGCAAGGGGTTCCTACAAACTCACCTCCCTCTAGGGGATATCCATGGGGATAACCCCAAACTCCGACACAGACCCGACTGGACCGATGGAGGTGGTGTTAAGGAGTGAACACCATTATTAGATAGCCCACTCTATCGACATAGAGACTCTATAGCCTTCAACACTTGGTAATGACGTGGTAGGGTTGAAGTGGAGACAGAATCCTGAAGCTCATTCTTGCCTCGGGAACTAGATCGCCAAGATCGATTATCAAAACTACCCTAATCCCCCGATCCATCTTTGTTCCAGAGACCCTCATAGCATGGAGAATTACTGGTACCCTATAAAGAAAGGAAATCGCTGAAGAGGGGAAATCGCCCCATTGGTGGTTTCATATTTCTTAATACACACTTGAGAAGGATGGCCAATTCTTTCGCAGGCAAAGCAATATTCAGGAAGGTAATCATATTTGAACTCCACCAATTTCTCCCTAACCTCTGGATAGGTAATTGGTTTCCAGCGAATAAGGGGCAGGGTGACATCAAACAGCACACGAATGCGAATAAAGCAACTTACACAACTAGTGCCATCTCGGTTATCCTTAAAAAATGTCCCCAAATATGGCACCAATGGCCTGGACAACTACTACTATCATACAAAAACTAGGTACACCATGTAAATGTACCCAGAAGTTTCCATACATCAATGGCATAGAGTGCATACTATCATCATCTGGGATCTTAGCCAGAAAAATCAAGGAACACTGATACGGCCAGGGTTCCATGTTAAGAACCCTTTTCTTATCTAGAGCACTAATAAAGCACACCTAGAACATGTTAGAATCTACTTCCTTGATTGAGACATGGTTTTGATAAAGCCATCACGATTGATAGTTTGATCCATAAGGACTTAGCCACAAGGCTATAAGTAAAGCCAATAAAACTATCAGAGACTGTTGAAGAACCAATAACCACACCAGCATGTTCCCTTGGCGTAAGAACCAAGCAACTGCCAAAGGAGCGCTCAATGTCGTCATTGACCACGTCCTGATCGCGAATCGGAAGGGACATGGCAGCGGGATAGTAAGACATGAAGAATACCCACTACAGCAAGAAGGAGACTCGCGCGCAGAAGCCATTGATGAAAGCCAACCACACGATCGCACAAAAACCCACAATCGACAGACCCCAATTTCACTAAGAGGACGAATGGTGATCAACGCAACACGACAGAGGCAACAACGCTAGGGAATAGAAGTACGGAACCCTAACCATCAAACCCTAAGTCTCCTAGCGAACCAAGGCTATTGTGAGCCAAAACTGAATTGGACGAGATGTGGAGGAAGAGGAAGAGACAACGATGACCACTGGAGAGGGAATAGATCAACACCCTGGATTCAGATTGAGACGTGACGACAACGAACCGACAAAAGAAGAAGAAAACCTAACCCTAATATTTTCGCTCAACTCTCCTCTCGTTTGAGAAAGCCGAATTTAATAATATAAGGAAAGAAGGAATAAACAAAATATATTGAAAAATATGCCTAAAAGAGATGCATTCATAAAGAGATTCTAATTGATTAAAATCAAGGAAGATCAAGGAAATAATACCATAGTAGATTCCAAATAACGTTCCTATCATGAGTGCATGAAAAATGTCATGTCTTACCATTCAGATCATGTTCCTCATACGTGTTAAGTCACAATTCTGGTATTCGAGAATTGCTGAGCTATTTCAATCCAAAATTTTCTGGATATCAAAGACATCAATTTTACTTCAACCCTACAACTAAATGAGACTTCTAAACCTAAACTAAATTCTAGAAAATGCCAACATAATTTCATACTAACAAGATCCACCTATATGGGAGATATAGTCAGTAAATATGGTATAAGAATTAAGAATTGAGAATTAGATGTTATTTATTTATTTATTTATATATTAAGAAATAGATGTTCTGTCCCATAAAAATATGATTCATGTTCTTATTTTGGCTATTATTTTGAATTTTTTAATATAAAAAATGTTAATTTACTACATTATCCTTAGTTAATGAAAATTTTCAATGCTTAATAAATTTCTTAACCAAGAGCAATTTTTGGTATTTTGAATGTTCCATCATTCTTTGTCTTTTGCTATATATGTAAATTACGTATGATGGTAGAAAATTATGTAGTTTTTTTTATAAAAAAAATGCAATGTTTACTTACCATAAATGAGTGAAGTAAGAAATTAGGGAATTGAGGAATAAGTGAAGTAAAAAATTGGTGTGGGAAGACGTCATTCCCATTAAGTTATATACTAATTGCATGAAATCAGCATATGAATGAAATTCTAAAATTCTAAGGTTATTTTTGGGAGAACATGAATGGCACCCCCGCTAGTTTATCTGATTTATGATTTTGAAGGTATGTGATTACAGATTTTAAGGTGGGACCCACATGTTTTTCCATTCCTTATGTTAGTAAACATGGGGAAAGTCGGGAATTGGAACCAATTTCTTCCCATACCCATTGCTGGGAAGTAAATATGATTGGAATCAAAATAAAGAGTTGGATTTTGATTACAATTACTCATGCTTTACTTCACATAAAGGAATGAAAATGCAAGTAGGGGCCACAAATTCTTGATTTTGAAGGAATTTAACTCTTGGGTTGGAGGTGGTATTCTAATTCCTGAAGGACTAACATATCAAAAACCCATTTTTTTTCCCATTATATCTCACAAAATTTATAAACAAAGGAGATCCCACATCATTAAAAAAATAAAAAGAAATGAGTTACATATAAATAAATAAAAAGCATCTTCACAACCATATATTTTCATTAGAATGACACTAATAGAATGCCTTTTTCTTTATCTCGGAAAGTTAGCATTCTATTTCTATTGGTTACAATAGTTTTTCCAGTTAATCATCAACATAACTGCTTTCAGATTCAACTACACAAAGGAAGGATCCTTCCCATCATCCTAATTTTCATTCCTAATTTCTCAACCCAAGAACTCGAATTTCAAGTCATAATATGTCTACATTAATAAAATAATATCATAATATCATTATTTAACAATTTTAAACAATCGTACAATATTCACGAATTTTAATTAAATTAATTTCTATAAAGGCTCCCTGAGAACCCTTCACCTCCATTCCATCTAGTTGGGATTAGAGAAGGCATGTGAAGCGTACGTGTGGGTAGTTCCATTTACCATAGACATTTGGTGGCTAGGACAAGATAAGATTGGGGTTCAGTCCAGTCCCATCCGACAAGGTCCCAAATATGGAGAGGAGATTTTTTGTCACAAATTTGGTTTTTAAACGGACTCTTAATTTTTCCAAGAAAATTGAACGTGAATGGTGGTTTTTTTAATTATTTTTCTTAATCTTTTACAAGGTTCATGAATCATATTTCTAACATGAAGTTTGGATCTCTTTGTAAATTTGTAGCCCTATACAAAGGATGAGACCCTAAGGAGTTGGAGATTGACCTAAATATTAAGAGTAGACTGTTTGGATCGCGAAATGGCTTGGTGTACAATTTCCATACTCAAAGATGAGAATGTAAGATTTACGATGCAATATTTTACCAAAGTCTGCTATTGAACTATAGAATAATTCATAGCTCTTTTTAGCCTATTTTTGCTTAATCCTAGCCCCTGATAAATTATGAACCCCCCCGGCGATGTCTCCTTCGAACCAAAATCCTAAAATAATTAGGAATTACAATCTTCAATCACTAATAAAATCCAGAGGTTCCTCAAGCACATAGTGCCAAGACTAAGAGCAACATGAGCAAGATGGCAGACTACTTAATTTGTGGTGCGATGCATGATAGGATTTTTAGTACCTGTGCAAATAGGGTTAAAATCACATAAAATACTTGCAAGAATACAAGGTTATTGTAGTATAAATGCTCATGCAAGGTCGTTCTCCTCAAGGACTATTTAGCAATTTATGTAAAAACAATTTCCAATTAACTACCTAAAATTAAAAGTTGAGAAAGATGATTATTAAATTTTTTGATACTAAAAACAAATTTTAAACAAAAACAATTACGATTGAAGGAAAGAGTTTTAAATACCAATTTATAAAAGCACTAGGGCTTCACCAGCACCTAGCAATCCTATGAATTTTACCAATTACTTATGATTTGCACATGCCACCTCGAATCTCCTAAAAATCCGACCCAAGATAGCTTGTTTTAAAGATAAAAATATTCTGAACACTTCTCCAGAAGGCCACGAACCCATCCGAGGTCATTTTGGGCTCCAAAACGCAATAAAATCCCAAAATGTCACTATTCCAGCACTGCATACACTGCTCCTTTATTTTATTGCCAGAAGATAACCGCTTGATAGAAAAGTCTGAAATTTTGATACAATCAAGCTAAGTGAGTCACGAACGTCCTCCAACTAGAATTACTCCAAAATTCATCCATTTGATTATGTTTTGCTCCAGAGGAAGTCAAAAGTCCTATATTGGGAATATAATTCAAAATATAAAAAATTTTCCAAAATATTAACCAAAATATACTAAGAATGAGATTAAATATATAGTATAAAATATACCCATCAAAATACCCCCAAACTTAGCTTTTTGCTTGTCCTCAAGCAAAGCAAATCTAGAAAACAAACACAAAAACTAACGAACTAAAAACTTTAAATACAACCTAGCTAAACAAAATTTCCATTCAAGTTGCAATCCATAGAAAATGTTAAAAACCAAAACGTCTTTTCAAAAGTTCCAACCAATCCCACTATAGAGTCTAAGCTATTTAGAATCAATTAGAAAAGAATTCACAAACTTCCTTTGGTGTAAAGTGAACCATCATAGTTAAGGAGACTCGACCAAAACCCATACCTTTCATCCCTTTTATTCACACTTCACATACTAACTTCACACTTTTTTATTTATTTATTATTTATTATTATTTTTTAATAACAGTGATGGTCGTGCAATGTCGGTTCACTTAAGCTTTCGATCCAACCCATGTAGCGAGCTTTAGGTCAATGACTCCCAAACCACTAAGGCTTTAGGGCATTAGGTGTAGAACACCCCTAAGGACTTATTAACTCGAGTTGAAAAGGCTACGAAACCAACTAACCACCCTACCTCATGCCAAAACTCTACTATTTGACGGGAGAATCACTGCTGATTAGGCAGGACTGGCCCGGTTACTAAGCAAGTTTTGGTTGAGGCAATTATTTCTTTATTACACATACTAACTCTCTCTCTCTCTCTCTCTCTCTCTCTCTCTCTCTCTCTCTCTCTCTCTCTCTCTTTTTGAACAAAAATGTAAACACACTGGGACAAAAAGTAGGTACTTCAATCTCACTCCCCACAAACCATGTTGGTGTGAGGTGCAAATTTCAAAGAATAATTAATGAGTTAGTGTCTAAGCAACAATAAATAGAAACGACTCTACTGTGGGATTGGTCTTCACCCTTTCCATTTGTTCTAACGTTTAAAATAATGTATGGATATTAACTTAAAAACGAAAATTTTAAACGAAAATTAAAAAAAAATCTAAAATTTACTTTCCCACCCCCAAACTTAAATCACACAATTGTCCTCAAGGTGCAGAAAATAAACAGAGGAAACAAGAACATAAACAAAACAACTAAATCCTAGAAGACGGAGAACAAAAATCAAAGATAAAGGAAACAACCAAAGAAGTAAATTAGGAGATAAAAATAAAAAAGGAAAAAATAAAAATAAAAAATAAAAGAAAAGAACATAAAACATAAAACAGAAAATAAAAGAAAAAGAAGAAGAAAAGAAATAAAAAAAACTAACACACCAGAGATGCGGAGGGGTACACTTTTGTGATTCGAATGCATGACACGGTGGCTGGGATGCGAAAATGCACTGACTAACACGCCCAAGTCCACGCATGTGTCAAATACTAGCGACAGCTACAATATAACCTAGTGTAGCCGTGGCATGTGTCATTTGAAAAATATTGGATCCCCTTCGTCTCACCTCGAGCCCAGAGCCAACAGGCTCACCTTTGTCCATTCCCATCTCTATTGATTGCGAGAAAGTCTGAAAACACAACTTGTTTTAAACACCCCAGCCTTCGCAAACCCCCATCACCAATCTGTCAAGTTTTCACAATGCCATCAAACCTCAAAATCCTCTGAAAACCCAAGGTTTGATTTCAATTTTGATTTCTACATTTACGTTTCTGAGTATTGATTAAGCCTAGGTTTGATTTCACTTTTGAAAAGTCAGATTGATTTCAACTTTGCGGGTGTATGGTTCGAACCTAGTTTTACAAAAATGGATTTTACTTTTGATGGGTTACCATTGAAATGGTTACATTGTTTCAGTGGTAGTCCACTGAATTTGAACCTGGTCTGTACGAAAATTAATTTTACTTTCAGTGGGTTACCACTGAAATTGTTACCTTGTTTCAGAGGTAGTCTACCGAATTTGTTTCAGTTTTCCAGTGACAGTCCACTGAATGTATTTTCATTTTTCAGTGTTTCCGTTTTTCAGTGGTTGTCCACCAAATTCGTTATTGAGTTTGTACTTAATATTGTTTTTTAGATACAAAGAGGACTCGCAAAGGTACTACTGAGGCTTCATCATCTCGACCTGATAGACAGTGTCCCACAGCCTCAACGAGGTGACAGAGAGCAGCTCCCCAAGATCACTTTGAGGATACTACAGAGGTTGAAGTTGTAGATCCTACTCATGATAGTAATGTTGACGCAGAGGTTGAAGATATAGATGCTACTCAAATTCGTTACAAGAGTATGATGAGTGTATATTGTCCTTTACTAGGCCGCTCGTGGCATTAGGGGAAACTGTTGCATTGCGTACACAACCTTCCTAGGTTTATCAAGCAGTTGAGACTTTGTAGCAGATTTTAGAGGGTACCAACTTACGGTCTACCATGACATATCAACGTCGTCATGGTTAATTGACTTGCTAGCATGCAGTTATTAGAATTCATGGAACTTTTGTTGTTTTGATTAGTTATTGCATGTTTGTATTAGAACTCATGGAACTTTTGTTGTTTTGATTAGTTATTGCATGTCTGTATTAAAACTCATGAAACTTATGAAGTCTGTCCCACTAAAAATAGGAATATAAGAAAATAAATAGAATTATTAGATTTATAATCTCAAATCTATAGTGGGTGCATTTTGGTCAGTTTTTAGGATGACCATATCTATAGTGGCTACATTCTCCACTCCTGGAAGTTGTTGAAACGCATCCACACGTGCTTGGTACCTTGAGTACAAATGTGTTACATTGCATATGGAACTTTTTTCATGCCACATTCTAGAAACTGATGGAATATGATGATCTGGAGACAAATGAACCTACAAAACAAGAATTCATTCATTTATGCATGGCTTATAAAATTAAACTATGTAGTGTAAACAAATAAATTCATACCTGGACATAATGATCATCATCGACAAAACCAATGGCAATCTCACGTAGCTTGGTTTCTCTTGATTGAACTGAGAAAGGAAGAAATGTAAGGCATTGACGCATGCTTAGAATGATTAAAACCACATTATAACACGTGGCAATAATATGCCCCATATCAGGCATGGTCATCCAACAAAAGAATGGTGCAAATCCATCACCAAAATAATTTAGCGCTAGCTCAATCTTGTTGCACCGTTTATGTTCACGAATACACTTCTTAAAAACAGAAGACATATTATGTAGTTGCTGCAACAATTCCTTGCGTACTCTACACCATTCATTATGACCAAATCCCATTGATGTAGCTATGGTTCTATATCCACAGTTACCATTTGAAAGAACTTCAGTTTGGTGAGTAATATATTTCCTAATACCCTTAGGGAATTTCTCTATATGCATATATGTATCGAACGTTGATTGGTTTTCGCGAGGCTTATAAAGCTAAAAATAAAACAATATATTAGTTATGTGATAATAACACATAGTAAAATACAACATTTGTAGTACGTACCTTAAATTTTTTTGGATAAGACAATATGGAACTAGAAGCAACCATGTTTCTTTTCTTTGGCACTGCAGTGGTACTCTTCTTTGGTTTATTTTTAGTGAGGCAGTGAGGCTTTGCTTTGGTTTATTTTTCGATGATGCAGTGGAGGCCTCAGCAATCTCAAATGCAAATGGCAAACGACGAGTAGAAGTATTGACTTTTCGCGGTCTCCCTTTGGTCTTCAACTTCACTTTTGAAGGGGAACTGGGATTCATTAGCTCCTCCAGTGTTATGTGAACTTGTCTCTTCTTTTCATCATCTTGTTGTTCATACCACATATTGAATATTTGTAATTGTGACTTTCCTGGTGAAGTTGTGCCATGACTACTATTTCCTATATTGATGAGATCTAATTTCCTCCAATGTGAATGCACGACATCAAGTGGGATTGGTACACCACGATCACTATACTCCACAATTTCATGTGCACATGGTAATTGGTGGGTTCGACGAATAGCACAAACACATGACAAAGCATCCACCCCATCTATCTCTAACCTGTTTGCAAATAAATTACAATGTTAACTATGTAGACCATATATGTACTGTACATGCAATAAGTAAACTAAATTTACCTTTCTAACTCGCACACAATTACACTCAAAGCCTTTATAGAAACAAAACCTACTAACTCGCTCAACTTCGGATGCCTAAAGCTATGTTGAATAAAACATCGACTCTTTTCAAAAGATGCCTTAATCTCTGTGTGCTCCAACTCTAACAATGAGTGAATAGTTACCCATGATCTCTCAAAGTTAAGTTGACTCAAGTGGAATTGTCGCTTCAACTTTGCATGTGCACTCTTCGCTCTATTGATAACAATAATAAATTTTCTTGAAGAAAAATAAATTTTCAAATTAACGTATCTAAAAAGGACTAAAATACTTATCTATTTGAGGTCGTCAATCCAAGATGCATATAAGTGTCTGTCCATGCGGCTACAAACCTATCCTTAAATGGATTTAACTAATTGTCGCGTATGTATTCAAGAGCTTTTTCAAATTCACTAAACTTAGACTCAATCTGTGGCAAACAACGCCAATATTCCTCCTCCATTTATGAACCAACCAAACTATTCTAATCCTCATTAAATTGCTTCCATTGTTTGAGGGTCCCAAATAACTTCTTGCAGTTTGCCAACACTCCTTTGTTAATATGCCATTTACATAATAAATGTCGTGCTTTCGGAAATATAGAGGTAATAGAATTCATGAGTGTTAACTCTCGATCGGTGACAATAACACCAGGAAGACAATTATCATCCAACAAACTCCTCAATGTAGTCAAAGCTCATGTGTAATTGTCTTCCTTCTCGACATTCATATATACATACTTAATAGAGAATGTCATATTAGTAGATGTCACCCTCACAATTTGCAATAGTGGGAAATGATACATATTAGTCTTATAAGTGCAATCCATGATAAGTACATGTGAAAATGCACGCAAAATCTCAATATTAATGAGGTGTGTCCAAAACAAGTCAGTTACAATATCACTAGATTTCCTATGCCACTCAATATAATTGTATTTGGATAACTTAGTATGCAATTGTTGCATTTGTGTTCTCCCATCAAATTCTTTGGTTATATGTCGGATCCTAGAATTGTATATTGTCTTCATAGTGGAAACATTCATTGCATCTCTATCCTTCAGGGTGACCAAAATATCTATGGGTTTCACCATACTCTATGTCCACCAACAAGGCATTCTTCTCTTCAGAAAATCGCCCCACAAATGAATGACCTTAAGGATACTCTGAAATAGGATGGTTGTGTGCTTCGCAAACCACCTCCAACTTCCAATCATCCCCATCACCAATATTGATGCCTTTTAACAAGAATGGGCGTCCACATTTCTTGGTACCAGTGTCCCTAGCACACTTTTTCGTATCACCATTTGCATCCGGCCTTACATTAGTTGTCTCACTAGACTTACAAGACTTATAGTTACCACTCCTCTCGCAAATAAGTATTACTTGAGGTATGCTCTTGCCTTCACCTTCATAATCAGACCTTCTAATTACAATTACAATACTATTCATTTTTCCTTGTGCACTAGCCCATCTAAATAATGCATCTTTACCATTGAATATCTACACAAAAAACTCATGTTATTTAAAATTAAAATTTGAAACATTAATGCCATGTTAATGTTACTAAAAAGGATTACATACCAAAAAAAAACTCAAAATAATTATCGAATAAGTTGTGAATTGATCACTATAGTCCATTACACATTTTGTTCCTACATTGTTTTCTTCAGTAGGGCTTGTTTTTGTTCCTTCAATGTGAGTAAGGTCAAAATAGCTTGCATAAAATTTGTGGTCGACAATAAGTTACTAAAAAATAAATATATTTCGGTTCGTTGCCACTGAACTATAGGTAAAAATTCTGTAATACACCATTGAACACCATTCCATGTTACAGTGGATTTCCACTGCATCGTAAGTTAACAGCTGGTCAAACACAACCGAAATAGGTGCAATGTTTCGGTGGCATCCCACCGAATGTACCTATCATACTGGTGTGCTGAACATAACCAGCGACCATCATGAAATCTTAAACTTGAAAAACACCAAAAAATAAACTCATATCTCATTCGAAGCCACTTTAACTTGAGTCTCACCCTTCATGAATAAATACAAGATATTTTTTCACCTATATAAACGTATAATCCTCGTTAGGGTTGTAGGAACATGATGGTTTGATAAAAAAAAAAGTCTAACTAGGGTTGCAAGAACATATGTAGGGTGTAGTGAGCAAATTTAATTTTTATTTTAAATATTTTTGTCCTTAACAGTAATTATGTGCAAGGGTAAAATAGGTTATTCATGTTTAAAATTAGTATGGGGTGCAAAGAGCAAATAATGGGGTGCCAATAAAATTTCCCTTTCAAATATATTCTAGTACTCCTTTGAATAATAGGATTTATAGAATTAGGAAATTGCTGTCTATTAGAATTGGGTTGGAAACCCATGTCCCTTCCATATAATTTTGACATGTGTCACTTCTTGCAACCTCGCACGGTGCTTCTACAGCTTTCGACCGATAGTCGGTTGTGAAATTGTCAAATTGGTTATGTATATAGGTATTATTTTTATTGGAAGGAAAGAATCTAGTAATTTTCACTTTTTTTGTTTTAGGGAAGTAATGTTAACTTATGTGTATGTGGATATAGACAAAAATAATACAAATTCACAATATGTTAAACTAATTAAAAAGGAAAATTGAATCTAAAATTAAAAAACTAACAAAATTTAAAACTAAAACCACATCTAGTTGACCTACTTAAAGCTTGATGCAACACAAATATATTCGGATTGCAAGCTATACCGAGCTTAAATTGTAAGATAAATAGGCTACTCGGACCATTTTACATCTCTATGCGAACACCCAACACTCAAATTTTTTATGCGAGAAACTCTCTCTCCCAAAATGGCTCTCATTTGCCTCACTTTCTTCTTCATCACATTAAGTTTTTAACTTTGTTCTTCTAATCCCAATTACGATTGCCTTTTTGAATCCCATTTTAGCAATCATAATCACCTTCTCTGTATTTTGAGCTTCTATAACCATGGACTACAATTTTGATAAGAAATGTAGTTCCCATCTACAATGACAAGCCTTAAATATTCGATATACCTCAGGTTCATAACATGGTAATTATGTCGTTTACTTGTGTTATAACTTGTAAATTAGTAATATTATGTGGCGGTATAATTATGTTATACTAAAAATGTCTTAGAGTGAACAAAGCATTCATTATAGATTCTGTACTGTAAGTATATCTATTTGTTATAGTATAGATTGTATACTGTACGTATATCTATATAGTATGTTAAGACCATGTGGTATATATATACTCATGGTACGTCAAAAATCAACGCAATTTCCAAAGAATTTGTTGTTTGAATTATTTGAATGAATAGCAACTCCGCCTATCTTAATATGTGTATTAGAAACTTGAGAAATTCTAGGTTATCATGAACTAATTCGACACAAGCAATATCCAAACAAACATCAAGAAGATGAAGACTAGACTAAACACACATCAATTAACACCAATTAAAGCAGTTTAGTCAGAATGAATCAACACCAAGCACATCAAACGAAGAGTAGCCTATTTGCACCCCTTCAAGTGATTTTGATGATCACTTCAGTAGTAAACTTCTTCTTGCATTTAGGCTTCTTGCACACCATGTGAAATTGACCCCGATGATGCTTCTGATGGTTGAACAAATTAGTAATAGAGGTAAACTTCTTTGTGCACATATTGCAAGCCTTCTCTTTATCAGCTTTCTTATTTCCTTTCTCATTCTTAGAAGAAGTTTGTATCTCCGGGTAGAATTGCATATAATGCTCTTGTTTCTAAGCTGCATTTTGAAATGTGACCGAACCTTCACATTCTGCACAGGCATTTGCATTCATGAAAAGCTCTTGGTTCTCAATCTCCAGTTGAAAATCAACGAATTAACCTACAAATGACAAAGCTTAAAATTATGGAAACTGAAATTAAGAGAAAGTAAATTCAATCATATTCATATAATTACCGCTATAAGAGATAACTACTTTGCTCTCTATCACTCACCACTCAAACTAAAAATTGAAAGCTCCAGAAATCAGACATTGAAAATTAGCTAGTTCAAGCTCCATTAATTCAAAATTAAATTGACAAGCCATAGTTAAACGATGCAATAAATTGAAATTGAGCGAGAAAGTACTAATCAAATTCAGATAGTTATCTTGGAATTGACTCCATCGATTTGCGCTCATGCTCTCTCTAGCTTGCTCGCTCTCGCTTGCTCACTGTCTAACTCGCTCTCGCCTTCCCTCTCTCTCTCTAACTCGCTCTCACCTTCTCTCTCTAGCTCTCTTGCTCTCGCATTCTGTCTTTGTGTCTGGAGAACTGAAAATGAGAGATAGCTCAGAGCTCTTTATATAGTTAATGTCTAACTGCATTAGTTTGTTTGTTCATTCTTCCTAGTGTGATGTGAGTTTCATGCTTTGTTTACAAAGCGCTAAAATAGAGAGAATGAGCTCTCTTTCTCGTCTCCCTCTACGTCGTCGTTTGGCATTCGCTCTCTTAACTGATTTTCGTTAGTTTTTTTAAAATGATTTATTTATTTTTCACAATGGGGGCCTTTTAGTCTTTTTCCACTACCCTGGCAAGGCACACTTAAAGTGTGTGTTCTTTTTGGTTTTCAGATTTTCAGTCTTAACTCTCTCTCTCTCTCTCTCTCTCTCTCTCTCTCTCTCTCTCTCTCTCTCTTTCTCTATCTCGCATTGCAAACAACTTTCAAATATGGTGCTGCAAAGTGAAGATGAGCTGCTTCAATTTTTGGCTAACCTTTTCATTTCGGGTAATTAGGTTCCTATCCTCCTAGGTGCCCCAATTAGTTCTTGTTTGTATCCCATATGCTGTTTTGAGGTTGTTGGTGAATTGTAAAAGGATATGTTTCAATTTTCGTGATGTTAGTGTTATGCTATTATTACATAGTTCTTCTTGCAACATTTTCCTTTTCTATGGATTCTAGTTACTGTTCAAAATTGTATCCTTGTTTGTATCCCATGTGCAGTCTTCAAAGGGAGTAAGTCGCTAATGGGCTAGGCTCTATTGAGGGAGTAAGTCGTTGACGGGCTATGCTTTAATAAAGGAGTCACTTAAGTGGTTACTCTTACAATTGTGGAGAATGTATGGTTGGGGCACAATGTTTGACGTAATGTTGCTAACTGATATTCAGAAGGAAGGATTGTTCCAAAAGTGGATCCCGAAGTCTTACTCGTGATGATGATTTCTAAGGACATGGAGTGTGTCCGCACTTGATGGTATACAAAGTTGGAGTACCTTGGTGTTGACATCTTACTTGTTCCCGTGTGGATGCTATGAAAGTGGTTATGCTAAGTCCGAGTTTGGGCATTGGTAGTTAGGTAGTTCTACTCGTAGTAGGGATGATGTTTAACCTTGGTGAATTGTGATGGCCTAAGTGTTGTGGAACTTTGTTTTGGACGGACGTGGATGTGAAGGTGTGTCGACGACATAAATAGGGGAAACCCATGAATGCCATGGAGGTATGGTCGTGCAGATGCATAAGCAAATGGGGGTGCCATGGATGACACTCGGTTGGGTTACGAGTCACACCCAGGCTATGTGCATATCTTTCAATGTGGAATTACCTGACCAGCGAGCTATGTGTTTGTTTGATGGTTGTGTGCAACAAGAGACAGAGGTCTCGGCCCAAAGAAGGAAAGACGTGGAACTTCGAGAGAAGTTGAAAAAGGTGAACACAATGGTGCATTATGGTCCATGAAGCAAGGAGAATAGAATATTCCTATATGGTGTTGTTATGCGACAGTGCAATGGGCACGTCGACGAGGACGTCACCATTATCAATGGGGAAGAATGTCACAAATCGCACATAAGCGAGTGCTATCATGACTCCATTGGGACATCTATGCGCTTACAAGGTAGTCTAAGTGTGGAAGGACGAGGGCTTAAGAGCTAGAATGGTTTGTGTTGGCCGGGTTGCACTCGTGAAGGGTATTTTGGATATTTCTGAAGGTTGTGGGAGGAATATGAGGAAGCTAAGAATACTGGGACATTTGGGATGTTGACATACGTTCAATGCAACTGACGGTTCACCATTCGAAGTTCATATGAATTAGTTATGCCCAATTATGACTCCTCGTGCATAGGTGATTTTTTCTCCTGATAGAAGGCTAAATGCATAAAATGCTATATAGGGGTGACATTGTGTCACGCTCTCCACCACCCTTAGTGCTTACACCCTTGTGACACTAAGTGAGCATCCTTATGACATTGGAGGTAGTCATAAGGGTGGGCATGAGATTGTTGAAGGACAATTTAGGTATATGAGGGAATGGACTTCCCGAGGATAGTAAGAACACATGGGGCCATTAGTATTGCACATCGTTGTGAAGAGTGAGGTCAACATATGGCATTAGCTATGCCGTCAGCAAGCGAGGCATTTGACAATACTTGATGGACTTGGCTTGGGGTTCGGCCTTGTCTAATATGGAAGGAAGATATTCAGTATTCTGGTACGTCTGTCTAATATGCAATGCATAGATGATTATGTGGGACATTCGGAATACATATGTCGCCAAGGCTTGGGCGACATGAGAGTGTGATAGCTTGCGTGTATAGCTTGAGGATGTGAGATATCTTGGCTGCTAACAAATGACCAACATAAGTGTGGGTAAAACGATGACCTGTTGGATCGTTATGTCTTGACTTGGGAAATGAGCGAGCCACAAGTGGGGCATGTGACATGGTCGATGCACTTGACGTGTCTTATGTAACGTTTGATGTAAGGGTATTGAGGGTTCGTTGTTGGATGCGGGATGATTGTATTGTCACAAGATAGTGTAACTCGTTGTCTAGCTATGGGGCATGGCGCCTACGGGAGACGACACTTGATGGTCAACCTCTTGCGGAGTTGTGAGAGTCATGAATATCATGAAGATCAGAGAAGGCTAACTGGGATCCGAAGGGATCCTGGGCCTCACGGGACGTGCTTGGAGCGGCCGCTTGCTCATCCCGTGACACAAGGCACGTTGAAAGTGTGTATTCTTTCTGGTTTTCAGATTTTCAGTCTTAAAACCTCTCTCTCTCTCTCTCTCTCTCTCTCTCTCTCTCTCTCAAAAGTGGTCTCGCCATTGCAAACAACTTTTAGATTTGGTGTTGCAAGCGAAGAGGAGCTGCTTCAATTTTTGGGTAACCTTTTCGTTTTGGGTAATTAGCTTCCTATCCTCCTAGGTGCCCCAATTAGTTCTTGTTTGTATCCCATATGTTGTTTTGAGGTTGCTGGTGAATTGTAAGAGGAGATGTTTCAATTTCTGTGATGTGTGTTATGCTATTATTACATAGTTCTTCTAGCAGCCTTTTCCTTTTCTATGGATTGTGCTTACCATTCAGAATTGTATCCTTTTAGTTTTTTTTTAATTTTTATTATTGTAAATGTGCCAATTTGATCCTATAACATGTTGCCCAGTCATTAAATACATCTTATAGGGTTGTCCTTCAAAATTTTATAAATAGATGGCCCTCAAAACAAAGTCTAAACTAAAATATGATGAATCACTAGTTTTTCTTTGGGGCTTTTACTTGTTATATAGTTGCACATGCATGGACACACGCATAATATGTAATTTCTTCTTTTCAAACTTCAATTTGATTGCTTCTATGATAAGTTTGGTGTTCTTAAAAATATTTTTTTCAATTATAAGTGCTGTGATGGAAGAAGGTGCAGGAGAAGCTACCATCTTCAAAGAAAGATCCGGCCGGAGAACTCCATGATATACTTATACAGATAATGAAACTAGAAGAGCTGTCATGGATGCCTGTTTCGTTAATGTTGTTGCATTTTGAATTTGTGTGTTCTCATTCCTCTTATTATTTTTCTATCATTTCTAATAGAGGAAGCTTACTTATGTCTAAACTTTCTAAGAGTACTTATCCCAGTTGTTCAAGTTTTCTGTTCGAGATCTGGCATGTAAACAAACAAGTTAAAAATTTGTAGCAGGTGGCATCTAAGTATCTGAAACAAAGAAAAAATAGAGCCCCTCATTTCCTAAACCGCTTAAATGTTTCTTACTACTAGAATGACATTTACAGGAATCCATGGGAAAAGAAAAACTTTTTATAATGTAGGTGGCTTCTACCTGTATCTTAGCATTGATCTGTTGGAATATTCTAACATCTAGAATATAAGTCGGCTCACTATAACCATATCAATTTATTGATTATACAGTGCGAGAAATACAAGCACTGTGATGTATGTTTGTAACATATACAATGTCGGCATGGTTGTCTAGAGTGAATGAAATATGGATCAAGTTGCAAGCAGGTCTAGGATTGTTGTCCATGTTGGAATAGGATCTTGATGTAGAACAACCCATAGGTATTAAATTAATCACTTAACAATCGAACAGAGAAGAATATAAGGGATTGAGGAGAAGAAATATAGGTCGAAAGGATGAGACAAAGGGCAGAAACAGTAGAACAAAGAAGAATATAAGAGGTCGAGGAGAAGAAAATATAGATCGAATGGACGAAATCAGAGAGTTCTAGGAAAAGGTTTACTCAACATTCAAATTTGAATTTTAAAAAACTACATGGGGGTATTTATAGTAAACTAAAACCTAGACATAATAGGATAAAAATCCCTTGCCTAAACAGAAATTCTAACCCAAATGAAATAGGAAACTTAAAACTAGAAATATGGGAATCTGGAAAAGTAGAAATCCTACTAAAATTGGAAAAACTAGAGAATCTAGGAAACTAACAAATACATTAGGAACTACATCACACCGATGCCGGCCTCACTTCTGAACTACATCCTCTTTTCCAAAATTAAGGAAAAAGAGTACGAGACGTTCTGCCGAAATTTCGGCAGTCTCCCTTGTAAATTGAGCATTTCCCAAATTTTTCAACCTGCATAAAACACATTTAATATCACCAACCGGAAGCATGCACAAGATAATTTCATGCAATTCACATATTCGGCCTCCGGCCTTCCAATAATCCGAAACAAAACTACCAACAGAGCTCTTAAGTCAAGTAATACCTTAACCAAGACAGATAATAAACTCAAACGTAATTATGAATGCCAAATGCAATTTTCATCATGAGATAATTAACAACCAACCACAATCACAAGTAGATTAAGGACTCGGTCCAAATCTTCGTTTACAGCATATATATATATCTCAACTGCCAGCATTTATTAAATTATATCTTAGAAAAACAAGTGTCATATCATTCTGGCCTCAGGCATCAACAAACTGAATAAAACATTATGCTAATAAAACTCATCTCAACTTCCAGAATATCAATAGTACCTTGGTAATCTCAAAGACTCCAACTCGTGGCTGCACCTTGTAACACTAGGCTACTTACGTACCCTTACTGAGGGATCAAGCCACATGTAGTTCTTCCAACAAAAATCCCAGTTCCAACCACATACAATCCATTACAGATACGAAATAATAGACTGTAGAATTTTTTCCCTTTCCCTTTTCTTTAAATCACAACCTACCAAACATAATCCTTTATTCATCGCCCTGTTATTTTATAATCTTCCCATACACCGGAAAATCCAACGCCACGTATGGGAAGTGTCTCACACTCCAGAAAAGCCAACGCCACGTGTGAGACCTGATAGTAATATATTATTCCCACATGCCGGAAAATCCAACGCCATGTGTGGGAAGTGTCTCACACGCCGAAAAATCCAACGCCACATGTGAGATCTGATAGTCACATATTCTTCCCATACGCTGGAAAATTCAACGCCACGTATGGGAAGTGTCTTACACGCCTAAAAATCCAACGCCACGTGTTAGACCTAACAATCACATAATCTTCCCATACGCTGGAAAATCCAACGCCACGTATGGGAAGTGCCTCACACGTCGGAAAATCCAATGCCACGTGTGAGACCTGATAATCATATATTCTTCCCATAAGCCGGAAAATTTCCAATTTAAATTCAAATAACAATTAAGACTCGTTCACAAGGTTATCCTAATACTTTTCGAATGGTGAAACCACCTCGGAAGACTCACGGTCAACTGAGGGGTCAAACTACCCAAACTTGGTCAAACGGGCCCACGGGGCCCAAGACCTCCAAATTCTGATCCGAAAGTTCCAATGGGTTCTACAAGGTTTAGAATAGATGTCCTGCAAGTTTGGTCCCGATCGAACGGTTGGATCGCTCACGATCGCACGATTGGACGGTTATTGTAAAACACAAACTTCAAGTTATTAAATCGGAACATCCGGAGCTCTGATTCACGATCCGCGAATTCCTACACGATTCTAGGAGTGCCTAGATCACCATATATAAATTTCAAAATTATCCAACAGTTCCAACCTATTGAACCTGGATAACATACAATATGCTAAACCCGTTCGATAGTCAAATGACATCCGAATTGAAATCCAAGCACACCTACGCACTCATGAGAACTAGGAGATTACGTCGGGACACAATGCCCTTTTTCTACAGTGCCCACGCGCTGTTAGTGCGTGGGTGTCCAAAGCGATTACGCTTCGCTGGAAAATCTCAAAATCACAGCTCAAGACTCCTATCCTATGTGTACCCTATTTCGAACCACTTTTATTTTCGGACCTACCCCAAAAAAAGACCAGAAGTGACCGGAATCGCGATCCCAAAACCGACTGAAATCGAATTTGAAAATCAAGCTACCTAAGCTCAAAATTGATGCAATCCTACCCAACCATCAGCTAGATTATGAAGAATTGATGAATTTTCATACCTTAATCACCAAAAATGGCGGCCAAATGAGAGAGATCGGAGCAGACGAAGTTTCAAGCGAAAACCGGCCTAAAAGTCACGTTTTCTGGCAGCTGGAGAGGCGGCCGATGTCGGGGAAGGGCCGGGTCTTGACGGCGGGGCTGAACCGGTCCTATTGGCACCGGTCCCGTCCATTGCCATGGCCGTTGGCCGGAGTTTCGAAGAGAGATAAAGAGTGGGCTATCGTCGGGGAGAGAGAGAGAGAGAGAGAGAGAGAGAGAGAGAGAGAAGAGAGAGAGAAATCAGATTTTATCAAACCCTTTTCGCAAAAATTATGATTATGCCACTGAGGGTATTTTGATCATATCTTTTTCGTTACAGCTCCAATTCGGGCCCATTACGTGTCTACGGACTCATCTCGCTGTGCTCTATGCAACGGTACAATAGAAATTCCCAAATTATTTTCCGGTAAAAAAGTCAACTTTAAACCAAATAAAATATTCTAGGGGCAAAATGGTCTTTTATCTGAATAATTAATAATTACCAATTTATTTAGGACCGGGTCGTTACACTATGCATCCTGCATCATTCTCTCCCTGTGAAAAGAACTCGACTCCGATGAGTAAACAACCACAAAATGTAAATTAATGATGATAACGCCGACTACAAGTATGAATAATAGGGGACAAATTTCAACAATCATCGATATCTGGATCATAGACACCTTCGAGAGGCTCCACAATCTGACAAAGCTCACTAGCGGGAGTGTTGATAGTTAAAGTTCGAACGGAAATATTCAATGTGTGAGTATTAGTTGAAAGAGCCGATCCTTTGTTAGGTGGTGGTGCAAGAGGGTTAGATGGTCCTGAAAACCCTGTCTGCATACCCGTATTGGGAAGAGTTTGGTTGACGGTTGCGAGTTGCCTAGAATATCTTGAATGTTGTGGCGACAAATATGTCTCAGCATCCAAGCTTGGCAATAGGCGTCCTCCAACACATCTGGACGTGACCTAATTACCTTGTGTGTGGGATCATCCCTAAGGCCATGAATAAAATGAGAAACTGTAACTGCGAGCTCTTCCTGCAGAAAGGATGGAAGGTATTGTTCTCGAAGTTTTAATTTCATCTCATCCTATAAAATCACAGGGTTTGGCTAAACTCTTTACTCTTTACTGTGTGAGTTTCCATTTGAACACACACATGCATTAGTGTAATCCATTTTATTTGTTCGGTCATCTAATGTTCTTAACTAATCATTTTTTATATGTTTTCGATTAGCAGTCAATCAGTGGTTTGGGAAAGCTGTATACTCTTGGAAATATTTTGGATGATTTTGTGTGTCAAAGGCATGGGCCATATTCTTATGATCAGGTTGAATTGGGTACTTATCCCTTCTGTGAATGGTAAATTTGTGTTTTTATTGGATGTGTACTGTGAGTCTCTTGCCTGATGAATCACTTTTGAGCGATCTCATTCTGGAAGATTATTAAGACTTGGTTTTATTTTGGATTCAATAAGATGTTTTCGTATCTCAGAATTCAAAGACAATGAAGATGGATTATATTGTCTCAATGACAATAAAAATTGTGAAGTTTTAATTGCTAAATCGAGTGAGAAAAAGATTAGAAGTGTAGGAACATTCACTAGGTTATGACATGGATGTGTAGGGCACATTTCAAAAGAAAGAATGAAAATTCTTGTTAAAGAACAAATCTTGCCATTAATGACTTTCGGTGATGATGAAATTTGTATTGAATGTGTTAAAGGAAAACTCACTAAGACTAAAAGGAAAGTTGCAGTAGTGATCTTTTAGAAATCATCCATACAAACATTAGTGGACCATTCCCTCATCTGACAATTGATGGAAATCGCTATTTCATCACCTTTATAAATTACTATTCTCATTTTGGTTATCTATATCTCATAGCAGAAAAGTCTCAAGCTTTTAAAATGTTCAAAAAATTTCAAACTGAAGTATAAAGACAACTTGAGAAAGAGATCAAACTTGTGAGATCAGGCATAAAGGGTAAATATTATGGATGTTTGATGAAGGAGGAAAACATGCTAAACCTTTTTACTAGGTATCTACAAGAAAATGGAATCGCTGCTTAGTACACAACGCCAAGAATTCTGCAACAGAATGGTGTGGCTGAGAGAAGAAATCGAACTTTGAATGATTGAACTTTGAAGGACATGGTTCTTAGCAAGATTTCCAAAACTGATTTGCCTACGCTTTTTGAGATAGGCGATCAAAACAACAAACTATAGAGTGCATAGTAACTTCGTACCTAAGACATTTTTTCGAAATTTGGACTTCTAGAAAGCTTAACCTGCGACATCTTCATGTATGGGGTTGCAAGGCTGAAGCTAGAATCTATAACCCTTAATAGAAGAAGCTCGATCCTAAAACGATTAGCTGTCATTTTATAGGTTATGTCACAAGGTCAAAGGGTTTTAGATTTTATTATTCAAATTATGGTACCCGAATTGTTGAGACTGGTTGTACAAAGTTTATAGAGCATTAGGAGAATGCCACTGGGAATGAAGATTTTATTTTCGAAGAAGAATGTGATGTAGTTTTGCTCGAGAATGATGAACAAGATGTTACACCTTTGATTCCTTTAAGTGAAACTGTATTGGAACCACCTCAGTTTGAAGAACCAGTTGATCAACAAGAACAAGCTGTCGAGAATCCTGAGCTAGATACTCCACAAGAACCAGTGTAACCGAGGAGATCTGACAGACCAAGAAGATCCACAGAAATTCAGATTATGTGTAGTTACAAGAAGCAAATTTTGACATTAGAGATTAGGCTAATCCAACAAGTTTTAAAGAAGCTATGGAGATTCAGAATGCAGACAAATAGAGGGAAGCAATGTTGAATGAACTCGAAAGCATGAAGAATAATTAAGTATGAGAATCAGTTGAACCTCATAAGAGCCAGAAATTGGTAGGCTCGAAATGGGTATTTAAAACAAAGAAGGATAAAGATGGAAGAATCGAAAGATTTAAGGCTAGATTGATAGCAAAATGATTCACCCAAAGGGAGGGAATTGACTAAACTGAGATGTTTTCTCCAGTTTCCACCAAAAATTCTTTCCGCATCATTATGGCTTTGGTGGCTCATTATGACTTACTTTTACATCAAATGGATGTAAAAACTGTTTTCTTGAATGGTGAACTTGAAGAAGAAAATTTTATGAGGCAACCCAAAGGGTTTGCAAAGTATGGAAAAAAGCATATGGTTTGCAAACTTGGCAAGGCAATTTATGGACTAAAGCAAGCAAGCATGAGAACTAAAGCAAGGTGGTATTTCGAATTCCATTAAACTGTTTGATCTTATGGTTTTAAAGAGAACATAGCCGATCAATGCATTTATTTGAAGAAGTGTGGAAGCTAATTTACTTTTCTAGTGGTGTATGTTGACGATATACTTTTGGCTACAAATGAGCACAATTTATTGAAAGAGGCTAAATAACTATTTTCAAACAATTTTGAGATGAAGGATTTGGGAGAAGCCGTTTTGTGTTAGGCATTGAAATTCAGAGAAACTAAGCTCAAGGTCTCCTAGGCCTGTCGTAGAAAACATACATTGAAAGGATACTCAAGCGTTTTGACATGAGTATGTATTATGGACAGAAAGTTCCACTAGCTAAAAGAGATTTAAAGAAGGTGCATTGCCCCAAGAATAAAGAAGAAGAAGATTCTGAGGTACTACGGAGAAAAAAGGCTTATATGTTGATTTACAAACGCACAGAGAATTTAGAGCTTGTTGGTAATGCTGATGCGAATCTTGGAAAAGCAGAGGATGATTACAGCTCTACTTCTGGTTTTCTTTTCAAGATGGTAGGAGCAGTTGTTGCTTGGAAGAGTGCTAAACAATCTGGTGTTTCTAGTTCAACCCACTGTGCCAAAATTCACTTTCCGCAACACTACATAGGCATCGGCAAAATGAAATACGGATGCTGTTTGTATATTAGACATTGGTTTTATAAATAATAAGACTAAAAGTATATAAAGGCATCAGCACAAATTTTTGGTTTTTCCTACCGATGCCATTGATTATACTTAGCATCTGTGATAGAAATATACTGATGCGTAAAATGATTGTGCAAAAAATAAATTTAAGCGCCACATTTAGCTCCAATGTCAAAAGCTTAGTTGACTGCTACAGTGATTTTTCGCTAAAAAATGTCAATCCCTCGTGAATATTTCAGATTCCCCCCATTTCACCAAAAATTTCCCTCTCCTCTCTCATGATACCCAGTCACAGAGTCACTCTGAGCTCTCATCCTTCTCACCTTCAAACTCCATCTCTTCTCTCTCGCGATACCCCCAGTCACCATAAACCCTCTCTCACTGTACCCACAATGTTTTCCAAATACGTAGCTTGCTATGAAGCCACTTCTCATGCACTATGGCCAAGGAATTTTATTAAAGACATTAAGTAGTGGACTCGATTTCTAGACAAATACATATATATATAATGACAACATTGCGGCTGTTTTTCACTACATGAACAACAAGATGTCGTTTGGACTTCAACATATTGACAGAAAATATATAATAGTGAGGGAGAAGGTAGCGGACAAACTAGTCAGGTTTGATCATATCAGAACTCAAGATATGATTGCATATCCGTTCACAAAGTTTTTACCTTCAGAAGCTTTTTTGAGGCATGTTAAGAGCATGAGATTATTTCCTAGCTTTGATGCTGCAATCTAGTGGGAGTCTTGTTCCCATTATGATATTTTACTAGTTTGTTTATTTTGTTGTTTTCTGGATTGAGGGATTTGCATTTATGGATGTTAATTTGGTTGACAGTTTTATTTATTATTGAATAAATTCTACCATTTTGACTATTTAGCTATTTAAACTTATTATGCAATTTTGTTTATACATCTGAGTTTATGGTCTCTTTTAAGATACTATAGTTTTAATAACATTGCGGATTGACTCTTGCTAAGTCGTAAAGGGGTACATGTACTGAAAAGCATAAAGATTCACATTACGGATTAGTACATATTAAGGTTCACGTTTGTAGGTGCTTCATGTGTTTTGAGATTGTATTATGTGATTATAGATGACATGTTTTTAATAAAGAGAGCAGTGCTTGTCTATAGTTCATTTTGTCTAATCACTTTTCACTGTAGCTTGAGGGGAATGACTTAACTGTTTTAAACCCATGGCCAATAAAGATTATCAAACCTTTTGGAATAGAGAAACTTAGTGCTCTAGTGCTTGATCTAGTCAGAGAATGTTATGTTTTCCTATTTAGATTGATGCACTAGATACTAAGTTATATCATGTTTTGATAAGAGTTTAAATTAAGTTATACCTTGAGGCCCAAAACCTTGTGGAATAAGGAAGGGTTTTGAAGCCTATTAACGGGTCCTATTTATTTCCTTTTTTGCGTGAACCGTTTTGGTAGGCTTGGAAGATTAGTCAAGTCGCCCCTCGGTGATGAGTAGAGACGACTTGACCTAGCCCTATATAAGCTAAGGCCCTGCTCTCATCAGACATGTTCTCTAACCCTAATCTCATCATAAAGAGAGAGCTGAAATAGATTCTAAGAGAGAGCAGAAATCTTGAGCCGTTCCTGTGCTTGCTGGGATTACTGCTGCTGCGGATTGAATGAGTTTAGAGGTCGTGTACTCAAGAAAGATGGCTTCAAGTATGTTTTTATGTCTTTACGTATTCAGATTGTGTGAAAGATCTTGAACATGTATATAAAGAAATCTAACATAGTGCTCCTTTCCCTGTTCAGGAGGTGTTAGTGGAGAATGATTGAATTTTCTTTCTTTTCCCTCCCTTTAACCATAGAGAATGAATTCAATAAGGTTACTACAAAATTTTCTTCCACAGTTGCTAGCCATCCTTTTGAAGAATCACAAAATCTCATATTCTTCTTGGACATTCTTATTTGCAAATTCAGAACCTTATCATCCATAAGGTTGTATAAGCAGCACTGTGTTAGATCAAGCACATTGGAGTTGTCATCTTAGCGAGTTTACTTTCATTATCCTTTGCTACAGAATGCCACAACTTACAAATAACACTGAATCATAAATAGTCTAGTGGTGATACTAATAACTCCAGAACTGAATCTAGAAGGTGCTTAGGCAAGTTTTCCCAATATGAGAACACAAAGAAAAATTAAATTAGAGAGATGAATTTCAATAGGTTCGTACAATTTGAGTTATGGAAAAATAGAATATCATAATAAAAACATCTTTCACTTTCTGCTAAAGATTGGAGGATGGTAAAATAAATACATTAATTACAAAAAATAGTGTTTGTTTGGAAAACATACCTAGATTCATGATTTCAAACCCTAGAAGAAGAATCCTTTCGATTTTGTTTAGAAAACTAAAAGCTTTCATCTATATATATATATATATATATATATATATATATATATACAGAGAGCTTCCATTGAGGGATCCCTCAAATAAGCTTATTTGAGGGACACCCCTTGTAGGGCCCACTCCAGATTGCATTTCACTAATCCATACCGTCTATTTTGTAGATACTCATTCAAAGATCATCTCTACAAAAAATCAATTGAATCCGATATCATTTGACCATTCAATTGAGTTATTGAAATTTTAGTACTTTCTTGAAGCGCCGTGTTCATTGATTTTGTAGGACACAATTGGATGTCGAAACGGTTTCCGATTTGTCTAATTTTTTGTAAGGATGATCTATGAATGAAGACCTAAAAAATAGATGGTTTGGATCATTGGAAAAAAAATTGTAGGGTACCCTAAAAGACGTCCCTCAAATAAAATTATTTGAGGGATCCCTCAATAGAAAGGGACTGTATATATATATATATATATATATATATATTGTATTCTAGTACTCCTTTGAATAATAGGATTTTATTAGACTTAGGAAACTGTTGTCTATTGGAATTAGGAAACCCACGTACCTTCCTTAGAATTTCGACAAGTAAATCGTAAATAGTAAAATTCCCAAATAGTTACTTTTTCCACAAATAATTAAAAAAAGCTTTTTAGATCCAAATCTCGTCGACTGGAATTTGCTCTCTCTATTAGGGGTGGGCGCGGTCCGGTTCTCACCTCAAACCGGAACCGGAACTAGTACTATTTAACCGGTTCAATTTTGTCCAATTTAGGCAAAAAAAATTTCAACAATCGGCCGGTTCAATTCTGACCGGTTCCGATTTTGAATAGGATTATTAATTTAAATTTTTTTCAAAATTTTTTATTATAAAAAATTATAATAAATAACTTATTTTTTTGGCTTAAAAATTAACAAATAATCCAATTCATAAATTCAGAATTTTTTTGAAGTTGAACTTGGAAAAATAGTGATTATAAAATTTAAAATATGGCATTAGATTTTAAAAATTTGTAAAAAAAAAATTACCGGTCCGGTTCGGTGTGGTGAGGTGTAAAACCGGAACCGAAACCGGTTGGAACAGATTCGGTCCAATTTGTTGACTTTTTTGGTCAACCGATTTTTTTCCACCAATTCGGTTAGATGTTCTGGTTTTCCTTTCAGAACCCGTTGCCTGCCGGGACTTGTGCTTGAAGCTACCAAACCCAACTCAACCTCAACAGCGGTCAAAACTCGCCGTTTCACTTGCTTTCCTCCTCTACATTTTTGAGTCCCGCGTTTCTCTCTCTCACTCATTTAAGCTCAATGCTCTGTTTGGTGGCTGAGAAAAACTGAGGTAAACAATTCGGACATGCTTCTTCTGATTCTCCAGTTTCATTATCTTCTCTGAAATCATAGCCGCCAAACGGAAACGGATCTTCTCTTGTGCTTCTAAGAAATGGAGCCCCGTCTTTAAGTTTCATTTTCTTTTCTTTTCACACAGAGCAAGCTATGCCACTCTGTGAAGCTTGAGTTTTCCTGTTTTGGGGTATTTGTCAGGTAGCAGAGTTGGAATAAAAAGAATTTTGCTTTCAGATGGAAGAGTAAGTCTTGCTTTTTATTTTGAAAGAATTTTGCTTTGCTGAAACAACAAAAGAAAACTTCAATTTGGTAATGGAATGTAGGGAGAATGCGGTGGAGCTTTTGCAACGGTATCGTCGGGACAGGCGAATACTTCTGGATTTTATACTTGCCGGTAGCTTAATGAAGAAGGTGATAATGCCTCCTGGTGCGGTTACCCTAGATGATGTGGATCTAGACCAAGTCAGTGTTGATTATGTGCTCAATTGTGCTAAGAAAGGTGGTTTATCTGGTTTGTTTATTGTTGATTTCGACTTATTGGTTTTGTTAGGTTTCTTTCTTTACATGTATAGACACTATTTTTGTTATGTAGGTGGAATGCTTGAACTCTCGGAAGCTATTAGAGACTACCATGACCATACTGGGTTACCCCAGATGGTAAGTGCAATTTAAGACATGATTTAGTGAATTATTCTCATGTTGATTAGTGAAAACTTTTGTCAGCTTTGGAGTTCAAATCTGGTTGGAGATTTAGTGTTGTTATTACCCCTTTTGTTTTTAATGTGGATCCAAATTAGGACCAATCAAGGAAATAGAATTCCCAATTAATAGTCTTTCCTTCTGCAGCTCCTGTGCTCATTATTTATTCTCATGTTTTCTGGGTTTTGGTTGATTTATGTTTTTTTATTTTTTGTTTTGTAATTTGGATTAGGATAATCACAAAAAAAAATTATTTTCTAATTAGTTATCTTTTGCGTATTATCAAGGTTCGTTTCCTCTTGTTCCTGTTAATTTGTTTGCTTAAATTATACCCATTCTGTTCATTTTTCCACTTTACCAGAACAGTACAGGTTCTGCTGGTGAATTCTTTTTGGTTACGAATCCTGAGTTTTCCGGTTCTCCTCCAAAACGGGCACCACCACCTGTTCCGGACTTCGTGCCACCTCCTGTTCTAACTCCACCTCCTGGTGTCTTTTCATCTATTCCTGACCTTGACTCATCTCCGGTTGCATCAAGTGTGTCAAAGTCAGAATCTTTTAACTACACACAAGCTCAAGAACTGACTGTAGACGATATTGAAGATTTCGAGGATGATGATATTGATGAGGCTGACAGTCTCCGGATTTCACGAAGGATTCGAAACGATGCTACTGATCTTTCGCTTGGATTGCCTTCTTTTAAGACAGGTATTAGATTTTAAAGCCATTGAAATTGTATCAAAACTAAATTATGTAAAATTTCCCCTGCATGAAACTAGTCTAATTAATGACCTACACTTCCCACATGATGGCCCTTGGGTGTGGGCTCATGTGATAAAGAGGTAGGTGCGGATACATTAAACCTTTTATTTGCTTTGGAAACACCAGAAATAGGGGCAGTGGGTTGTTAAACAATAGTGCAACTTGTGTTTTTCTTTGAGGGTGTATGTGGAATATGATGGAATTTTTGTGCATTTCTCTTGTATTTTTATCTCTTATTAAAAAGAATTCTACTGATCTTGTTTGGGTGTTAAACTTTTCTTCTCTCTCTCTCTCTCTCTCTCTCTCTGTGTTTTTGGTAAACAAGAAAAAAAGAAATAGAAGAAAATGACCTAAAAGCTACCCAGTCCCAGTCACTGTTTTACCATGTCAACTATGGCTCATGTGGCATATAGTTGGGCGTTAGGTGTTCTTTTGTTATAAACTAACAAATTAGCACCCGTTTCCTGTTTTACCACCATGTGAACTCCGGCCCATAATTTTTGATAATAATGATTTATTTTATAACTTGGTGGTTTCAGTCAAATTTTGTACTTTTAATATTTGGTCTACATTTCCAGCATGGTTCCTTCTCAATTTTTTGCATGTTGCTTTTGGTATAATTATATTTGTTTAGTTTTTCATTTCGCCCCCTTTCCTTTCTCTTTTGATTGTAGTTTCTTCCACCTTCCACAGGTGAACTCCAACGAACAGAATGCTTAAGATCTCTTCGAGAGATTGCCAGTCCACTTGCTGAGAGGCCTGCTCGTGGTGACTTAACTGGTGAAGTTTGTCACTGGGCAGATGGTTATCACTTGAACATTAGACTGTATGAGAAACTGCTTCTCAGTGTCTTTGATATGTTAGATGGGGGAAAGTTGACTGAGGTTAGTACTTTTGGTTCTTTGCCATGGCAACACGGCTCTGTCAAAATCTACAAAAGAACTGCATTCATTTACATTGCCAAGTCACTTTCTGCTTGATTGGTTGGGTTTTAAAAGCTTTCTGGAGTTAGGATCTCCATTCTGTTTTAAAAGCTCTGAGATTTCAGAATTTGTTCTGTAAAATAAAATGTAGTTTTGCTTTACTTCATAGTGATGTATGGTAGTTTAGGAAACTCAACCTTAATTTTATGTGGTGGGTGCTAGGGTTGAAAGAATTATGGGTTTAAGGCTTGGAACTGTAGAAAGAAAGCTTTAGGGGTTGTAAATTAGTGGTGAAAAGGTTGAATCTTGATTGCTGAAATTGATGGAAATCTAAGAAGAATGCTCATTTTATGAGTGCTTATTTGGGGGCAAATATTGTGGAATGTGGGGATAGGGAGAGAATTAAGGTCTTGAAGAGATAAGAACAGAGAAAAGTCGGGGGTTGTTGTGCCAAGTTAAACAATACGAGAGAGATAGAGATGACTGAAAATCTGAAAACCAAAAAGAGCTCACACTTTAAGTGTGCCTTGCCAGGGTAGCGGAAAAAGACTAAAAAGCCCCCATTGTGAAAATAAATAAATCATTTTAAAAACTAACGAAAATCATTAAACAGCAAGAACGCCGACGTAGAGGGAGACGAGAAAGAGAGCTCATTCTCTCTGTTTTAGCGCTTTGTAAACAGAGCGCGAAACTCACATCGCACTAGGAAGAACGAACACTAATGCAGTTAGACATGAACTATATAAAGAGCTCTGAGCTCTCTCTCTCTCATTTCCAGTTCTCATTTCTCACAGAGAGAGAGAGAGAGAGAGAGGAGAGAGAGAGAGGAGAGAGAGAGAGAGAGAGAGAGAGAGAGAGAGAATGTGAGAGCGAGCGAGCTAGAGAGAGAAGGTGAGAGCGAGTTAGAGAGAGAGAGAGAGGGAAGGCGAGAACGAGTTAGAGAGAGAGCGATGGAGTCGATTTCAAGGTAACTATTTGAATTTGATTACTACTTTCTTGCTCAATTTCAATTTATTGCATTATTTAACTATTGCATGTCAATTTAATTTTGAATTAATGGAGCTTGAACTAGCTAATTTTCAATGTTTGATTTCTGGAGCTTGAACTAGCTAATTTTCAATATCTGATTTTTGGAGCTTGAAATTTTTAGTTTGAGAGGTGAGTGATAGAGAGCAAAAAAGTAGTTATCTTTTCTAGCGGTAATTCTATGAATTTACTTTTTCTTAATTTCAGTTTCGCAGGAGCGTTCAATTCGTGATCGGTAATTTCAAAGTTGATTATTACTTTCTTTGCTCAATTTCAATTTATTGCCTCGTTTAACTATTGTATGTCAATTTAATTTTGAATTAATGGAGCTTGAACTAGCTAATTTTCAATGTGTGATTTCTAGAGCTTTCAATTTTTAGTTTGAGAGGTGGACCGATAGAGAGCAAAGTTATCTTTTGTAGTGGTAATTCTATGAATTTTCACTCTCTTAATTTCAGTTTCCATAATTTTAAGCTCTGTCATTTTCAACCTGTCATTTGTAGGTTAATTCGTTGATTTTCAACTGGAGATGGAGAACCAAGAGCTTTTAGTGAATGAAAATGCCTGTGTCGAATGTGAAGGTTCGGTCACATTTGGAAATGCAATTCAGAAACAAGAGCATTATATGCAATTCCACCCGGATATACAAACTTCTGCTAAGAATGAGAAACGAAAGAAGAAAGCTGATAAAGATAAGGCTTGCAATTTGTGCACAAGAATGTTTACCTCTGCTGGTGATTTGTTCAACCACCAGAAGCATCATCGATGTCGATTTCACATGGTTTGCACCAAGCCTAAATGCAAGAAGTTTACTACTCATAGTGATTATCAGAATCACTTGAAAGGGTGCAAATAAGCTGCTTTCCGTTTGCTGTGCTTGGTGTTGATTCATCTGGACACGCATGGTCTCCAACAAACCAACCAATCCAGCTGCTCATTGAGACTGACTCAAGGATTTTCATTTCTACTACATCCAAGTTTCCTCATCAGCTTGGACCCCTTCAAGTGATTCTGATAATCAATTTCAGTAGTAAACTTCTTCTTGCATTTAGGCTTGGTGCACACCGTGTGAAATCGACCTCGATGATGCTTCTGGTGGTTGAACAAATCACCAACAGAGGTAGACATCTTTGCGCACAAATTGCAAGCCTTATCTTTAACAGCTTTCTTCTTTCGTTTCTCATTCTTAGCAGAAGTTTGTATCTCCGGGTGGAATTGCATATAATGCTCTTGTTTCTGAGCTGAATTTCCAAATGTGACCAAACCTTCTGCACAGGCATTTGCATTCACTAAAGCTCTTGGTTCTCTATCTCCAGTTGAAAATCAACGAATTAACCTACAAATGACAGAGCTTAAAATTATGGAAACTGAAATTAAGAGAAAGTGAAAATTCATAGAATTACCACTACAAAAGATAACAACTTTGCTCTCTATCGGTCCACCTCTCAAACTAAAAATTGAAAGCTCTAGAAATCACACATTGAAAATTAGCTAGTTCAAGCTCCATTAATTCAAAATTAAATTGACATACAATGGTTAAATGAGGCAATAAATTGAAATTGAGCAAAGAAAGTAATAATCAACTTTAGAATTACCGGTCACGAATTGAACGCTCCAGCGATACTAAAATTAAGAGAAAGTAAATTCATAGAATACCGCTAGAAAAGATAACTACTTTTTTGCTCTCTATCACTCACCTCTCAAACTAAAAATTTCAAGCTCCAGAAATCAGATATTGAAAATTAGCTAGTTCAAGCTCCAGAAATCAAACATTGAAAATTAGCTAGTTCAAGCTCCATTAATTCAAAATTAAATTGACATGCAATAGTTAAACGATGCAATAAATTGAAATTGAGCGAAAAAGTAGTAATCAAATTCAGATAGTTACCTTGAAATAGACTCCATCACTCTCTCTCTAACTCGCTCTTGCCTTCCCTCTCTCTCTCTCTCTCTCTAACTCGCTCTCACCTTCTCTCGCTTGCTCTCACATTCTGTCTCTCTCTGTGAGAAATGAGAGAGAGAGAGCTCAAAGCTCTTTATATAGTTCATGTCTAACTGCATTAGTGTGATGTGAGTTTCGCGCTCTGTTTACAAAGCACTAAAACAGAGAGAATGAGCTCTCTCTTTCTCGTCTCCCTCTACGTCGGTGCTCTTGCTGTTTAATGATTTTCGTTAGTTTTTAAAATGATTTATTTATTTTTCACAATGGGGGCTTTTTTCCGCTACCCTGGCAAGGCACACTTAAAAGTGTGGTGTTCTTTTTGGTTTTCAGATTTTCAGTCCTTTCTCTCTCAAGTGGTCTCGCCGTTGCAAACAACTTTCAGATTTGGTGTTGCAAAGCGAAGAGGAGCTGCTTCAATATTTGGGTAACCTTTTCATTTTGGGTTAATTAGCTTCCTATCCTCCTAGGTGCCCCAATTAGTTTTTGTTTGTATCCCATATGCTGTTTTGAGGTTGCTGGTGAATTGTAAGAGGAGATGTTTCAATTTTCGTGATGTTAGTGTTATGCTATTATTACATACTTCTTCTTGCAGCCTTTTCCTTTTCTATGGATTGTGGTTACTGTTTAGAATTATATCCTTTTTTGTTTTTGTTTTTTATTATTATTATTTATTATTGTAAATGTGCCAATTTGATCCTATAACATGTTGCCCAGTCATTAAATACATCTTATAGGCACAAAAGTTGGCACTCAAAATTTTATAAATAGATGGCTCTCGAAACAAAGTCTAAACTAAAATATGGTGAATCACTAGTTTTTCTTTGGGGCTTTTACTTGTTATAATATGTAATTTCTTCTTCTTCAATTTGATTGCTTCTATGATAGTTTGGTGTTCTTAGAAATATTTTTTTCAATTATAAGTGCTGTGATGGAAGAGGGTGCAGGAGAAGCTACTATCTTTAAAGAAATATCCTGCTGGAGAATTACATGATATACTTGTACAGATAATGAAACTAGAAGAGCTATGATGGATGCCTGTTTCGTTAATGTTGTTGCATTTTGAATTTGTGTGCTGTCATTCCTCTTATCATTTTTTATCATTTCTAACAGAGGAAGCTTAGCTATGTCTGAACTTTCTAAGAGTACTTATCCCAATGGTCCAACTTTTCTGTTCGAGATCTGGCATGTAAACAAACAAGTTAAAAATCTGTAGCAGGTAGCATCTAAGTATCCGAAACATCCTAAACCGCTTTCATTGGACTGCTTAAATGTTTCTTACTACCAGAATGGCATATACAGGATTCTATGGGAAAAGAAAACCTTTTTATAATGTAGGTGGCTTCTACCTGTATCTTAACATTGATCTGTTGGAATATTCTAACATCTAGAATATAAGTCGGCTCACTTAACCATATCAATTTATTGATTATACAATGACAGAAATACAAGCACTGTGATGTATGTTCGTAATATATACACTGTCAGCATGGTTGTCTAGAGTGAGTGAAATATGGATCAAGTTGCAATACATGTATCTAAAATACTATAGTGAGTCATTTGTGCTGCTGGGATGTAAAATGCCCAGACTTGGTAGAATGTTATATAGTAAGTCTTTTTTATCATGACTTTTCCTCTTTTTCCAGTGTGTTTAGGCCTGCACACTTGCCTGCCTTCTATTATACTACTGGAAGGTAGCTATCTGTTAGACTTTCCTTCTTTAAAACCAAAAATAATAATAATAATTAATGACTGACTTTGATTCACTTTTGTTTTGGTTTGTTATGTACTTCAGAAAATAGAAATGGACTTCTTTTCCATTGCTTGTATAGTTTGAGTTTGATTCAATAAAAGTTCCTTTCTTTTAATTAAAAAGAGAACAGAAAAGAAAAATCTCATCCTGCTTGATAACTGGAAGCAAGCAAGTCTAGGATTGCTTTCCCTGTTGGAATAGGATCTATTCTTAATTTGTTAGGAAGGAGTGCTCTGAAATTATGTTTGGCTAAACTCTTTACTCTTTATTGGGTGAGTTTCTATTTGTACACACACATGCATTATTGTAATCCATTTTATTTGTTCGGTCATCTAATGTTCTTATCTAATCCTTTTTTATATGTTTACTATTAGCAGTCAATCAGTGGTTTGGGAAAGCTCTATGCTCTTGGAATTTTGGATGATTTTGTGTATCAAAGGCATGGGCCAGATTCTTGTGAACAGGTTGAATTGGGTACTTATCCCTTCTGTGAATGGTAATTTGTGTTTCTATTGGATGTGTACTGCAAGTCTCTTGCCTGGTGAATTACTTCTAAGCGATCTCATTCTGGAACTCGTGTCCATACTTCCTCAAGATTGAAAAGACAACGGCTTAGGTAATGCCTTCTTCATTTCCAAAACTCATCAAACTGGAGGAGCTTGAGACTGTATTAGAGGGAAAATCAAATTGTGGCCTAGTTCCTGGGTGTGTCTCGTTCTTGACCCTTCAGCAAGCAGCTCAATTGCTTGTGTAATTTAAATAATTGATGAGTGGCCTTTATTTCACATAACTTGGGTAGAAATATCTGGGAAATACCAGAAAGCAATATGTCTGAATCTGAGGAGAGGAGAAGATTGCATGGTGTCCAGATGAGTCTCCATCTCTTAAAGCTACAGATATCAGAACTATGTGGAATCCTGCTACTCTCTGTATGAATTTGATTTTTCCTGCTAATAGAATTTTACTTCCTGCTTTTGTTCATATGTGGTGCTGGTCTTAATTCAACATTCTATTAACTCATATAATAGGTTTTTTTTTCTTTTTGGAAGCACCAATATGAACAGAAAATAGTAAAATTCTTGCTTGAATTAGTACATTTTTGTTGAATGCATTCATGTGGTTGATGTTTGCTTTCATGTCTCTATTGAAGCACTGCTCCTTTAGTGTAATTAGTAGCATCATTCCTTCTTGTGGCAAATTGCTTATGATCTGAATTTGACCATTACAAAGTTCAGAACTCTGGAATACTAATATTCTAATGTAAAATACGTCCTTTGAAATCTCACCTTGTGTACTATATTCTAAACGATGCTCCTGGGTTTCGCAACACAAAATCTCTGTCGCAATTTTTTTTAAATTTTTTTAAATTCCAAAAATGTATATAGGGAGGGTTGTTCTAATATCTGTGAATATGCAAAGCAGTGATTATTCTTATTTGATATCCTGTGATAGGATTACAGCATTGTATAAAGTTTATATTCCTGTTCATGATTTATCTTGAAAGGATTGAGTATGTTCATTTTATTTATTTAATATAAGGATTGAGTATGTTTACTGCAGTAAACCGTACTTCTCTGATGATATCCCAGTTTAGGGCTGGGAATTTAAACCGCTAAACGGGCTGAACCAGTTGATGCTGTAAATTTTCTTTATCCTTTTTCTTTTGCGCTACTAATTTCTTTCTTTTCACCTCATATGGCAAGCAGTTTCTTCCTTGCTAATGTGGAGTTTGTTTGGAACAGGAATATTTGTAAACATTCCTGTGGTGAATGGTTGGACACAACCAATACTGATGAACTCCAAACACTAAGGAACAAATTCTGTCTGAAGGGCTAAAACTTCCCATTGTGCGAGTATGCTTCGTTTCTTTTCACCCACATTATATGATCTGATGATTTCGTTGGTTTTGGTTGTTTTGCTATCATCTTTATGTTTTCGTATTCATGTTTTGGAAATGCTTTAGAACTCCCTTTGCTGAACCTGTGTATTTTCACTGGAAACATGGCATTATATTTCAGGTTTTTGCTCCTTGTTAGTTTCACTTCCTTGACATGAAAAATGATAGTGGCTGCACTAATCCCGCTTAAGAGCAAGCCTGGAACTCCCCACTGCCTCTGATTACATAATAGTTTATGATGCGTTTGCAGTGGTACGCAATATTGCTGTGATCGGAGAGGCCTCATTATGAGGACAGAGTTTTTCTAAGCATTGGCCATTTATTGTGTACTCCGGATTGTCCTATCCTTGACAATAGGCCAAGAGATTGTGTTAGATGCGAGCGTTAGCACTTGAGAAAGCCTAATACGTTGAGAAACAAATGAAAACTTGCTTCTTAAGTAATCTGACTCCCAATCAAACAACTATATCCCAGGTGGGGAAATGTCACAGATTGCTGGAATCAGAGACCTCACTCTGAGGACATTAGTTTCGTATTGGTCATATATAAGATAAGTTTTGGTTCTCTTACAAAATGTATCTGCAAATTAAGTTGACACAAATTGGCTCCTCTTTATAGCAAGTTATTTGTTTTTGTGTCTGCTTTCATTTTCACGCTGAAGGCTAATTTGTTAAATTGTTTCGAAATCAACCCACTGCTCACCCTAACTCAACACTTGAATGACATCGTCAATTTCATTTAACATGGTTTCTACTTTAGTCCATGTTGAGTCCTTATTAAGTCTAATATAAGCCAATTCACGATCTAGCCCGTATATTACGAAAACAATGCAGTCGTTTGCATTTAATATTGGATTTGCTGAAATTGTAGCTCTGTAGAAATAATAGTCACAATTTTTAGCCCAATGCTCCTTTCCCCGTTCAGGAGGTGTTAATGGAGGAAGACGAATGATTGAATTTTCTTTCTTTTCCCTCCCTTTAACCATAGAGAATGGATTCAATAAGGTCACTATAAAATTTTCTTCCACAGGTACTAGCCATCCTTTTGAAGAACCACAAAATCTCATATTCTTCTTGGACATTCTTATTTGCAAATTCAGAACCTTATCATCCATAAGGTTGTATAAGCAGCACCGTGTTAGATCAAGCGCATTGGAGTTGTCATCTTAGCGAGTTTACTTTCATTGTCCTTTGCTACAGAATGCCACGACTTACAAATAATACTGAATCGTAAATAAACTAATGGTGATAATAATAACTCCATAACTGAATCTGAAAGGTGCTTAGGCAAGTTTTCCCAATATGAGAACACAGAAAAATTAAATTAGGGAGACGAATTTCAATAGGTTCATACAATTTGAGTTATGGGAAAATAGAATATCATAATAAAAACATCTTTCAATTTCTGCTAAAGATTGGAGGATGGTAAATAAATACATTAATTACAGAAAATAGTGTTTGTTTGGAAAACATACCTGGATTCATGATTTCAAACCCTAGAAGAAGAATCCATTCGATTTTGATTAGAAAACGAAAAGCCTTCATCTATATATATTTTGTATTCTAGTACTCCTTTGAAGAACAGGATTTTATTAGACTTAGGAAACTGTTGTCTGTTAGAATTTCGACAAGTAGTAAATCGTAATAGTAAAATTCCCAAATAGTTAGTTTTTCCACAAATAATTAAAAAAAGCTTTTTAGATCCAAATCTCGTCGACTGGGATTTCCTCTATCTCTTTCAGAACCCGTTGCCGGGACTTCTGCTTGAAGTCACCAAACCCAACTCAACTCAACAGCGGTCAAACTCGCCGTTTCACTTGCTTTCCTCCTCTACATTTTGAGTCCCGCGTTTCTCTCTCTCACTCATTTAAGCTCAATGCTCTGTTTGGTTGCTGAGAAAAACTGAGGTAAACAATTCGGACATGCTTCTTCTGGTTCTCCAGTTTCATTTTCTTCTCTGAAATCATAGCCGCCAAACGGAAACGGATCTTCTCTTGTGCTTCTAAGAAATGGAGCCCCGTCTTTAAGTTTCATTTTCTTTTCTTTTCACACAGAGCAAGCTATGCCACTCTGTGAAGCTTGAGTTTTCCTGTTTTGGGGTATTTGTCAGGTAGCAGAGTTGGAATAAATTTCAGATGGAAGAGTAAGTCTTGCTTTTCATTTTGAAAGAATTTTGCTTTGCTGAAACAACAAAAAGAAAACTTCAATTTGGTAATGGAATGTAGGGAGAATGCGGTGGAGCTTTTGCAACGGTATCGTCGGGACAGGCGAATACTTCTGGATTTTATACTTGCCGGTAGCTTAATAAAGAAGGTGATAATGCCTCCTGGTGCGGTTACCCTAGATGATGTGGATCTAGACCAAGTCAGTGTTGATTATGTGCTCAATTGTGCTAAGAAAGGTGGTTTATCTGGTTTGTTTATTGTTGATTTCGACTATTGGTTTTGTTAGGTTTCTTTCTTTACATATATAGACACCATTTTTGTTATGTAGGTGGAATGCTTGAACTCTCGGAAGCTATTAGAGACTACCATGACCATACTGGGTTACCCCAGATGGTAAGTGCAATTTAAGACATGATTAGTGAATTATTCTCATGTTGATTAGTGAAAACTTTTGTCAGCTTTGGAGTTCAAATCTGGTTGGAGATTTAGTGTTGTTATTACCCCTTTTGTTTTTAATAATGTGGATCCAAATTAGGACCAATCAGGAAATAGAATTCCCAATTAATAGTCTTTCCTTCTGCAGCTCCTGTGCTCATTATTTACGCTCATCTTTTCTGGGTTCTGGTTGATTTATATTTTTTGTTTTGTAATTTGGATTCGGATAATCACAAAAAAAATTATTTTCTAATTAGTTATCTTTTGCGTATTATCAAGGTTCGTTTCCTCTTGTTCCTGTTAATTTGTTTGCTTAAATTATACCCATTCTGTTCATTTTTTCCACTTTACCAGAACAGTACAGGTTCTGCTGGTGAATTCTTTTTGGTTACGAATCCTGAGTTTTTCCGGTTCTCCTCCAAAACGGGCACCACCACCTGTTCCGGACTTCGTGCCACCTCCTGTTCTAACTCCACCTCCTGGTGTCTTTTCATCTATTCCTGACCTTGACTCATCTCCGGTTGCATCAAGTGTGTCAAAGTCAGAATCTTTTAACTACACACAAGCTCAAGAACTGACCGTAGACGATATTGAAGATTTCGAGGATGATGATATTGATGAGGCTGACAGTCTCCGGATTTCACGAAGGATTCGAAACGATGCTACTGATCTTTCGCTTGGATTGTCTTCTTTTAAGACAGGTATTAGATTTTAAAGCCATTGAAATTGTATCAAAACTAAATTATGTAAAATTTCCCCTGCATGAAACTAGTCTAATTAATGACCTACATTTCCCACATGATGGCCCTTGGGTGTGGGCTCATGTGATAAAGAGATAGTTGCGGATACATTAATTTTGGCCTTAACTTATCGAACAAGAAAGGAAAGAAAAAAAAATCTAGAGAGAGTTAGCTCTCAAATAAAAAGTTGTGTACTTTGATATCATCATTCCTACTATCTTGACCAATACCAGCGTATATGCATACCATATAAATCTAGTCAAACTACATTATACTTAACCATGAAAAACTACACTATGAATTCAGTAGAAGTGCCAGATTCAGGTAGTACAATAAGCTTTGAATTTATGGTCATTGGTTGACTTTTCAATTCTAAACTAACTGGTTATGATATACATTATACTATTTTTTATATAAATATTGTGATAAGAAACACAGTTTTGTTAAATTGAAAAAAATACAAAACAGGGGACAAGTTGTCCAGTGGTCTAGCTGGTAGTTGCTAGCTAGACTACTTGACGACGATTCGACAACCAATGCAAAACAGAGCTATGCATCAATAGGATTCCCCGCATCATTTTTTTCTAAAACCTTAGCTACTCTACTTGACATTCAAAAGAGAGACATGAAAAAGGAATACTACTTAAAGACCAACATAGTTAGGGCAATGGTCCCACCTCTAGATTGACACCCTTTCCTCTACCGAGCTTACACACTTTAAATTCTGTATCATAAACCACATCTTGCGTAAGATTCTGATGATATTAATGGAATAATGGATTTGAAGATATTGGGTTTTGGAGATTTTCATGATGAATATTGATATTAATGGTCTGTTTCTTTTGCACAAGGAAGGTTGGATATGGATGTTGGATACATTGAAATGTAAATATTCTGGAAAGAGTAGACTGCAATATCGCCACAATGCTAAATGCGCATACATGTAGATCAATGTATAGATATTTACATACATTTTTTTCAAAGTTCTCCGAGATTGTTACACTCATATGGGTGTGGTAGATTCATCATGCAAGTATTCTTAATTTATGTATAACTCAAAGAGTAAAACATATCTCATATGACCCTTTGCTATGTTTCAGTCTATAACAGCTGCCCAATTTGAGACCGTGATTTTATTTTTAATTATTATTTATGTTTGGATGCATTTTTTTAAAATATTTGGCACATTAGGAAGTATTAAAGAGGTATAGAGTAACCTACAGGTATCCTATACAGATGCATCTGTCTGCTTTTTCCACATATTTGGCAATCAGTATATACGACTGCATTCCCAGCCCCTAGGATGATTGATGAAAGTTGACACTAAAAAGCATGGGATGGTTGTCATAATTTTTTTTCTCCTTTTCTTGTTTAGGTATCACAGAAGATGATCTCCGTGAAACTGCATATGAAGTCCTTTTGGCATGTGCTGGTGCTGCAGGGTATACTTTCATTTTCGTATTGGATCTGCAAATATTTTTTGTTTTCTTGTAAATCAAGGAAATGCTGTTGTGATTGCAGGTCTATTTGTGTACTTAGTTTAGTTCTGACATGACACCATCCATGCTTGCACTCTCTCTGTCTGAACAGGGGTCTGATTGTGCCGTCAAAAGAGAAAAGAAAGACAAAAGGTCCAAGCTGATGAGGAAACTTGGACGTAGTAGAAATGAAAATCCTTTGAGTCAGTCTCAACGAGCACCTGGATTGGTTGGTTTGTTGGAGACCATGCGTGTCCAGATGGAGGTATTTAGTAGTCATTTGCTTTTCAAATGGAGGCATTACTACTTTATTTCTTCTCCCTTTTCCTCTCCTTTTATGGCATGCTTACTTACCTGGGAATGGTGTTCGAATTATTCCGATTCCAACACATGAGAAATCAAAATTTATGTGAGTTTTACATTAAAATTCGCAATCCAATAATTGAAAAACCATGAATTAGATTGATTAGGGGGGAATAGTTAATCCCATACCAATTCCTTCTCTCCCCTATTCTCGACTTACCTGATTTATGACTTAAAGTAAGTAACATGCCATTAATGTTCAATTAATTTGTGTTATTAAAATGGAAGACCGAGGAGTTGGAACTCATCCATCATCCCGAATGGGTGTATTGATTTTGAGGAGTAGTTTGTAAAACTTTCAAATAAGCGGTGTTTGATAAGCATTGGAGATGAATGATATTTATAAATGATAGTTACAAATATGATAGAAGGCATTTTTAAGCTTCCTAAATAAGATTATTTTTAGAAATTATTTAATCATTGTTTAGTTCTGTTGGTTCCCTTATACAGTACAATACGTAACACCGTACAGATTATCCGGCGTCTTAGTCCTGACAGTACCAAACCCATGATAGTAGTAAGGTTAATACATTATGAAGAAGTACATTACAATCAATTGAAATAGTCTAGTTCAGTCCAGCATACTAAATGAGCCCATATGGTAGAATACTTAAGAACTATGCGAGCACTAAGGAGGACTGCATGGCATGTTTTTCTTTTGAAACCGGAGGGTTAATTACTAAGACTAAAAGGCTGAGCGTCATGTATAAGCTTATTAGTTCACTGGAGAATGGACCATATTGTAAACAATCATCTGGTTGTGCTAGTTCCAAGTCATGTGCTGTTGCATAATTTTTCTTTATCGTAGCCCAGCAATACAAGATTTGGTACATGCATATGTTAATCTTGTATGCATTACTGGCTGTCACTTCAAGCTGCTATGCACTGTAAAATTTTATAAGTGGGTCAGTTGTTTCTTTCCTTGTTTGGGTCCCCCCCACTGAATGTATTCATCTTATTGTGACCCTTTTTGTACCTCATTATTGGTTTGTAATTGACGTGGCGTCAGCCAGAGGGGTTCTGAAATCATTGCTGTCTTCAAATATGATTTTTTATGCAGTTTTGGTGAACTGTATTTCATTGGATTCATATTGATTTAATGATTTCTTTTCCCATACTCGTAAATGCAGATATCTGAGGCCATGGACATCAGAACTAGACAAGGGCTGCTTAATGCCCTAGCTGGAAAAGTGGGAAAAAGAATGGATGCCCTACTGGTTCCTCTGGAACTTCTCTGTTGTATTTCACGAACAGAATTTTCTGACAAGAAGGCGTATATACGGTGGCAGAAAAGGCAGGTAAGTTCTGTTCCTTACAATCTATCATTTTGTCTTGTTACGTTTTATTGGCCTTGTAAATTTCCTATTTGGTGAAATTGGAGGGGTGACCATATATGCACTTGAGATCCAAATTGAGAAATTCTGATTTGTTTTCACAGTTGAATATGTTGGAGGAAGGGCTTCTTAATTTCCCTGCTGTTGGATTTGGGGAGTCTGGACGGAAGGCCAGTGAGTTTAGGATTCTTTTAGCAAAAATTGAAGAATCTGAGGTATGTCTTCTGTTTGTCTAAATGGCTGGAATGCTCTCTATCACAATAATAGACAATTAAAATTTCCCTTACCCAATCATTTATTCTCTTAACTAACACTCGAAAACCATTTGTTCTACTTTATATATTTATAAGATTATAATGGAAATATTTGGGTCTTAAACCTTTTATTTGCTTTGGAAACACCAGAAATAGGGGTAGTTGGGTGTTAAACATTAGTGTAACTTGTGTTTTTCTTTGAGGGTATGTATGGAATATGATGGAATTTTTGTGCATTTCTCTTGTATTTTTATATCTTATTAAAATAATTCTACTGATCTTGTTTGGGTGTTAAACTTTTCTTCTCTCTCTCTCTCTGTGTGTTTTTGGTAAACAAGAAAAAAAGAAAAAGAAGAAAATGACCTAAAAGCTACCCAGTCCCACTCACTGTTTTACCACATCAACTATGGCTCATGTGGCATATAGTTGGGCGTTAGGTGTTCTTTTGTTGTAAACTAACAAATTAGCACCCATTTCCTGTTTTACCACCATGTGAACTCTAGCCCATAATTTTTGATAATAATGATTTCTTTTATAACTTGGTGGTTTCAAAAAAAATTTGTACTATTTAATATGGTCTACATTTCCGGCATTGTTCCATCTCAATTTTTTGCATGTTGCTTTTGGTATAATTATATTTGTTTTGTTTTTTATTTCGCCCCCCTTTCCTTTCTCTTTTGATTGTAGTTTCTTCCACCTTCCACGGGTGAACTCCAACGAACAGAATGCTTAAGATCTCTTCGAGAGATTGCCACTCCACTTGCTGAGAGGCCTGCTCGTGGTGACTTAACTGGTGAAGTATGTCACTGGGCAGATGGTTATCACTTGAACGTTAGACTGTATGAGAAACTGCTTCTCAGTGTCTTTGATATGTTAGATGAGGGAAAGTTGACTGAGGTTAGTACTTTTGGTTCTTGGCCATGACAACACTTCTCTGTCAAAATCTACAAAAGAACTGCATTCATTTACATTGCCAAGTCACTTTCTGCTTGATTGGTTGGGTTTAAAAGCTTTCTGGAGTTAGGATCTCCATTCTGTTTTAAAAGCTCTGAGATTTCAGAATTTTTCTGTAATATAAAATGTAGTTTTGGTTTACTTCATAGTGATGTATGGTAGTTTAGGAAACTTAACCTTGGTTTTATGTGGTGGGTGCTAGGGTTGAAAGAATTATGGGTTTAAGGCTTGGAAATGTAGAAAGAAAGCTTTAGGGGTTGTAAATTAGTGGTGAAAAGGTTGAATCTTGATAGCTGAAATTGATTGAAATCTAAGAAGAAAGCTCATTTTATGATTGCTTATTTGGGGGCAAATATTGTGGAATGTGGGGATAGGGAGAGAGTTAAGGTCTTGAAGAGATAAGAAAAGAGAGAAGTCTTGAAGAGAGAAGAACAGAGAGAAGTCAGGGGTTGTTGTACCAAGTTAAACAATACGAGAGAGAGAGAGAGAGAGAGAGAGAGAGAGAGATGCCTGAAACACAAAATAATTAAATTTTATCGACAACTGATTTTGAAGTATAGACTCTTAAGCCAAACTAATAATAATGAGAGTATCCAGTTAAGAAAAAAAAACCATGTCTCAAACACACGGACTTATTTCATACCCAGGGCTCCTAGGACGTCCTGAACTCAACACGATTGGTAAATAATACATACAAATTTCTGCATACGTACCCCTGTGAGGCAAAAAAGTTTATAACTCAGCCTTAATTAAAGGCTGAAGTCGAAAATTGATTTAACCTGAGAATCTTTAGGGCACAAACATCAAAACCATTAACAGTCACTGTTGTCTATTGTTGCATGTGGGCTCCAGCTGTAGATACCCCAAGTTGTCAAATATGAATTTACAAAGAAAGCAGCAGCTGGGCTTTTTTTCTTTGTCTCTCAGAGTCTCTAGCTTATCTTTATTTTCAGGAAGTGGAAGAAATACTCGAGCTTGTGAAGTCAACGTGGCGTGTTTTAGGAATCACGGAGACCATGCATTACACCTGCTATGCATGGGTCTTATTCCGTCAGGTAAATAGGCATAAAAGTAATTTACTTTTCGCATTGTTCTGCAGCCACTAAAGTGATGTTTTTGTTTTTTTTTATGGGAAAAGCTATAATGTCATTGTTTATATGTGATGGAGAGTATGGTTGACTTGTGTCTTATATTGTTACATTTATAATATGTACTCTAAAAAAGATATTTGTTTTTCATATAATTACTGGAAGATGTGGACTTAACAGACATAAAGGACTCTCTCTCTCTCTCTCTCTCTCACACACACACACCACACACAAACACACAAACAACATGTACCTCCGATTGTACAAACCCAGAGTTTTGTACGATGTTGTTTATAATTTTGTTTTAGTCTGAGGCCTATAGGCCTATAAGTTATACAATCGGAGGTACTCTTCTCCCATCCCATGAACCTCTCATTCTTATTGAAGGCATTCCATATCTTTGGAAACATAAATGTTTTTCCAACATTTTAAAAATTTATATGTAGAGCATCTTGGATAATTGAAGTTGCATTGAATGACACTAATAATAGATTCTAACATGTGGTAGATGTCTTCAAAAGCTTGGTTCAATCGACTTCGGTTTTGAACAACTTGACGTTTCATCTTATACTTTTCAACTGGCAAATCTTTTCTCTGGGAATTGAAGCCCACCACATGTACACACACACACACACACACACACACACACACATGCTCTACAGTGATAAAAAAATTTAAATGCATATTTTTAGAAGGTTTCAAGTATAAAGATACTGATAGTGGATTGTCTTTCATGGGTGGGTCCTTGTGAGCATGATATCATATCAATTATGTACTCTCATTTTCTTTGAGTTGGTCCATTCTACAACAATTGCTGTATTTGTTCAATTCTTTGAGTTTCTTTTCAGCTAGATTAGTTCTTTTAATTCTGTTGTTTCATTTTTGTTTGTTCTCATGAATGTCTGATCTTGGCAGTTCCATTAGTAATTTTTTCTACTGATAGGTATCATCAGCATTTACAGTTTGTATTGATTCTGTGATCACAGCATGTTATTACAAGTGAGCAAGGAGTTTTAAAACATGCCATTGAACAGTTAAAGAAAATACCATTGAAGGAACAACGGGGACCACAAGAGAGGTTACACTTGAAGAGTTTACATTGTAGAGTTGAAGGCGATCAGGGTCACCAAGATTTATCTTTCTTACAGTCCTTCTTGTTGCCCATTCAGAAATGGGCCGATAAGCAGTTAGGAGACTACCATCTGCACTTTTCTGAGGTATGCTAAGGTCCTAGAAGTGCTATACTTGGGTGTGGTCCTCATTCTTAATTTGGTTTATTGTCAGGCTGATGTTAGCTTTGTTAAACAATTATTTTTAATTTGTATATGTTTGTTTTTATACTACCATGGAAATAACTATCATAGGTCTTGTGCCCATTTGCTTGCATGATCTTTCTGTTTTATTATATGCTTGTGTATTTATGCTATGCAGCTTTTTTCACTTCTGGTACTTGTTAATGTTGCATCTTCATGACACCACTCTGGGCTCCAGCTGATTCAGCTAATTAAAAAATTATGCTAATTTTAGTCACTTTTACCAAGGGACCTTCCTGGTTGCAACTCAGTTTTCTTAAACTTCTCATGTACCTTGTAGGTGCCAGTTGTGATGGAGAATGTAGTAGCTGTTGCAATGATTGCTCAAAGGCTTCTATTGGAGGAACCTGAAGCAGTATGTGTGGACTCAAAAGAAACCTTGTGCTTGACTAATATTAGAGAATAATGCATGGCTCTTCATCGGTGAGGAAAAACTTTCTTCTCACTGCTAAGGTGTCAGGTGAATGGTGGGACTCACCACTTTCACCAATTCATTGGTATGAATTGGTGACATCTCAGCGGTGAGGAGCCAAGCATGGTTCTTGACTTGTGGAAAACAACTAGTATAACTTTCCAACTTTTCTAAGTTATTCTTTCTTGTGACGAACCCTTATTTTTGCCAACTCCAGTATCTGGATTTTTTTTAAAATAACAGATATTCGAATGTGTTGTCAAATTGTAAAAGGTTTAAAGATGATTTCTTTTATTTGTTCCACAGGCAATGATGCAATATACATCCAGCACAGATCGAGATCAGATAGAATCATATATATCATCTTCTATTAAGAATGCATTTACAAGGGTAAGTGTTTCAGTGATTTTTTTATAAGATTTTTGACACACAATATATTAGTAAGTCCTACTATTTCAATTAAGCAAAATTTAATATAGGAAAATTAGGCAATGGACTTCTCCTTTGGGAAGAGAGGTGTAAGGAAAAAAACATACTTGGCCCATACTTAAGCTTTTGGAACATTAGTAGACCAAAAATATTTGTCATGGTATTAGAACAGGAGTCCAGTGTTGTGTATATGTTAGACCCCAGTCATGAGGAAATTCAAGCCCACATTCTAACATGTTAAACTTTTGAAAGTAGTAGGTAACTAACAAAATTAATCAAAACTTGGCTATATAGGAATTATTTTTAGGCTCTATCATGTACATAAAGTTGTAGTAGTTGACCAGAAACTTTGTCCCTAATTTGTTTATCATCATTGAGAACAAGGTGAAGCCTTTGGCTTCTTATTTCAGGGCTTTTAAGAGTTGGTACATATTACTCTGAGGTTTGTGAAGACTCTACTGGTTTGAAATGTTTGTTTGATCTTTCATGTTTTACTAATGTCCTGCTAGGAATAGAGGACTATGAAGTAAGGCAAAACTTTTATTATTATTACGAAGTAAGGAAAAACTTAAGGTTCTCTTGAAAGTGTTAAAAAGTTGTGGATATAACAGACTATTGTGTTTTGTTATTGCTCGATAGCATTGAAGTTATGTCTAAATATCTTTAGGAGTTTGGCGTGAGCTGGGTAGTTCCAAAAGGCTGTTATTCTTTCCTGCATAAAAACACACACTGTGATCAATGGTGGAAAGAAAACGAAGCCCTTGTCCTGTTGTGTGGATGGAAAGAAATAGAAATTTTTTTTAAGATTTAAGCCAAGTAGGGGAGGAGAAGCTTTGGGGAAGGGTCAGATTTTGGTGATCTCTATGGGCTCTTGTGCTGCAGAATTTAAGCATGAATGTAGATTTAAGCCAAGTAGGGGAGGAGAAGCTTTGGGGAAGGGTCAGATTTTGGTGATCTCTATGGGCTCTTGTGCTGCAGAATTTAAGCATGAACGTAAAATACAATAATACATTAATGTTAATAAAACACTAACTAGAGAAAGACCTACAACTCTAACTAACACTTCCCCTGAATAATCAATAAACACTGATCTTATAAATATTGTGTTGGGACCCTAGTCAAAGACAAGGTGCAGTGATGTCAAGCTAGGCTTACTAGTAACTAGCAAGCTTCAAATCGAGAAGACACCGAGTGGTAAATTGTTCAGACTAGAGTCCAGTACACAATTTATTCAGTGGTCACTCTCCACAGAACTCATGTGTACACACACACACTTACAAAAACAGATACCTTTGATACGATTAAAGTTTCCATTTAAGACGGCTGAATAATGGATTTGAATTTTTAAATTTTAAAAATGTATTTTCTTGTTGTACAGATCTTACAGTCTGTTGAAAAATCAGACTCAAGCATGAACATCCTTTGGCATTGCTTGCTGAAGAGACCAAGAAACTCTTAAAAAAGATACAACCATGTTCATGCCAATTTTATCCCAGAGGCATCCACAAGCAACTTCTGTCTCAGCCTCACTCCTTCATAGGCTTTATGGCAACAAGTTGGTGAGCTTATATGCTCCCTCCCTTTTTTTTAAATAATGAGAATTACATTTATCTACATTTTTTCCACGATACAGTAGTTTTTTAGGGTGGAAGTGGAGAACTTAATGCTAATGTGTTATTTCAGAAACCTTTTCTCGGTGTGGCTGAACATCTGACCGAGGATGTAATATCTGTATTTCCAGCAGCTGATAACCTTGAGCAGTACATTATGGAACTTATTACGTCCAATTGTGGAGAGGAAACTGCAGATATATACTGTAGGAAACTAGCTCCATACCAGGTGATAGTTGGATTTTTTTCTACATTACATATCTCCTTTTTTTCTTTTTCATTTTTAATGTAAATTTGTCTTCTAATAGTGTAAAGTCATGGATATGCACAATTGGTAAAAGACTTGGTTCCGCTAAGCTAAAGCTGAAAATTAGATAGTTGCAAACAATATGTCAGGTTTACTGTTTACCAATATGCTTCATTGGTTCTTATTTTCATTTTATTGAACTTCTTATATCTTCTTAGATTGGATCCATATCTGGAACATTGGTGATGCGTTGGGTCAATTCGCAACTTGGAAGGATCTTAGGTTGGGTTGAACGGGCTGTTCAACAAGAGGTAAAATTTAAAGTTTATCATTTTTTTATTTATTATTTATTTATGTTTTAATTTCTTATGTTAGTTTACTTTTTATTGTTCTCATCTTGAAAGCACAAGCCATATAAGCAATAAAAAGAAAGGAAGCAAGCACATTTTTGTTTTTATGCTACCTGTTTGAGACGTAGGGGTGAACATGATATTGACTGGTATTTTATGTCTTTCTTTAGAAATTGTTGTACTTGTTTGATATACTCTAGATTGGTAACTTTTGGTAATCCAGTCAGAAGGAAAGTGTCCTATGTGTTTTCACATGGATTAAAACAGTTGAGTGTTTGTCCCACATTGAAAAATTAAGGGAGTTGGGCTACTCCTCCCATTGCCAATTGGTTTTGGAGTGGAACCTCAACTTCCTTCGTGGTATCAGAGCGGGTTGCCCACGTGTGAAAGCCCAACGGCCACACGTGCAGAGGCGTGTGAGAATGTGAAAGTGAATTGTCCCAAATTGGAAAGTTGAGAAACCTAACAAGGGCTTCTAAGGAGTTGGGCTACTCTCCTCATGGCCAATTGGGTTTGGTGTGGAACCTCAACTTCATGGTATTAGAGCAAGGCTTCACGTGTTGAGCCAAACGGCCACACGTGCTTCCATGTCACCCAATATGCGTTGTTCATGTGTAGGCCTGAAAGTTCGCCACACGTGCGGGGGCGTGTTGTGAGTGTTTGCCCCACATTGAAAAGTTAAGGGACCTAGCTGAGTTTATAAGGAGTAGGGCTACTCCCCCCATTACCAATTGGTTTTGGGGTGGAACCTCAACTTCCTTCAAAAACTATTGTTGGAATGATGTTTTCTCACCTAATTAGTGGTGGCGTTGGGTACCAGGAAGTTGGTAGCTTTGAGGTAGGTTATATTGAGGAGTCATGGTGACAAATAAAATAGGGGAGAGGCCCCTGCCCCTAAACTGTGGTTAGTAATACTTGTGTAATATTCTGTGGAAGGGTTTTATAAAAGAGGTAATACTTTTATCTCTTCTTTCTATCAGTGTGGAAAATGAGAGGAAGGTAGTATATGTGAAGCATCCAGTTATTTCTTATGATTGTATTACTCAAATCCATCATCCATGATCTCATGTAAAATTGTAAGTTTTGTGTATCAACGCCAAGTCTGCTACTCATTATGCCATTCAGTATTTCGGGTTGTCATAGACTCGTTAATACTTTGAACACATAGGGCTTATTAAGTAATTGGGTATTTGTAGGAACGTCTGGCTGTCCTGCCTCTTCAGACATAATTATTCTAGTTCCATTTTGTCCTTTGTTTAATTTTCATAACAATTTAGGGAAAGCCGTTTTATCACCATTTGCATGTAGGTTAGTTTTTGTTATAATTTATGGAACTTTTCTCATCTTCATTTTTTTTAACAATATATGGGGCTTCTTTTTTCATCTTGTAAGTTGCTTAATGTTCGTGTGCATCATCTTACAGAGGTGGGACCCAATATCACCTCAACAGCGGCATGGGAGTTCAATAGTTGAAGTATTTAGGATTGTGGAGGAGGTATGACTGTTTGTTCTTTTTGGGTTTTGCATATGGTATTGTATAAGCTATAAAGTAGTTTTTGGATATCTTTCATAATGAAAAAAAAAAACAGTGATCAATTTATATGTGTGTTAATAACAATAACTTACGTATTCATAATAAAAATGCACACATAGTTGACAATATGGGTCACACACTTATAATTGGTGATAAATAGTTTGTTATATGTTTCCAAAAGTCTGCATCTTCTCAATAATTGTCTTGTTGCCATTGATATCTTTGAAATGCTTTCATTTCTGGGTTTCAAATGATTGTGTTATTTTTTGAACCAAAATGTACTTTAAAAAAAATAAAAACTCAAAAAGTGCATGCAATGGACAAGGAGTCCTCATCTATAGTACAATCAATAGCAGTCAAATAATTGTGTTATTCATCAAGAAAGGATGTCTTTATGAAATGAAAATAAATTGAATTGGATATAATGTGGAACTTTTATTGGAGGTTGGTTTTAAAGGAAGTGGACTATTAAATGCATTTTCAAGTATCTGTACTTCAATTCTAGAATTTGTCAGTGTTTCATATGGAATCTTACAATTCTGGATATACTTGTAGGATTTGGCCTTCAAATCTATTATCTGCTCTTGCCACTGACCAACGTTGCTGATGTGTTTCCTTATAAACATTTCTTCATGCAGACTGTCGACCAATTTTTTGATCTCAAAGTTCCAATGAGGCCTACAGAATTGAGTGGTTTGTTTCGTGGAGTTGACAATGCTTTTCAAGTGTTCGCAAATCATGTCATTGACAAGTTGGGTATGTGCTACTTGTGAGTTGCACAATTCTGAATTGACTGACATGACATACATGTGTTATCACAGTTGTGGAAAACTTCGTGAGGGTCATTTAAAATTATCTGATCACAAGTTATGTTTCCTTTACCCTACTCTCGTACATATTCCTTGGGCAACAGTTGTTTATCTGGCCTTCTAGAGAATTGACCTGTAGATAATTTTATTGATGGATATTAGTGTAGCACTTATTTGTGTAAATGTTCTTTTCTGCTTTTATTTCTTTGAACTCAGGAACTTCTAGTTATAAATAGGTTCATGAATGATGAATACTTATTTTGTGCCCAAAAGAAAACAAATTGTTTCTTTATTTGTTTTCTTATTACGTTGTTAGATTTGTTAGATTTCCCTTGGACCCCAAAAGCTTAAGCTGTGAAGGAATGGGTCAGCACTGTATATCATACTGAACCCTCCTTCACGTGCAGCCCCATCCTGCACGTGGTGAGAGAGAAATGCATGCCAATAGGTGCTGCCCCAACCTACACCTTGCAAACCAACAAAGAATTGGGAAATGTGGTTTTGAGGTTTCAACCCAGGAGCTCCTACAACCAAAGCCTTGCTACCAAGTTAGCTTACCAATACCCCATAATGTTAAACAATGTATATCAAGCTAACAAGATTTTTCATTCTTCTCTACATGCCATACAAATGATTTTAACCTTCTTCTTTTTTTCCCCTTGTTATCTACCCTTATTGTATCCACACAGACCTTACATTGGGATTTTGGTCATGCAGCTACCAAGGAAGATTTAATTCCACCTGTGCCCATTCTTACAAGATACAAGAAGGAAGTTGGAATAAAGGCTTTTGTAAAGAAGGAACTATTTGACCCTAGGCTGCCTGATGAGAGAAGGTCTACTGAAATTAGTGTTCGAACGACTCCAACACTTTGTGTTCAGTTAAATACACTTTATGTAAGTTCAGGTTTGGCTTATTGTTTTCATTATGAGGGGAGGAAATATTTTCGTAATGATTTTTTAATGCTAAACTCAACTAAGCCTTGATACTCCTAATTTGAATTGGCCGGATGAGTTCTTCTAGGTGCTTGTGATCTTATAATGTTTTTGTTCTGGTATTGTACGTGTCCTGGGTGAGAAAATGATGGGTTATATGCACGTGATTCTTTTATAAGAATCATAAGAAAGTGAAAACATGGATATTAATGAGACCTAAGTTTCATAAGAAAATGATGGCACTCTGTTATAATTATTTGCTAAAGATCTTTAGTTGCATCTACATTTGATGGTCCTCCGGTTTCTTTTCACCACATCTTTTAGATATAAATTTGTTTGGTTGCCATATACTTTTTTCTAATAGGAATTTGATTGACCAATAAGATTAGTGAAAAATCTGGTATACTTTTGTGCTATTCACAGTATGCAATCAGTCAGCTGAATAAGTTGGAAGATAGCATGTGGGAGCGATGGACGAGGAAGAAACCCAGCCAAAAGTTTACCAGTAAGTGCAGAAAAGTGGTTTTCTAACTTTATATTTGTTTGCAATCTTTCTAGTTACAGGAATTTAGGTTGAGGAACGCATATTAACATCATTTGTTTGCAATCTTTTCAGTGCTTGATATATTGACCTTTTGTTTGTAGAGAAATCCATCGATGAGAAGTCAAAAAGTTTCACTCAGAAGGACACGTTTGATGGGAGTAGAAAAGATATAAATGCTGCTATAGATCAAATTTGCGAGTTCACTGGTACAAGATTTGTGTTTTTAGATGATGTCAAATTCCTTGAGATACTAGACCATTTATTAATTTACCAACTGTTTATTGCAGGAACTAAGATTATCTTCTGGGACTTGAGGGAACCATTTATTAACAACTTATATAAACCAAGTGTTTCTCTTTCTAGGTTCGAAGCAGTGTATGAACCACTTGATACGGTCAGATTTATTCCATTTGGAAGCTACATTCTATTTTTGGTGGTAGTTAAAGCTGCTTAAGCTCGAAAATGACTGATCTGTCAAGATCTCATCTGCCTTTAGCCTCTTTTTCCTTGCACAATAGAAAGAAACCAAATTATTCTATATTTATTGCCCTGACGTTGCATATAATTTGTATTCTACATGTTATGAATTGTTCCTCTTCTTGATCAACCTTTAAGTTGCGTATACTTTCACTCGTAATTGTGTTGTCATGTGGATAGTACTACCACAAGTTTAGCCATTAAACAAGGGTCCTGGGAGTTTGAGTTACATCTCATGAGGTAGAAAGATACATCAACTTGACTAATAGGTTCAGATGGTAGTTGATAGTTAGGATCTGGCACATCAACCTGATCATATGACTTTTATGTTGGATTCATGCTCAAAAGGCATCAAAATTGGATGCTACGTACAGTCAATTTTGACTTACCTCTATTCATCTTGGTAGAGTTGAATAATTTTTAGCACTTGTTTAGACATATTGTTTATGTTTCAGAAGAACGACAAAAGGAGTGTTCTGTCTGATTTTTCTATCCACCTATTACGTGTTTCTTCTTCGGTTATTAATTTCCATGTATCCATGTCATTTTTTAATTTGTATTTGTTTCTTAAAATTGTATTGATATTGAAGACAAAGGGCTGCCTGTCATTATGAACTACTGCAGGAACTTAGTCAACTGTGTGCTATAATTGTGGAACCACTAAGGGATCGCATCGTGACAAGTCTCCTTCAAGCAACGCTGGTCTATTCCTCGCCCTTTGCTTCTTTCCACAAATCTGTCAAATTTACTGTAATTTTTATTTCACTGGAATTTTATTTTATTTTATTTTTTATCCAGGATGGTTTACTCCGTGTTGTATTAGATGGAGGCCCATCACGAATTTTCTCTTTGGGCGATGCAAAGCTATTAGAAGAAGATTGGAGGTCCTCAAGGTACCTGCTTTGTGCCCTTTGAATATTGCAAGTGGTAAATTTTTATTGGTGTATACTCCTCACATGTGGGTGAACAGTTATCTTAGCTCCTAACACTCCTCACATGTGGACATCACCTCACCATTAGAGGACCCAACATATGAGAGTACCTATATTTGGTGGTTGTCATTATTGGGATTTGTACTCGGGTTTGCTTCTTTGATACCATGGAATCTTTTCTTTTTTTTTTTTTTTTTTTCCTGGTTTATCACCATACTTGACTGTTAAAATATAGGCCAATAATTATTTTTATATCTGACCAAAACGAGAGAATTTGTTTTGAATCCAGATAGGTAATCCAACAAAGTTGCATATCGTCTTTTCCCACAAATTTACACTTGTTCCATTTAGGGCCCGTTTGATAACCATTTCAATTTTAGTTTTTTGTTTTCATTTTTTTGTGCTAGAGTATAAAGGAAAATGAGAGTGAGAATGAGATGAGAGGGGAGGATGGGAGGGAGGAGTAACAAAAGTGAAAACAATTTCAAATAGATTTCAGTTTTTAGTTCTTGTTTTCACATTTATAACTCCTCCCTCCCATCCTCCCCTCTCATCTTCACTCATTCTCACTTCCATTCCTCTTTTTCCTCTATTCTCTAGCACAAAAAATGAAAAAGGAAAAAGGAAACTAAAAACTAAAATTAAAATGGTTATCAAAAGGGCCCTTAGCGTTGGAAAGAAGGAATTTACTTACAAGTAGGCATTTGGAAGTTGGTTGAACTTAATCTGGCAAAAGAAGAGATAAACGGGTGAATTTGTTCATTTAAATTGCTTCACAAGAAGAATTGTCTACTTTGTATGACAGAGCATTTCGTGGAGTTTCAAATTTGTAAACCAAACTTGCACTTACTTTGTGTCATTGTGGTTGTGATTAACAGGAGTTTTTTATCTCTGGAGGAGATGGGCTTCCAAGAGGAGTTGTCGAAAATCAGGTAGCACGTGTTCGAGATGTAATAAAGTTGCACAGCTATGAGGTTAGTCCATCTTTTTCTCTGGTTGAGACTTTACAAGTGAATCAGGTTATTTAAGGCATTATCGTATTTCACTATCAATGAGAGTTTCATTAAAATGCAAAATGTACATCTGGACAGTCGTCATGTTCGGATTCTTTTTTATTTATTTTTAGGCATTCCTCTTGCTGTGATTTCAACAAGTTAGTTTGTTGAGAGAGAGAGAGAGAGAGAGAGAGAGAGAGAGAACCATCTTATTTTACCCTATACCCAAGATAGCAAAGTTTCTGACTGCTTAAATTTTGAGCTTGCAGAATTCAATGTTTGATTGTGTTAATGTCTCTACAATCTTGTCGACTTAAATTTATGGTGCTTTTTCTTTCTACTTTTTTCTGTTCTCAGACTCGAGAACTGATCGAGGACTTGAAGTCTTCCAGTGGCCTGGGCGTGCAGGGTGGTAGAAGCAAACTAGGGGCTGATTCTAAGACTCTTGTGAGAATCCTATGTCACAGAGCTGATTCGGAGGCCTCCCTTTTCCTTAAGAAGCAGTACAAGATACCAAAGTCTACAGCTTAGGGATTACCTTAGCCTCTGGAAAAGTAAAGCAGTAAAATTTGTATTCTGCTAGAATGTGATGTTTATGTGTATCATTTCAGTTATTTCAAGTGAAAGGCAATCGAATGTTGTATTTATGTTTGTCCATTCTTTTTAATGTACCCATTTTGCTTGTGCCCTTCTCTGCCTCCCTTTCTGTCTCTTGCTTTCTCCTGCACCAGATCCAGTTTTAAGATTTTCTTCAAGTCAATCTTGATTATGGAGTTGCATGGTTTCTTTTCTTATTATGTTATAAGTAGATTAATTATATTGTTGAAACTTAATAAATTGGATTAATTGGGGAATTGATATATTGCAGTGTTTCAGAAATATTTGAAATTCAAAGCGGGTACAGAGAATGCTAGAAATATAAAGTGGGTAAATTTTTTGTATGGATTTTTTTTGTTTTTTACTACAAAAATGGAAAACCAAAGCTGCTAAAAGCTGTGGATGAGGTTTTTAATTTTTAAATTTAAAAAAATATATATATAATGTCAAAGTCGCTGGAAGATTTTATTAGAAACGAATAGAAAGTTTACATTGGCTGCAAGAATATTAAAGAGCCATTCAGTTCTAACACATGAGGACCCCCCTGTCTAGAAACTAAACGAGCATCGCGTGTGCAGCCCGATTACAACGTAGGGTGCAAACACAAAAGTCATTCGTGTAAACTGAGACACCAGCTCCCGTATGTCGAAGACAATCCACCGCAATCTGTCTGTTGAGTATCGAGATACCCCTTTGGGCATTAGATTCAACCATCACATCTGTGAGTTGAAGTTGGACACACGCACTCAGAGCTTGTCTAATGGCAAGGATCTCCATTATCAGGGCAGAAGAGCCGCGAAGATCACCATCTCCCCCAATCCTAAGCTATGGATGAGTTTATAAAAATTAATTTGGATAACAAAATCAATATATATATATATAGAGAACCTCTTCGAACTTGCACATAATATATATATATATATAGGGAACCTCTTCGAACTTGCACATAAAAGTAGAATATTGAAGTTTTTAATTCATACAAGGCATTAAAAAAGACTAATATGAGCCAGTTCTCCACTTGAAGCACAATGATTTGATTAGATGTTAAAATTATTAGGCCATCTCCAACTCTAGAGGACTCAAACACCAAATTTCACCATAAAAGTACAACTATTCACGTACTTCCAAGACTCAAACTGTTTTTTTCCTCCAACCTTGCAGACTCATAATTTGGGTCCACAACTTTATTAAATTGTTAAATAATGATATAATCTTTTCTTTTTTTGTGGTTAATTTTTTTTAGTTAATTTTTGCATATTACTCTGTGATTTATTTTTTTGAACATTTTGACGTAAAAATTTTGAAATTTCACAAACATAATTTTATTAACAAATTTATGGGTATTTATAGAGTTTAGGATATGTTTTGAGGTTGCAACCAACTTAGAATAATATCTTTACTTACTTATTTTTACCTTTGGATTTAAATTTCAGTAGTTGGAATATTTTTTTTCCATTTATCAGCCAAATTTTATTATCATCCATTGATTTAGGTTTGAAAAAAAATACATATGGAAAGCAGCCCATTTGAAATGTAGCCATTGAAGTGCAGTTGTTAAGTTGCCTAGTCTTTGACATGCGGCTAGCAACTTGGGGTAGTGGCCATTAGCCCATCATTTGCTTCGAATGAGGCCCCACGTGGCTCTTGTTTGCTGCGAATTGGGCCTCACAAAAATTCCGCCTAGATTGGAATCCCAAATTACCCCCCCCCCCCCCCCGCCCCCCCCCCAAACCCCCCCCCCTCTCCTCTCTCTCTCTCTCTCTCTCTCCAAATACATGGGTTGGAGAAGGTTTTGGGCTAAAAATCCCAAATTTTGGATTTTGCCTCCCATGGTTGGGGAAGGCCTTAAGCGTAAATCACTAAAAACAAGATAACATATCAACTAATCTCTTTCTATTGGGCTTCCTCAAGTTCCAAGAGTGGCACGCCTATCAAACAAAGCAATTGGATCACTCTGAGGCCTGTTGCTTGGACCCTAACCTAACTCTTCTTCCAACTTAATTCATCAGAGGAGAAGGCAAAACACTGCTTATACAGTGTGCCTAGCCCCATTTCTCCTCCTAGGGTGAACACTTACTTGTTGGAAAAACAATAATCAGTGACTATTTAAAATTATTATATAGTAACAGTATCAACGAAATAGATACAAACTGTAATACAGAATACAATAAACAACAACAAATAAAAATGACTTGAATTTGAGATAGAGGCTTGCAGATTTGATGCAATGTCCTAAAGACAGTAATTTCACCCCTTCTCGGTGCTTGAAGTTCTATAGGTGACTACCTCTTAGGATTCAACTATCTGTATTCTAAGCCCTAGCACTCGGACTTAGAATATGGTGAACTTTGTATATTTTCCTCTCAAACAATGTGAAATGCTTGTAGAATGTTTTTTCTGTGTCAAACGAATGAGGCTTTGTTTGATTTAAATAAACCTCTGAAACCTTATTAGAAGAGTCACAACTATTAGAAAACAGTTAATTAAACTAATCTGAAAGTGCCCAAGTGTGCCCCAAGGCCCATATTTTTTACCATTAAATATTATATAGTTTTATATAATATTCAAAGCCCAAATCGTTTTTGAAGCTCAATTGGCTTCCATTTGGCCCACTTCCATTTACTAAGTGTGGGACTTCCACACTTATGAAGACCTCACTCTTTCTACTTTCTACCAATGTGGGACAAATATTCTTGAATTTCATTCAAACTTCCAACATTACTTTCTCTGAATTTCAGTTTCTAGCATTTGTATTAAATCAGTGGAGTTGAAATTTAGGAGCTTGAACATTATGACCTTTTTTCAATTCGTGATTTCTTCTAGAGGTTTAAATTTGAAGATTGAAGAGGTTAGCGTGCCAAGCTTTTTAAATTTTGGTTAAATTGTAGCAATGGTCCCTGGACTAAGACCAAACTTTACTTTTCATCTCTCATATTGCTAAATTGTTACGGTGGTACTTTAATTATGTCTTCACTTTCATAAATCGCCATTCCGTCATCTCAGTCAACTTTTCCGTTAAAAATGATGACATGACATGGACAAGTCCCACTTGGCATGGGCAAAAATGTCTTTTCACACAAATTTTTTTAAAAATAAATCTCTCTCTCTCTCTCTCTCTCTCTCTCTCTCTCTCTCCACCAATTTCTTCTCCCACCCAAATCAGACCCCATCAATTTCTCATTTAGATGTGGAATCTTTGCTCCAAGTCTCTCTCCCCCACACCCATCTATTTAATGAGATAACACACATCAGCCCCAAATCCTCCAACAAAACCAAACATCACAAAGGAAAGAAAAGAAATTAAAAAAGGGTAAATTGCCAAATATCCCCTAGACATTTCGACTGTCAAAATGTCCACCCTGAATTATTTTTTCAACCAATTTAGCCTTCATATTAAAATTATTCGCCAATTTCGCCCCTGCCGTTAGTTTTTCCACAATTCCATCCAAATGCCCGTCAAAAACACCATGTAAATTGCACGTGAGTCGTCTGTTGAGGTAATCTCGTCCTTTTCACAACTTCTCTGCTTGTCTTCCTTCCATTTCACAATTGCACTGCTTGTCTTCCAAAATCACATGAAGATCAGCAAGAACTGCTGTAAATTCCCCGAGTTTTGGTTTATTGAACTAATTATATAGAAAAGACAATGCATACACCAAGCTATCACCCACCTTGCACAAATCTGAAAGTCTGGTGTAGTTTCAGATCCCAGAAACACCCAAAACCCAAACCATGAAAACTAGATAACAAACCAATTGTCTTGCCTCATTTTCCATTTCCAAATCCATTCAACAAAAAACCCCACCAAAAAAAAACAGTCTGCTTGCTTTTATCGTTCATGGGAAAGGCACTTCCTTCAGCGACCAGATTCCAAGATTTGTCTCTACGGACAAGCTCTCAGGCAGGCCCAGACGCACAAAGCAAGTCTCGCAAGTCCGAATTGCACCCCCACAAGCACCGAAATCGGAGAGCTTTCGGGTTGACCCGGAGCGAATTAAGCTGAAGATGGAGAGCTCCGAGGGCCAAATGTGAAGTTATTTAATATTTATTAAAGTATTTCTGTTTAGTTGGAATAACCCTATGTTTTAGGGAAGTAGCTGAGTTTGAACATTTCTTTAGGAAGATCTCTTAAATTTAGGAGCTGCTGGTCATGTGATCGTGCAGCAGGTCATGGAGTCATGCAAAGTTTCTTTTCTGTTTTTGTAAGGCTATTTAACAGCCATCTTTCACTTAATGAAGTATTTTAATTCTCCCACTCTGTTTCCTCTCAGTAAATCTAGAAACTAACAATTGGTATCAGAGCTCCAAATTGGGGCCTGAAGAGCAAAAGAAAGCAGCAACTCTTGCCGTAGCAAGTATCAATGTCGACTAAAGGAAGCAGCTTTGTTCAACCATCAATCCCACGCTTCGATGGTCACTATGATCATTGAAGCATGTTGATGGAGAATTTTTTGAGATCTAAAGAATACTGGAGTCTTGTGGAGAATGGAATCACATCATCTGCAGAAGGAACGGTGTTGACAGAAGCTCAACTCAAAACCTTAGAGGATCATAAGCTCAAAGACTTGAAGGCCAAGAATTAATTGTTTCAAGCCATTGATCGAGCCATTTTGGAGACAATTCTGAATAAGGATACGGCAAAGGATATCTGGGATTCCTTGAAGAAAAAGTATCAAGGCACGACTAGAGTTAAACGTGCACAACTGCAAGCTCTTCGCAAAGAGTTCAAGATGTTGCAAATGAAGAATGGAGAAACAGTCACTGACTATTTTGCTCGAACATTGACTGTTGCAAACAAAATGAGGATACATGGAAATAGAATGGAAAATGTCACTGTGATTGAGAAGATACTCAGGTCTATGACATCTAAGTATGACTACGTTGTATGTTCGATTGAAGAGTCAAAAGATATTGATGCACTTTCAATTGATGAATTGCAAAGTAGTCTGCTGGTGCATGACCAAAGGATGACCTGTCATGATATTGAAGAGCAAGCTCTCAAGGTTAGTCATGAGAATTACACATCAGGAAGAGGAAGAGGTCGAGGCAGATTCAGAGGTCGTGGAAGAGGGAGAGGCCGTCAAGGTCCATTTGATAAGTCAACTGTGGAGTGCTACCACTGCCATGAACTTGGACACTTCCAATATGAGTGTCCTCAAAAGGAGAAGGAGAACAAGGCTAATGTGGCTGAGACAGAGGAGGAGGTGTTATTGATGGCATCTATTGATGAAAGAAATAACCAGAACTGCAACACGTGGTACTTGGACTCGGGCTGCAGCAATCATATGAGTGGAAACAAGCAGCTGTTTGCAAAGATGGATGAATCATTCAGGGATAATGTGAAACTTGGAAACAATTCCAGTCTGTGTGTCATGGGAAAAGGCAACATAAAAATTGAAGTCAATGGAGTGATGCATTGCATAACTGAGGTATTTTATGTTCCAAAGTTGAAAAACAATCTGATTAGTCTTGGTCAGCTGCAGGAGAAAGGGATGGTCATCTTGATTAAAAAGAACTCTTGTCACATACATCATCTTGACAGGGTTTGATTATTCAAGCTGATATGACTTCGAATCGTATGTTCATACTTAAAACAGAAGCACTTGCTAAGAAACAAATGTGTTTCAAATCCACAACTGTAGAGGAATCATGGATGTGGCACTGCAGATTGGGCATTTGAGTTTCAATGGCCTCGAAGCACTCCAGCAGAAGAACATGGTGAAATGACTTCCTCTATTGCAAGCTCCCTCAACGGTTTGTGAAGAATGTATGGCGGGAAAGCAACATCGTGAAACATTTCTAAAGGAAAGTAGTTGGAGAGCCACACAGGTGCTACAATTGGTGCACTCTGACATATGTGGACCAATCAACCCCATCTCGAACAGCAGCAAAAGATATTTTATAACCTTTACTGATGATTTTAGTAGGAAAACATGGACATACTTTCTTGCTGAAAAGTTTGAAGCTTTAGTGACTTCCAAGAAATTTAAGGCATATGTTGAAAAAGAAACTGTGTGTTTATTAAGGCTTTTCGAACAGATAGAGGAGGAGAGTTTACTTCCAATGAATTTGTTAATTTTTGTGAGATAAATGGCATACACAGGCAATTAAAAGCAGCTTATTCACCACAACAAAACGGTGTGGCCGAGGGAAAGAACCATACCATTATGAATATGGTAAGAAGTATGCTTGCAAGAATGAAGGTACCAAAAGAATTCTGGCCAGAAGCTGTGAACTAGAGTTGTCACATTCTAAACAGATGCCCTACTCATGCTGTGAAGGATGTTACACCTGAGGAGGCATGGAGTGGTAATAAGTCTGGCATATGCTCATATTTAAGATAATTTAAGAACCAAGCTTGATAACAAGAGCACAAAATATGTGATGCTTGGAGTCAGCAACGAATCAAAAGCCTACAGATTATACAATCCAGAGGCTTAGAAAATCATAATTAGTAGAGACGTGGTGTTTGATGAAGCTAGTGGTTGGAATTGGAATGATAAACCAAGAAAGGAAGCTAGTGTTTATCTTGAAGAGACTGAAACTGAGCAAATTGTTGAAGAAGGTGAAGATGAACCTGTTGAGCCAAGATTTAATGAAGTCTCCTCAAATTTACCAAGGCAGAGAAGACCCCCTGGCTGGATGACTGATTATGTGAGTGGTGATGAGCTCTTAGATGATGACAATATTGCTCAATTTGCCTTGTTTGCTGGCAATGATCCCAACACGTTTGATGATGCTATAAAGATTTTGAAATGGAGAAAAGCCATGGATCTGGAGATACAAGCAATTGAAAGAAACAACACATGGGAGTTGGTTTATTTGCCTAAAGGAGAAAAAAAAAGTTGGAGTGAAGTGGATATTCAAGACTAAGTTCAAAGAAAATGGGGAGATTGACAAGCACAAAGCCAGGTTAGTAGCTAAAGGATATACTCAAAAATATGGTATTGATTATTCTGAAGTATTTGCTCCCGTAGTTCGTCATGATACCATACGTTTGGTTATATCTTTAGCTGCACAGAATGATTGGTCCATTTACCAACTCGACGTGAAGTCTGCCTTTTTATATGGAGAGCTCAATGAACAAGTGTACATTGATCAACCCCCTGGATATGTGCAAAAAGGAAAAGAACAGAAGGTTTACAAACTAAAAAGGGCTTTATACGGACTAAAACAGGCTCCGAGAGCTTGGTATAGTCGTATAGAGTCACATTTCTTGAAGACTGGATTTATCAAGTGTCCTTATGAGCATACCTTGTTTGTCAAACATGGTCAAGAAGGGAAGATTCTTATTGTGTGTCTTTATGTGGATGATTTAATATTCACAGGAAATGGTGCAGATATGTTCAAAAACTTCAAGAAGTCCATGATGGAGGAAATTGAGATGACAGACTTGGGGAAAATGCACTACTTCCTTGGAATTGAAGTGAAGCAGTCAAGCAATGGGATTTTCATTGGACAGAAGAAATATACTGAGGAGATTCTCAAAAGATTTCATATGGAAGATTGCAACTCTGTTCAAAATCCCATAGTTCCAGGAACAAAGCTCGTCAAGGATGAGGGAGGAGAGAAAGTCGGCAGCACTCACTTCAAGCAAATAGTGGGAAGTTTAATGTATCTACCTGCTACAAGGCCTGATTTAATGTTTCCTATGAACCATATTAGCAGATACATGGAATCACCCACTGAACTTCATTTTCAAGTAGCTAAGAGAGTTTTACGCTATTTGAAAGGAACAACTGATCTTGGTCTATTTTACAAGAAGAAAACTGGAGCAAAGCTGATGGGATTCAACGACAGTGACTATGCTGGGGATCTTAATTATAGGAAAAGTACATCTGGATACGTATTTCTATTAAGTTCAGCTGTTGTAGCTTGGTCTTCGAGAAAACAACCTGTTGTCACTCTCTCTACAATAGAAGCTGAATTCATAGCTGCAGCCTCATGTGCATGCCAAGCTGTTTGGTTTAGAAGGATACTCGAAGAATTGTGTTTTATATAGGAATAGGATACTGTGATCATTTGTGATAATAGTTTCTACCATCAAATTATCAAAAAATCCAGTAATGCACGGGAGGAGTAAGCATATTGATGTTAGATTTCATTTTCTTCGAGATCTTGCCAGAGATGAAGTCATTAAACTAGAACACTGTCCAAGCAATATGCAGGTGGCTGATATTCTAACTAAGCCATTAAAGTTGGAGGCTTACATAAGGATGCGAGAAGCACTTGGGATTTGTTCGAGTTCGAGTTTAAACTGAAAGTTCAATTACTTTTCAGTTTAGGGGAGGATGTGAAGTTATTTAATATTTATTAAAGTATTTCTGTTTAGTTGGAATAACCCTATGTTTTAGGGAAGTAGGGGAGGTTTGAACGTTTCTTCAGGAAGATCTCTTAAATTTAGGAGATGTGGTCATGTGATCGTACAACAGGTCATGGAGTCGTGCAAAGTTTCTTTTCTGTTTTTGTAAGGCTATTTAACAGCCATCTTTCACTTAATGAAGTATTTTAATTCTCCCACTCTGTTTCCTCTCAGTAAATCTAGAAACTAACACCAAAGCCGAGTTCCGCTGGCCCAAGTGGTCTCAGACTGTGTGAAATAGTGGTTCCAAGACACGCTCAAGGAGGCCAAGGTGGGTCAAATGTATTACAGCGGCTTGGCGTTTCTAGAGAAGCCAAAAAGGTTTGAATTTTATTTTTGGGTTTCTTTGATTCTGCTTAGTTTTTGCTTTCAAATTGTTATATTTGTTTTGTGTGCATTTTTGGATTGGAGTTTAAGCGCTTTAAGTTTAAGTGCTCTGTTTTGGTGGAGGAGATGAAGCTGGGGATACCAGTTCAGTCAAAATAAGGGTTTGTGTGTGCAAAGGAAGTGGAGAAGAAGGTGTTTGTTGTTGATGGACGGGAAGAGTCTGAGATTACCCTCAACAAAAGCGGCACGTGCCATACACATGGTGTTTTTGATAGACATTGGATGGAATTATGAAAAAGCTAACGGCAGGGGCGAAAATTGGAGAATAATTAAAACAATGTCTAAATTGGGTGAAAAAATAATTCATGGTGGACATTTTGACAGTCAAAATATTCCATGGGGTATTCGGCAGTTTACCCATTAAAAAACAAGCCTTAGTGAATGAATTTTTTTCTCTTTTCTGTAGTTGTTGGGGTTCTGGGTTTTGTGGATGATATTTTTGTTTTCTCTTTTTTGTAGTTGCGGGCTAGGGCGGGGGCGCTGGTATCTAGGTTCATTGGGGCATGTGGTGGTCATGAGGAATGGGGAGAAGAAATCGGTGGGAGAGAAAGAGAGTTTTTTATATATTTTATTTTATTTAACATTTTAATCAATTTAAAATTAATGAAAAGACAAATATGCCCACATTTTTAACAGAAAAGTTGACTGAGATTATGGGAAGGACGATTTCTAAAAGTGGAGGCATAATTAAAGTATCACCGTAACAATTTAGTAATATGAGGGACGAAAAGTAAACTTTGGTCTATCATGACACACCTCATCGAACGAACTATCATCGTGTGACTGCTCTACTCTAGATAAAGACCAAGCAAAGCAAAAGCCTCATACTTAGGCTTCATGCACACCATGAATTGGGTCTTTAAAACTTGAAGCCTCATCAGAGGATTACATCCACCTCCACAAATATATGGCTTCGGTTGAAGCTTGTGAAACCAACGTGGGGCCCACGAGTTGAAAAAACTGAGCCTATTGATGAAACTTGCTACAACAAAGTCACTCTCCCTGCGTGACTACAACTTTTTACTCTCCCTATGAACCCTCCATATTCTAACTGTTGGCTATCCAATGGATTTTTTTTTTTTGGTTGAAAGGCCATCCAATGGATTACTTCTGAACAACATAAAATATGTTGTAAAATCAAAGGTTATGGATGCCCACCATAAGTCTATTTTAATTCCTCCATTATACCCATCATTATACCTATCATTATAGGGTTGTAACCTATGCACTAAATACCATATTTATCATTGATTATTATGTTTTGTAACCTACCACTTAAGGGTGGTAAATGGTGATGTATTTCCTATGCCTATAAATAGTAGGCACTAAAGATGAATAAGACACTTGAGCATTGAGCTATTGAGAACTACTTTTACCTTTCATATACTTTCTCTATTCAGTTTTATAACACGTTATTAGCACGACTCTATTACCAGTTGAGGATCTTGGCTTGGACTTGTCCCACACATGTTGATTAACTATAATACAGAAGGATGCTATGACTCGAAGTTTGGTTCTACCATGTTCTTAGTTTTCTTTTCTAACCAATTGTGCAGGGTCTTCATTTGTTTACCTAATATACACTATAACATGCATATGATTTTATATATTATAATATATAAATAAACGGTTGCATTTTATTTATACATTAGAACCCGAAGTTCGCATCCTAATGATTTAAACCTAAAGTTTTAAATCAAAGAAATCCAATAAATCTAGAACTTGAAGTTCTAAGTTATATAATTATTTTAGAGCCTGAAGCCCTAAATGTATAAAACTCAAACCTATAGCTTTGAGTGACTAATTATGCATATGTTCATTTATTCAATATTGTTTTTAGTAATATGATAATTTTTATTATTACTGAGGCATATTTTAATTTTTCATGTTTACAATTAATTAATCCTGAAATATTCTTAGACGTATTCAACAATGTCAAATCTCACGAAGCTTGAGTTTGTTGCACTTGACATTTCTGGCAAGAACTATTTGACATGGATCCTTGATGCTGAAATTCATTTGAATGCAAAGGATCTTGGAAATACCATCAAGGAAGGAAATGAAGCATCCCTGCAGGATCGCTCGAAAGCTATGATTTTCCTCCGCCATCACCTTCATGAGGGATTGAAATCTGAATACCTTGGGGTGAAGGATCCTACTATCCTATGGAAAAATTTGGAAGAAAGGTATGACCATCAGAAGAGTATAATACTTCCAAAGGCTCGTTATGATTGGATGCACATGTGCTTGCAGGATTTTAAAACAGTGAATAAGTATAACTCAGCAATGTTCAAAACTGTCTCTCAATTGAGGTTGTGTGGAGACACGGTTACTGATGAAGATATGTTGGAGAAAACATTCACAACTTTTCATGCATCAAACATGCTCCTGCAGCAGCAATACCGAGAAAGGGGATTTACAAAGTATTCCCAACTGATTTCATGTCTCCTTGTTGCTGAACAAAACAATGAGCTTTTGATGAAAAATCATCATTCCCACCCGACTGGCTCAAAACCATTTCCTGAAGCATATGCAAATGCATAATTTCCTGAAGCAAATGCAAGCAATCATGGCCATGGTTGTGGTCGTGGACATTATAATTCTCGAAAACGAGGTGGTCACAATCATGCCTCAAATAAGAAAAATGCACCATACCACCAAAAGTGGAATAACAATGAAGAAAAACAAGGAAAAGGGAAAGGTGTGCAGATTAATTCTGAAAAGAAAAGTGATGAGGCTTGTTATAGGTGTGGCATGAAAGGACATTGGTCTCGTACCTGCCGTACGGCGAAACACCTAGTTAATCTTTATCAAGCATCAATTAAGGGAAATGGAAAAGAGAAAGAAACAAACTTTATCGATTTCAGCAACATTTTTTATGATTTTACTGAGCCAATAGATATCACCCATTTGGATGTGTCAGATTTCCTTGCGTAACCAAGTGGCACATTTGACCATTCATATGGTGATGGAAATACCAATGTTGGTGATGAAAATATGAAGGATGGTGATGATAATGCCAATGATGGAAACCCCTATATTGACTAGTTTTATGTTGCTATGTTATGTTGCTTTATTCCAATTCAATAAAAGGATATGAACTTATGATTTAAGTTTCAGTTTTTCATTTGTAATGCTTTCAATTCAATAAAAGGATCTATGATCTCATAATTTTATTTTATTTTTGTTATTATTATATTCATAAACTTATTATATGTATTTTTCTTTAAATGAAGAAGCATGGAAAATGTCAATACTTTGAGCAATTCCAAGATGCAGGATGGAGATGTATGTTTGGTGAACAGTGCAACAACACATACAATCCTTCAGGATAAGAAATATTTTTCCAACTTAAAACTAGCAAAAGCCAATGTGCATACAATTTCAGGTAGTGCAAATCTAATCGAAGGCTCTGGAAGAGCAAATATAATATTACCTGGAGGAACGCACATTCATATCAAAGAGGCTTTATATTCTGTCAGATCCAAAAGAAATCTGATTAGTTTTAAGGATATACGTCTTAATGGGTTTCATATTGAAACTACAAATTAGGGGAATATAGAATATCTGCTTATTACTTCTATTGTTTCATGCCAGAAGGATGTAGTAGAAAAACTTCCAGCTTTCTCATCTGGCTTGTACTATACAACTATAAGTGCAATAGAATCAAATATCATAATGAACCAGAAGTTCAGTGATCCAAAGCTTTTTATGCTTTGGCATGACTGACTTGGCCATCCAGGGTCAACAATGATGCGTCGAATAATTGAAAATTCACATGGTCATCCATTAAAGAACCAGAGGATTCTTTTATCTAGTGATTGTCCATGTCAGACTTGCTCACAGGGAAAACTGGTCATTAAACCATCTCCCTTGAAAATTGCTAGTGAATCCCTAACATTTTTACAACGAATCCAAGGGGATATATGTGGACCTATTCATCCACCATGTGGGCCATTTCGTTATTTCATGGTTTTAATAGACGCATCATCAAGATGGTCACATGTTTGCCTACTTTCTACTCGTTCTATTGCATTTGCTAAGCTTCTTGCTCAAATAATCAAATTGAGGGCACAATTTCCTGACTATCCAATTAAGACAATTCGTCTTGATAATGCTGGTGAGTTTACATCTCAAGCATTTGATGATTATTGCATGTCCATTGGCATTAGTGTTGAACATCTGGTTGTACATGTACATACTCAAAATGGATTAGCAGAGTCCTTTATCAAACGCCTTCAAATGATTGCTCGGCCTTTACTTTTAAGGTCAAAATTGCCTACTTCTGTTTGGGGACATGCTATATTGCATGCTGCATATTTGGTTCGCATTCAACCAACTGCTTATCATCAATATTCTCCATTACAACTTGTTTTGGGCCAACAGCCTAATATTTCTCATTTAAAATTTTTTGGTTGTGCTGTATATGTTCCCATCTCCCCACCAAAGATAACTAAGATGGGCCCTCAAAGACATCTCGGAATTTACATTGGATTTAATTCTCCATCCATAATTAGATATCTTGAACCCCTGAAGGGTGATATGTTTACAATACGCTTTGCAGATTGTCAGTTTGATGAGACAATTTTCCCGCCGTTAGGGGGAGAAAAGGTGCCGCTTCCTGAAGAACGGCATGAAATTACATGGAAATCATTGTCTCATTTGGATCCATATACAAATCAAAGTGAATGTGAAGTTCAAAGGATCATCCATTTGCAAAGTATAGCAAATCAATTACCAGATGCTTTTACTAACATAAAGAAAGTAACAAAATCCCATATACCGGCTGTAAATACTCCAGCATGGATTGATGTCCCTGAAAGTCAATATGATAGTACATTAAAGGTACGCTTGAAGCGTGGTCGCCCTGTTGGTGCTAAGGATAAAAATCCCCGAAAGAAAAGGATACAAGAAGTGCCTATTCCAGAAGAAAATAAAAATCCAAAACAAATTAGTACTCTTGATGAGCCAAAAACTGACCAGTTTAAAATTGATGAAGATGTAGCCCCTGTAGAGGCACATACACCAGAAGAAGAACATGCATCAGAAGGGATCTCTTTGAATTATATGAGTACAAGAGAAAGCTGGGATAGAAAGAAAGCTATTGTTGATGATGTTTTTGCATACATGGTTGCTATAGATATTATAAAAGATAATGAGGATCTTGAACCAAAAACTATTGAAGAATGTCGACATAGAGAGAATTGGCCAAAATGGAAAGATGCGATCCAAGCAGAATTAAATTCCTTGGAAAATCGTAAAGTATTTGGACCAGTAGTCCGAACACCTGCAGGTGTGAAACCGGTTGGATACAAATGGGTGTTTGTAAGGAAACGTAACGAGAAAAATGAAATTGTAACATACAAGGCACGGCTTGTAACACAAGGTTTCTTGCAGAGACCTGGAATCGATTATGATGAGACATATTCCCCTGTGATAGATGTAATCACATTACGTTTCTTGATTAGTTTGGTTGTCACAGAAAGACTTGATATGAAACTTATGGATGTAGTTACTGCATACTTATACGGATCACTTGAGAATGATATCTATATGAAGATCCCAGAAGGATTTAAATTGCTTGAAGCAAATGATCCAAAATATCATGATATGTATTCAATTAAGTTACAACGATCCTTGTATGGATTAAAGCAATTTGGAAGAATGTGGTATAACCATCTTAGTGAATATCTTATACGAGAAGGATATGTAAATAATCCAATTTGTCCATGTGTTTTTATTAAAAAAATCTGAAAGTGGATTTGCAATTATTGCAGTATATGTGGATTATTTAAACCTTGTTGGAACTCCTGAAGAGCTTACAAAGACTGCTACTTATTTAATGAAGGAATTTGAGATGAAAAATCTTGGGAAGACTAAATTTTGTCTCAGCCTGCAGATCGAGCATCTACCAACTGGAATCTTTATCCATCAATCAACATATACAGAAAAAGTTTTAAAACGATTTTATATGGATAAAGCCCATCCATTAAGTAGCCATATGGTTGTTCGATCACTTGATGTAAAGAAAGATCATTTTCGCCCACTAGAAGATAACGAAGAATTACTTGGTCCTGAAGTACCATATCTGAGTGCAATTGGAGCTTTAATGTATCTTGCAAATTGTACACGGCCTGATATAGCTTTTTATGTCAACTTATTGTCAAGGTATAGTTCTGCACCAACTAAGAGACATTGGAATGGTGTTAAACATATACTACGATATCTTCGTGGAACAACTGACATGGGTTTATTTTATTCAAGAGGGTCCAAATCCCAAATAGTTGGCTATGCTGATGCTGGTTATCTTTCTGATCCACATAAAGCTAGATCACAAACAGGATATGTGTTCACTTGTGGTGGTGCTGCTATATCATGGCCGTCTGTAAAACAAACATTAGTCGCCACTTCTTCCAACCATTCTGAAATATTAGCTTTGCATGAAGCAAGCCGGGAATGTATATGGCTGAGATCTATGATACAACATATCCGAGAAACAAGTGGGTTGTCTTCAATCAAAAATTCTCCAACATTACTATATGAAGATAATGCTGCCTATATTGCTCAAATCACAAATGGATACATCAAAGGCGACAGAACCAAGCACATTTCTCCAAAAAATTTCCACACGCATGAACTTCAAAAGAATGGTGGCATAGATGTTCAACAAATACAATCCAACAACAACTTTGCAGATTTATTCACAAAAGCACTGCCAACTACAACATTCAGAAAGATGGTCAACCATATTGGAATGCGTCAACTCAAGGATCTTTTGCCAGCATCAGGGGGAGTGTGTCATAATAGAGACCTTCACACTGTACTCTTTTTCCTTCGTTCTGGTTTTTATCCCACTGGGTTTTTCCAAACAAGGTTTTAATGAGGCAGTGTCACACGGTCTATATTACACATGGATATGTACTCTTTTCCCTTCGCCTAGGTTTTGTCCCACTGGGTTTTACTGGCAAGGTTTTAATGAGGCATACTTCATGCATGGTGGAGGAGTGTTGTAAAATCAAAGGTTATGGATGCCCACCATAAGTCTATTTTAATTCCTCCATTATACCCATCATTATACCTGTCATTATAGGGTTGTAACCTATGCACTAAATACCATATTTATCATTGGTTATTATGTTTTTTAACCTACCACTTAAGGGTGGTAAATGGTGATGTATTTCCTATGCCTATAAATAGTAGGCACTAAAGATGAATAAGACACTTGAGCATTGAGCTATTGAGAACTACTTTTACCTTTCATATACTTTCTCTATTCAGTTTTATAACAAAATATTGTTTTCTTTAAAAATAATTGTAAATTTTGACTTGATTTTCATTTAAAATAAAATTAAAAATGGATGCAACAGCTAGCTATATTCATCTAATCAATGCAAACGGCTATAATGTTAAAAAAAAAATCAATTCATGTATAACAGCGAACCACTAATTTATTTTTAAACTATGAATAACCACATTTCATCTCAAATTTTTCACACCATTATTCTTCAAGTTTATCAAACTTTTCACTCACAAAATTTTCTTATTTGTTAATATTTTTTGCTTAATCTATCTTCCACAAATGGCTGAAGGTTCGAAACAAAAGGGTGCTAATTACGCCGACGATGAAGACATAGCTCTCTGTCAAGCTTGGATTGTCATGAATGAGGATCCAATTATTGAAAATTCACAATCAAGTGGAACCATGTGGAATTGGACCAAAGATCAATTTTTACAATTTCATTCTAGAGCAAGGAAGTGAGGACAACAAAGAGCTTGAAATCTCGTTGCACGAACATCAGCGCTTTGTGCACCAAATTCTCATAGTGTGTTCCTAATGTGGGAAGGCAAAACAGGAGTGGGTAAAACAAAGTTGACAATGTAAGTTTTATAATTTTGGAATTTATATTATTTACCATATTTGATTTTTTGCCAACTAATTTAAATTCGTATTCATCACATCTGTAGCTACAAGATGCAAAACGGATGTATTTTGAGAGGGAACAAAAAGCATTCCTCCTTGACCACTATTGGAATGTTGTCTTGCAAGCCCATAAGTGGCAACCATTTGAAGGATACCAATCCTCCTCCTTTGTGAACACGTCTCCAATAGGTGTCTCAACTCCTCTAGACGAAGATTTGTCAATGGAGACCATTCCGAAAACTCAAGAGTTCATGCAAACCTCGAACCCATGCTAAAGACCAATTCGAACCAAAAGAGCAAAAGAGCTAAAAAGAAAAGGAGTTCCAGAAGCGAGCACTCAAGAAGGTAGAGAGCTTAATGAAGTCATGAAGTCTTACAAATATGAGATTCTCGAGAGCAAAGAGCTTAAGATTATGCTTAAAGAACTACACTTCCACAATCCTAAGTCAATATTATGGCCAAGGAAGCGCCCTGTTCTCTAAGTTTTGAAGATGACATCTACCGTCCCCAACCCCCGATAATGTCTAGATTTGGATGTATTTGTTTTATTTAAAGCATGTTGTACTTTGTTCTTGTATTGCAGTTCTATGTAATAAAGTATTGTTATTTTGGGGAAAAAAATATTTATTTATTGGAAGACCATGGTAACACACGAAAATGAAAACATATAAAAGCAACTCTAAATGGCAAGAACATTGCAATTTATGGAAATTCATGAGAACCACACAAGCCTCGAATAACCTTCTAGTTCACTCAAGTAACCTGTGGTATCAATTACTAGAAGCAAAATCCTAAGTTGGATATTCATGTTGTCAACTCAAGCATCAAATCAATTAAGTGGTGATCAAGCACTCAAAGCAATAAGAACTGTAAAAGATACTCGACATGGAAAATAATATCAAATTAACATAAACTCAAAAATAAGGTATTTATGGCTAGGGTACATCGTAGCCCTAGCAAAAAGAAGTTAGAACATGATAAACTTATCGAGAATCATAGAGCGGTTGATGGTAGACACGAGGATGAACTCGAAAACTCCCAAAAAGCTCCAAGGTGGCTGGCGGCATCATGACTTTTCTTCCCAAAAATTGGGTATTTTCAGGTAGTAAGAAGTATGGATACTCTCTATGAGACCAGCATTTTGCTATTTATAATATACAAATCCCTAACCCTAGTTCCAATATCTCTTTGATTTCTTCTCCAAATTCCATAAGGATTTGACCAAACTTCCTCCTTTAAGCTTTGACCAGTTGCTTGGCCAAGGGCGGAACCACACTAAGGGCTACAGTGGGCTATAGCTTAGTGTGGTTTTTTAAGAAAATAATAATAATAACTTATATATATTTAACTTATTTTCAGTATTAGCCCAGTCAGTGGCGTTGTACAGATTACCTTATTTCCATTTTCAACATTTAAGTAAATGTCTTTGTCATTTTACTTTTATTTATTTTTATATTAATCCATTTACTTAAGTTTACAATGTAAATAAGGAAGTACCCCCCATTTGGATTCAAATAAAAATACTAGAAAATCAAATTCCCACCAAATCAAAATATGAAAAATCGGTTTTAGTGCCAAATACGATTTAGGCTAAAAATGATGGCTCATTAAGTCAATATATACTTCATACTAAAATCCCATAAAATCAAGTTTTCTTATTTGATGTGTGAGGAATAAAAGCCACCAAAAATTATCTTAAGAAAATGATTATTTCGAAAACCCATTTTTCATACTTAGTCAATATTTTTACATAAAATAACTTTTCATCTATAATATGAATGCATGAAAGAACCTAAGGTCAATCTAGGTAAAAAAAACCTTAGATGTTCAATCCACTATGGTGTTAAACCCTATTTGGTTTATGTTAAAATTTATTAAAAATTAGTCTATGGAGCTATGAACTAGCTTGGTTTATATGATTTAATGTTTACTTTTATTTCTAGAAAGACTATAGAAATTGTAAGTACCAAAAAAAAAATAATCACTAAATTTTAAAGCTAATAACTTTAGCTAGCCCACCCGTTGAAAAATTCATGGTTCCTCCCTTGTGCTTGGCTTCTAAGAAACATCTTCTTTGTCTCCAATTAATTCTTGCCACACATCCCAATAGGGTTTGAGTCCAATTTGACATCTTTTCGTCCAATTCATCTAATTAGGGATCAACTACAAAATTCTCACAAAATACATTAAATCCAACAATTTAATCCAAGGAAATCAATAAATAAATAAATAGTAAATGAGGCATAAAAGATATGTAAAATATTGACTTATTAGGATGAAAGTTATAAAGATGAGGAGTTGCATCCATCTATATCCATTATTATCTGACATTCTATCAAAACCGTATGTTTCATCTCAATATGAAATAAAATTTTTAATTTCAGAATCTTGTCCAAATTTTTATATTTTTCAGTTGAAATGTTCCTTTAAAAAACTAATATAACACAAACATACATTAGCACAAAATAAGTACGTAACAAAAAAATTTAGCACGTAAACTAAATTACATCATAAAAAATAGGCAAAATTGTAGCAATGGTCTCTAGACTAAGCGTAACTTTATTTTTACTCTCACATGTCGCTAAATTGTTACGGTGGTGTTTTAATTAACTCTCGTGTTGCATCATTGGTCTTTTCGTTAACTTAGTTAACTTAGTTAAATTCTCTCTCTCTCTCTCTCTCTCTCTCTCTCTCTCTCTCTCTCTCTCTCTCTCTCTCTCTCTCACTTCCCCCGAAGATTTCTTCTTACCCCATTCCCTCATGACTACCACCTGCAAGCTCCAACCCTCAAACCTATCCCATAGCCACCCTCTACCCTAGCCTGCAACCCTAGCACCCACGAACCCAGAACCCCAGCCCCCATCCTCCACCCCAGATCTGATCAAAATAGAGAAGCAGAGGAAGAAATTGGTGGGGGGGAGAAGAAATTTGGGTGAGAAATCGTCGGAGGAGGAAATTTTGGTGAGAAATCGTCGGAGGAGGGGGGAGGGGGAAGAAATTGGTTCTGTGGAGAAGAAATGGCTGGTGGTGGGGGGGGGGGGGGGGGGGGGGGGGGGGGGGGGGGGATAGAGGTAGGGAGAGAGAGAGAGAGAGAGAGAGAGAGAAATCGCACGGGGGATGGGTTCTATGTATGCATGGAGCAAGCCCCAATTTTCTCAGCGTCCTCATTTGTTGAATTCCGAAGCTTGCTTGCAAGTTTGCAAATTTGGCAAATGGCTCTCAAAGCCGTGCATGTCTTAAACGTTCCTAGTCTCCACCGAGTCACAGAAAATGCAGCATCCATCTTCACGCTTGGCTCAAGTTGATAAACATTCCATCAAATTGCTGAATTAAATTCAAAAAAAAAAAAAAAAAAAAAAAAAAAAAAAAAAAAAAAAATTTGGTTTTGATGATGAGATAGAGAGAGAGAGAGAGAGAGAGTTTTTAAAATTTTTATGTGAAAAGACATTTTTGTCCACGCTAGGCCTCATCATTTGGCCCGCGGGCTCATGGGCCGATGGGGGCCCGCCCGGCCCATTGGAAAAAAGCCCGGCCCAGCCCGTTATGGGCTTTGGGATGGCCCGGCCCGCCTTGGGCCGGGCTAGGCTTGGGCTTGGGTGTCTGAAGCCCGGCCCGACCCATAGGCCCGGCCCGATTAAGCCCAAGAAGGCCCGGCCCGGCCCACCCACAAAAGCCCGGCCCGTTAGGCCCGCATACATATATAATTATGTATAAATAAGAGTTTAGGATTAGGATTATATCACTTAAATCACATATATAATTTGTTTCATTTCATTTTTTTTTCTTTACTCATTCCTAATTTATAATTGGATGATTAGCACATTAATTTGTGTCAATTATTAATACAACAATTATATATATATATATATAAATAAGATGAACAATATATCATATCACTAAATATAATCATATCACGAAACATAATCGTACTACTACCACCAAATATAATCATGTTTTTCTTGAACACATCACCAAACATTTACATATTTATTTATACCATCCTTTAAAAAAAATATCTTTTTGATACTTATTACTTTTTAAAATTATTTCTTAAAACGTATTACGGTCTAATTATGTAATAACCTCAAAAATAATACTTTGTTTTATTATTTTTGTGGAAAATCTTATTAAGTTGTGTGACTTTATTGGGTATTTTATGAATTTGTTTTGATGTGAAAATATTGGAATTAAGTGAGTTTAATCTCAAATTTAGACTAAAATGTCCTTATGATTAAGTTTATGATTTTTTTCAAATGAAGTAGGCCCGTTTCGGCCCGGCCCGTTGGGCTTAGCCCAGCCCGACCCAATGGGCTTTCTCAAGCCCGACCTATGGGTTGGGCTTGGACTTTGAATTTTCTAAAAAAACCCGGCCCGGCCCGACCCGATATTTTCTCTCTCCTCTTTAAAGCCCGGCCCGGCCCGGCCCAAGCCTGTTAAATTTGGGCCGGGCTAGCCCGGCCCGGCCCATTGACGAGCCCTAGTCCACGCCACGTCATCATTTTTAAAAGTTGACTGAGATGATGGAAATGACGATTTCTGAAAGTGGACGCATAATTAAAGTACCACCGTAATAATTTAGCAATATGAGAGATAAAAAGTAAAATTTGGTCTTAGTCAAGGGATCATTGCTACAACTTTTACCTAAAACATATAAAGCCTAGAATATAGAGCTCCGGGTATAGAGCCCACTATTGTGAGCTAGATATTTTTACTACCCAAAAGATTCCACCAAAGCTCTAAATGGGCCTTCATCCACCATATTTGGAGCATAGTTAGAGCCCACCATTGGGCTTGCCCAAATGGAATTGAAAATGGCTGCGTCCGATTTCTGAGTCATCCCTGATAAAACCCAAGATAAAACCTAGCTTAAGCTTACTTACAGCGCTTGACCAAAAAATAAAATAAAATAGCTTACTTACAGCGAAGTGAAATAAATCTCTCAGACTCAGCAGTGTTTGCGTTCTCTCAGCTCATCTCTGTGACTCTGTGTGCGCGTTTGTCGTATCAATTCAATGGCATCAGGTGGAGGGAACGCAGGAGGAGGAGGAGGAGTGGAGTGGCACGTGCGGCCTCCGAACCCTAAGAACCCAGTCGTCTTCTTCGACATTACCATCGGTACCATTCCCGCTGGTCGTATCAAGATGGAGCTTTTCGCTGATATTGCCCCTAAAACCGCCGAAAATTTCAGGCATCGCCACTCTCGTTCTGCTTTATTGTTGCTCTCTTTTGTGATCCACTTTTTGCCGTCGTTTCATTCCTAATTGAGTTCTTTTGTGTCTTCTTTTACTTGTTTCAGGCAGTTCTGCACTGGCGAGTACAGGTAGAGATTCATTTTCACTATTTATTTTTTTTTTTTTTTTTTTTTTTTTTTTTTTTTTTTTTTTTTTTTTTTTTTTTGTGTTATGTTTGTGTATGTATGTAAATTGGAAATTGAATTGAAAATGGATGGATGTTTGGATGAAAAGCAGGATTGCCAGTTGGGTACAAGGGGTGCCAGTTCCACAGGGGTCCATTAAGGGATTTTATGATTCAAGCTGGTGATTTTCTCAAGGTCTTCGCTCTTTCTTCTACTATTATCTATGCTTTCAAATATAATTTGGGTTTCAATTCTTTGAAAGAAAAAAGTAAGGTTTACTGTTGCCATTCTGGGTTTGTTGCCATTTTCTACTAATGAATATGTAAACTTATGTATCAGCTAGGAAGCTTATAATTTTTCTTGTAAATATGTTCAATGTGCTCTGCCCTGATCATATCTAGTCAGTACACAACACTGCTTACAATCGTCATCTCTTTTTTTTTTCTTTATTAAACAATTTACTTTGCGGATAAAGAAAAGAAAATGCTATTTCCAGCTAAAAATGTTACGGCTAGAAAGACTACATATTAAGGACGCTGTACCCATTCATGAGGGTTCTGCAATTCCCTGGCCATAACAATTGTTCATCTAGAATTAACATTATCCTATTAAGAAAAAAAAAACCATTGTAGTTAATTACGATCATTTCAGCTATGACAGTTTTCCTTTTCTTTTCTCTTCTTGTTACAAGACGCGTCTAATGAAGTTCTTGCTTGGCAGGGTGATGGTAGTGGATGTGCTTCCATTTATGGACATCAGTTTGATGATGAGACTTTTGACGCCAAACACACTGGTCCTGGCCTTTTGTCAATGGTATGCATTTTCCATTGTACATTTAGTATTGAATAACTCTCACTGTGTTTCCCCCGTAGTTTTGGAAGATATCTTTCCAGGTTCTTTTTTTTTTTATCTTGCCTTAGTTTACACATTTATCATGTGCAGTAATTTTTAATTTTTAATTTTTAATTTTTAATTTTTAATTTTTTTTTTCATGTTGAGAATATAGAATTGGATAAACTTTACATTCAATCCTTTAATAAAAAATTTGTACATTGAGAGGCAATAGTCTAAGTTCTAATTTGATTTGGGTTTTTTCAATCACTCATTTGTATCTCATATATTGTACATAGGTATAAGCTGCGAAATTGTTAGACTCTAGTTCACAATGCTGATGATGATTAGTCCTTCAATTTAAGATCCCCATTGGCATTGATTTACTTATGGGTGATTGAATTTGCAGTTTAAAGTCTTAACATAATTTTTTTGAGGTGGAATTTGGGTCAGAGTCTTTTAAAATAGGACTTCTTACTTTTAAAGAGCAATATTAGTAAATCGCATAGGCATGCCCGGTTTGTAGAGCTAATTTGGGTTTCACCTGTCTTGGATGGTGTAATTAATCTGTGAAAGTCTTTTGACATTTCTGAGTGGCAGACCTTTTTGTAGCACTTAAAAGGCTTTTGTCTATGACCCAAAAAAAAAACAAAAAGTGTTTTTGTCCTGCTTTTCTTTTCCCCTCCTTCATGGGTTGAATATTTTCATACTCATTACTTGCTTCTAAACACATTGTAAGATGTGTGTAAGAGATTTAATGTTGTACTGTGTATATATGTCTGCAGTAGCTGTAATCTCACTTAGCTTTTGTGCCAAACCTCAATCGTTTTTTGGGTTACTGAGTTATTCATTTAGAACATGGAAACAACAAAGGGATTGATGGGAATTGGGATGGCCCAATAATCTATTGTTAGTGTTTGCCCAAGCGTTTTGTTTACTTTAATTTGTCTTACTAGGGTTTTATTACTTTTATTATTTGCTTCTCCTTGTGGGATTTTATTTTAGATTGCTTATAGAATTAGGCCACTCTTTTTAATAGAATTCTAGTTTTTCATGTTCAAATTGAGAATACAAGATTAAATTTGAAGCTATCATACCTTTTTGTCTTTCATTTGTGTCCCCATATGAGTTACTTTTTGGTAATGTATATCTATGAGGGGAAGTTTTTTAAACAATTTAGATAGTGGACGCTAGACTAATCGCTGAGATTAAGTAGGATCCATGGCACTCAATCTAATGGTTCACAACTTGTGTAAAAAATAAGGTCATGGATCCTTCCTCATTATATAAATACATTTTATATAGGTTGTTTCTTTGATGGGACCATGTTTAGAGGGATTACGCAGCAGATGAACAGCACATAAGGCCTTCCAGAACAGCGCTAGTCTGCCAAAGCGCACCCGTTTAGAGCTTATAATTTAGGTTTTTAAACTCTTGGGTTGTGGGAGTTTGTCAAAACTTAAACCTAAACCATAAATGGCTTCTATACTCAGTCATCAACCAATTGACATGCTGTTCAAACAGCCCTTGTTGCCGTGTGAACAGCCAAGGGATCCCAGTCCTGAAGGAATTTCTGTGTATTGTGTGTGTGTCTTCCAATATGTGTTCCTTTTTGTCCTGTGTGTGCGCTCCAATATGAGATTGTTTTATCAAGACTGAATGGATAAAATCGTGTGCTCTTTTTTCAGGCAAATAGTGGACCAAATACCAATGGGTGCCAGGTAATTTCAGCAACTCAAACTCTCTCTGTCTCCAACCAAAACAAAACTCTCTCTCTCTCTCTCTCTCTCACACACACACACACACATGCACACATACCCACACAAAGAGTTGAGAACTTTTGGTTCTATTGATTAATGTTCCATTTTTTTTTTCCATTTCAGTTCTTTATCACTTGCTCGAAATGTGACTGGCTTGACAATAAGCATGTTGTGTTCGGGGTATGCTATGATTCCTTCTTTCTAGTTCTTTTGATATATAAATTATTTTACTCAAACATACCGGGGCCTGATTACTTATCAATGGGAGAGGGTCATATGATTCACTTACCAAAGAAATAAAAGAGCCATATAGATGAACAAGTATTACCCTATGGGCTTGTAAAGCTGATATTAAACTTGAGGTGACTCAAAAGCCTAAGCATTAAGGTGAAAGTCAATCCGGCATGAAAACTGTGATATACTTTGTCCCTAACCATGCCCAAGCCAAGATCTGCTATCAGCCTATGGCGTGTTAGATTCCCTTGGGAAATGTTTTACCTAAAAATGAATTTAGGATCCAAAAATTCACACCCCCTTGAGTGTGCAAAACAAACTTAAGCATATTTGTATAGTTGTAGTTTTCAATTTTGGTAGAGTGGAGTTGCATTATCTTATGTCTATATTTCCAAAGACTGGCAACCTATATGGATTTCCACTGACTATACCCCTCTTGTTGCTCAACCTGAAATTACTTGTTTCCCTTTAAACCTTCCAGTTATTAGTGGTACTGAGAACCTGTTTTCCGTTGTTTTGTTAATTTGTATGCAGAGAGTACTTGGAGATGGCCTTTTGGTAGTTAGGAAGATTGAGAATGTGGCTACAGGACCCAACAATCGCCCCAAACTAGCTTGTGTAATTGCTGAATGTGGGGAGATGTAAATCCTGAGTTTAGAAGCAGTTCTGTTGTTGATTAACTATAAAAACTCCTGTAACCAATAGAATGTTAATTTTCCCAGAAAAAGAAAAAGGAATTCTATTTGTCTCATTCTAATGAAAATATATGGTTCTGAAGATGGTTTTTCACATGCAACTTTGACAGCCATTGCAACTGTTTTGCGTTCCTGAATAGCCCCCTTCTCATTTCCCTTCCCTTTTAGCCAACCGGTATTCAATTTTTATTGTGGGGTTGGGGGGCTGGCAGGGGCACAATGCTTTTTAGAACAAATATTAGATCATTACGTAACACCAAATCAGACACTTGAGCAACAGTACAAAGAAAGGATAGAAAAAAACAAGGTCGGAGATGATGTCCAAGGCAATTCGAAAGAGCTTAACAGCACCAACTGCGCAATGATCGGCAACGACGGATTGCCGTTCTTGTCGGGGTGATGCTAGAAAGATGCCTATTTTTTGCTTCAAGGAACTGCACATTGGCTGAACCTTGAAAGTGTCACAAAAACAGTAACCAAATATTTGTTTGACTAAGTTCCTTAGTTATGAAACAAACATAGATGAAACTCTTGTAACCTTTAGAAATTTCTTTTTGTCCTTTATACCAGAATCTTTCCAGCGTACTCCATTTGTGTATAAATGAATATTATACATTTATATGTATATGCTAGATTGGTTTTAGCCGGCTTAATGTGAATTTCAATAGATTTATGAAAGCCAGAGCTTTAGTTATTCTTTTTTTTCTTCGTATTAATCACGCAAACAACCAAAGCAGGATGCTTCAAATTCAACTCTCTCTCCTTTATGAAATTCTCGTAACCTTCAAAATTCTTTTTTGTCATCAATCATTTCATTATATATCACAATCTTTCCAGCTTTCTCCAATTGTGCAAATATGCTCCATTGGTGCTGGCCGGCTTGATGTGAACTTCAATAGATTTATAAAAACTACAGCTTTCTTCATTGTTTCTTCCTCTTCATTCAAGATAATTGACAACCAAGTAGAATGACTCAACTTCAACTCTTTCTCCTTTATGTTGCTGCAGCTGCATTCATGTTTCAACAATTTTGTGGTATGCAGTCTTATTTTCTCTAATTTCTCACCATATACATAGCTTATAAAGGATCCACAATTCCTAACGCATCGACAGCATCTGCGTAAAATTTTTGGTACCACAAATATTTGCTTTCACTATTTATAAGTAGATGCTATTAAGCTAGCTATCTAATCTTTTGTGCTGTGGCTAACCGTTCAAATTATCTATGCATGATTCAGATGGAAAGTTGATGATGGAGTACATTGGAGCCTCAGGAATTCCAATAAAATTTGACTCTGTACCAATTGAAGATGAAATTGACTTCAATTTCATACTCGGCTTTGCAATTGATGCAGATGCATCAGGCAATTCACAAAATGGGACATTCTCACCATACTGGGAGCCTACATTAACCCCAAAATCTGTTGCAGCCATAAAGAAAAGCCACCCTAACGTAAAAGTCTTGGCAAGCCTCTCAGGTTGGAGCTTAGGCCAAACAGTCCTTCGTTGGTACAATCCAACAGACCCCAACGTATGGATATCCAATGCTGTCTCATCTCTTGGTTCCATAATCACCACTTACCATCTTGATGGCATTGACATAGACTACGAAAATTTCCCAAACCAGAAGAGCAGTAATTCATCAAGTTCTTTCGCTTTTTGCATCGGTGAGCTCATCACCCGTCTGAAAAAACAAAGGCTTATCTCCGTAGCTAGCATTGCGCCATTTTATAGTACGGCTGCGCCATATGTTCAACTCTTTAATGGTTATGGGGATGTTATAGACTATGTCAACCACCAGTTCTACACTGACAAGGTTAACACCCCAAAAGGGTATTTAGATGCCTACACATTTCGGGCCAAGCAATTTGGAAAGGATAAGTTGTTGCCTAGCTATGAAGTAAATGGAAGAGGGATTCAGGGGGATGCATTTTTTGATGCTTTGAGTCTGTTGGAGAAAAATGGATTTGAAATTAATGGGGTCATGATCTTCTCAGCTGATGCTGCTTCTACCAACAACTTTTACTATGAGAGAAAATCACAAGCTTTCTTGCTCAATTCTACTAATAATAATTAATTACTGGCAGTCATGTGATTGTAAATTGTAATATACTAGCCTCTTAGCATACGCTCTCGTGCATGTGAGAGGGATTTTTTTCCTGCGCATATGATAAGATCATTTTTTTCATTGCGACTAGTTATATAAGTAAAGCATGTACTACTACGTGTGGCTTCTGTATTGTATCAGTTGTCTATGTACAGCTTGTTCAATACAGATTGATTATCTCTCATGGGAAGAACAAAAAAGAAATTAATAAGTTTATTATTACATAGTCCTATGGATACAGAATTTGTTAGAGAACAATTTGAGTGCATCCTTACTATATCTGCTAGTTACAACTCAAAACTGAGATTCTTTTTCCATCTCATTGGAGTTATTTCACAAAGACTTGTATGAAAAGGAAGAAGGAAGGAACAAAGCACACTTGGAGAGCAAACCCCATACAAGTCAAATTAATCAAACCCAACTTTTTGACAGTTTCAGATTGGCCAAATAAGCTCTTGATGTCCTCCACAATATGAGAGACCCACAGAAAATTCACCCACGAAGTTTCCTCTTCTGGTTTTGGAAACTTCGACAGTTATTCCTACTCTCAGGCACAACAATAGGGCATGAATCGATCATGAGGAAGACCTGTCATCTGTTATCAAAATCTGTTAAGTCCTTTCAACAGAAACTTGTAACTTTTGAAGTGACTCGTAGCAAATCGCATAGGCATGCTTGGGGTTTTAGGTGGAATTTGGGTTTCAGGTGTTTTTTGGTGGTGTAATAAATCTGCTTATGGTTTCTTGACAGTATTTCTGTGTTGGCATTTTGAGTATTAACCAATGGATTTCTACCCCATGCCCTACCCTGGTAATTGATAGATTACCTACCATAGACATGAGAATTAGGTTTAAAATTATTTCAACAAAAGGTGTATTGAATATCAAGTAGTTACATACAACAATAAACCTCAAAATTCGAGGCAACTTACAAATCAAGTAACATTAAGCCACCCGGCATACTGATAACATCACAACAGTCGCCCTTTGGCCCGGATTTGATTTTCTTACAATCTTAACGGTTTTCTTGTAGAAACTCCCATCTCCTCCGGTAGAATTAGCATCAGGGCCGGCCCTTTTGCGAGAACAGGCATTCGACCTCTGCTGCTGCGCTGGTTTGCGGTTATTGGAACCACGAGCCCCTTGAGACCTCGGACTTAAAGACTTGTCGTAAGCCTCTCTTTTGGCACGGTCGGAGAGAACATCCCAGGCTGCTTTAACATACTTGAAAGCACCATCCGCAGCAATAGATCCGTTCTTGTCAGGGTGCAAGGCAAGTGCCAATCTCTTGTACTGTTTCTTGATGGCTTCCGAGTCGGCAACAGCAGGGTTGGTGATGCCAAGAACATGGTACCAGTTTTTCTTGTGTGATACGGCAGAATGAATTTGGTATGCGGCCATGTAGTTGTCCATACCAGGGAACTCTGGATACAACTCTTTGGCTGCCCTTGCCTGCATGATCGCACAGTCGAAATGTCGAAGCGTGAAGTATGCTTCTGCAGCCTCTCGGGCCTTGACCGCAGCCAATTGTGTGAGGTTGATAATGGGATCGGGACACAAAACTTGAGGGATGGAGTTGCTGGGGATTCTGCTGCGGCCAGTGGCCATCCTATTGCGCTTGAAATTCAAAGAAGAAACCATGGTGTAGAGAGCAGTCAAGGAAATAGTAACAAGGAAACCCTGGTGCTTAATAATTATATTTCAAAGCAACGAAGAAGGAAACCTAATACTTTGGGGTTTATATCTAGCTTGTCACTTGAGCAACACGCTAAAACCCTAGAAAAATGGGATTAGCTTGTATAGTTTGGGCAAAAGTTTTTCTTCTATTTGCAATTGGATTAGGATGGAAAAATTCGTTTCTTTATTATCTACTACGTTTTTTGTTGAAAGTGGATTTTCTAATCATTTGTAAATTGAAAGTATGGCAAATTATATTTTGTAAATGTTGATGAAACATTACAAATTTTCCAAAGTATTCGTTTTTATATTTCATATTTTCTTATCTTGAATTTTTTTATTTTGGCATCATATTTTCTTCTCTTGATTACAAGATTGAGCATCTCCCATGGGAAAAACAAAAAATAAAAAAGTTATGGTATCTTTTAAAGCCTAGGCCGAAAAATGGTATATTTCTCAGAAAAAATGGCTATTAAAGCCCAAGCCCAATATCTTTCAATTTCTTTTCTTTGGAAAAGACAAAAAGAACCCTTTTTAATAGAAGCCCATAGTGCCAGGAAGCCCAAGCTTTGATCCACACTAAAGTTAAAGAAATTGGTAACCGTTGCACATCGACCCACGTGAGGGTCTGAAGAAGGACTGTCACCATTAATGGCGACTTGACTGTCTTCTCGCCCAACAAGAAAAGCGAGTTGGATAAAAGCCACAAGGATCGGAAGGAGCCGATTGCCAACTGGATTTCCAGATCTAGAGAACTCAAGTTAGAGAAACATCTCATATAACCAACGGTTTTGTCAGAGACATTCCGTCCTCTCACCTATAAACCAGTCCAAAAAGACAAATCAACAGTTGACTTTGGATAGCAGCCAAATATGCTCTTTCAGCTTTCATCATTGAGATTTCTTGCCTATAAATATAGAGCCTCCGAAACAGAAGAAGGGGACTCTCTCTCCAAAAATTAGAAACAACATCTCGAAAACAATTGAAAAAACTCAAGATCTTTTCAAACAACCCTACTTGATATTCATATAACCAGTTGACAACTCCTGCATTCATCTTTTGTTGCTTTGCCATCCTCTTGGTTTTTATTTCTTTTAAACGATCAGTTTGAATTTATGTATCGCTCGAACTGGATAAAGAAATCTCCAGTCTTCCTTATATTGTAATCGTTGTTTTGAATTAGTTAAATGGACAAATTTATGACTCATGTCTTTCTTTGTTATCAAGTTAAAATTGGATGAAGAAATCTTGAAATTTATCTTGACTATTTCATTAAGTATCTGCTATTTGACTGCTTATCTTTATATATATATATATATATTTCTTTCTCTCTCTCTCTCTCTCTCTCTATGGAGTAGTTTAATTTCCCTATCTTATATTATTCAAATTTACCATTTGGACCCAAAACAGAGGTTGATTCAGGCCTGAACTATACCATTAGGCCCAAATTGACTAAAATCTTGACCCAATCTAAGGGTTTATTGGATTTAAGTTAGGTTTCTGAACCCAAATAGGGTACCATTAACCACGACTTTGGTTTCCCCCCTTGTTTGATCAGGTATTGCTCGTATCTATCAAACCGACACGCATAAATGAAAGAATATTGAAGTCCTCTTGATTGAGGCATAGAAAAGAACTCATCTAGGCCAGTACCCCCCTTAGAGCATAATGGTTTGAGCAAAAGTTCAGAATAAGCGCAAATACAACAAATCAACATCCTACACCACATATACCAGGTCTACTGGGCTGGTCTCATACCTCATACCCAATAGTGGCACGCCCATGCAATCCACTATCAGGACAGACAGAACAAGCCGATAGGGCCCAACCCGAGCTTGCCCGTTCCTGTCAACCTGATCCAACTTTCAATTTTGTCCATAAGTTGAAAGAATCTTCCTCACAAGTCAGAAATCCAATCAGGGCATTGATGTTGATCCGACGACCTTCCCACTCTCTAGAGCAGCTCGATACAGAGCAAACCACAAAAAGAGTGTTGGCAGGAAAAGGGACCAACAGTACTATTGCTTGTTCAATATAGATTGATTATCTCTCATGGGAAGAACAAAAAAGAAATTAATCCTAACTATATCTGCTTGTTACAACTCAAAACTGAGATTCTTTTTACATCTCATCGGAGTTATTTCACAAAGACTTGTCATGGAAAAAGGAAGAAGGAAGGAACAAGCACACTCGGAGACCAAACCCCATACTAGTCAAATTAATCAAACCCCAACTTTTTGACAGTTCCAGATTGGCCAAATAGGCACTTGATGTCCCCACAATATGAGAGACCCAGGGGAAATTCACCCACAAAGTTTCCTCTTCAGGTTTTGGAAAACTTCAACAGTTATTCCTACTCGCGCTAAGCATGACTGATACTCAGGCAACAATAGGGCATGAATCGATCATGAGGAAGACCTGTCATCTCTTACCATATCAAAAATCTGTGAAGTCTTTTTCAACAGAAGCTTGTAACTTTTGAAGAGACTCGTAGCAAATCGCATAGGCATGCTTGGGGTTTTAGGTGGATTTTGGGTTTCAGGTGTTTTTAGATGGTGTAATAAATGATAAATCTGCCAATTTTGAGTATTAACCAATTGATTTCTACCCCATGCCCTACCCTGGTAATTGATAGATTACCTACCATAGACATGAGAATTAGGTTTAAAATTATTTCAACAAAAGGTGTATTGAATATCAAGTAGTTACATACAACAATAAACCTCAAAATTCGAGGCAACTTACAAATCAAGTAACATTAAGCCACCCGGCATACTGATAACATCACAACAGTCGCCCTTTGGCCCGGATTTGATTTTCTTACAATCTTAACGGTTTTCTTGTAGAAACTCCCATCTCCTCCGGTAGAATTAGCATCAGGGCCGGCCCTTTTGCGAGAACAGGCATTCGACCTCTGCTGCTGCGCTGGTTTGCGGTTATTGGAACCACGAGCCCCTTGAGACCTTGGACTTAAAGACTTGTCGTAAGCCTCTCTTTTCGCATGGTCGGAGAGAACATCCCAGGCTGCTTTAACATACTTGAAAGCACCATCCGCAGCAACAGATCCGTTCTTGTCAGGGTGCAAGGCAAGTGCCAATCTCCTGTATTGTTTCTTGATGGCTTCAGAGTCGGCAACAGCCGGGTTGGGGATGCCAAGAACATGGTACCAGTTTTTCTTGTGTGATACGGCAGAATGAATTTGGTATGCGGCCATGTAGTTGTCCATACCAGGGAACTCTGGATACAACTCTTTGGCTGCCCTTGCCTGCATGATCGCACAGTCGAAATGTCGAAGCGTGAAGTATGCTTCTGCAGCCTCTCGGGCCTTGACCGCAGCCAATTGTGTGAGGTTGATAATGGGATCGGGACACAAAACTTGAGGGATGGAGTTGCTGGGGATTCTGCTGCGGCCAGTGGCCATCCTATTGCGCTTGAAATTCAAAGAAGAAACCATGGTGTAGAGAGCAGTGAAGGAAATAGTAACAAGGAAACCCTGGTACTTAATAATTATATATCAAAGCAACGAAGAAGGAAACCTAATACTTTGGGGTTTATATCTAGCTTGTAACTTGAGCAACACGCTAAAGCCCTAGAAAAATGGGATTAGCTTGTATAGTTTGGACAAAAGTTTTTCTTCCTTTTGTAATTGGATTAGGATAGAAAAATACGTTTCTTTATTATATACTATTTTCTTGTTGAAAGTGGATTTTCTAATCATTTATAAATTGAAAATATGGCAAATTATATTTTGTAAATGTTGATTAAATATTACAAATTTTCCAAAGTATTCGTTTTTATATTTGGTATTTTCTTCTCTTAATTACAAGATTGAGCATCTCTCATGGGAAAAACAAAAAAGAAAAAGATTTTTTTTATATTATTAGATTTTTTTTAGAAAATTATGGTATCTTTTACTTATTCCAGTCTACCACTTTGCAACAGAAATTATTAGATTTTTTTTTTTAAAGATAAATTATTACTTAATCTTATTCCTATTGATTCATAATTTTCTTGCTTGTTTTCTTCTCATCCGCGTTATGTATACTGGCCATGTCAAGGAAGAAGAGAGGAACAAACACACTTGGAGAGCAAACTGTGGGAGCAGATATTTTCGTCTCCAATTGCAGCGCGCCACGTGAAAAAGAAGATTATATCTTTTAATTAATTAATTGAACCTGTTTATCTGGCCAATTAATTAATTGGGATAAATATCTTAATTAACATGATATTATCTTTATTTAATAAGATAATATCATTAATTAAGACATTATCCTAATAAAGAGAAGATAATGTCATTATCTCAGATATTATCTCTATAAAAAGAGATAATATCATTTAATTAAGATATTATCTCCATAAAAAGAGATAATATCATTAAATCAGATATTATCTCAGTCCGACTCGATCCCTACGAATTTGGGTAGAGAATAAACTCGGCATATTCTCTACGAAACCCTAGCCCCGAGGCTCCTATAAATAGATGACCTCATTCATCATTCAAGGTACATCTAAACCTACTCCTTATACCCGAGAAAAATACCCGAAGCTCTTTCTCCCTCTCCACTCTCCATATTTTCTCCACACGGCTCCGGCCACCACACACGGCTCCGGCCAGCCGGTTCACACCCTACATAAACACTACTCCGTACCCTTTGCTTAGCTATTGTTTTTCTACAAACACTCGAACTAACTTAGGCATCGAAGGGCCTTTGGCCAACACCCCCCGGGTGTGATCTATTTACTCCAATCTGTTTTACAGGAATCGAGGAAGAGAGAGAAGGAATATCAAAGGTTGAAGGATCTAGAAGCGAATATTCTCCCGTGAGATTATTTGCACAAATATTTGGTGCTTTCATTGAGAGCACGAGTTATACTTAACGCGTGCTCAAGGAATCCGTTCCTCCTATTTTCCAATCCATCGAAGCCTTCCAAACAACCATGGTTGGAAGCAAGCGCACGAGGAGTAAAATCGCCGCGATGACTCAATCCGTGACGGCCCAAAGCCACTCCACCCACGATCCCGCGATCGACATGGTGGCACCACCACCTCTCACCACCGTGCCACCTACCGGACCCGCAACCAGACCTAGCAACCTCCGTGGCACTGCCGCCGAACATGGTGAAACCCTCCATCAAGGTGGGCTCGTTACCACCACCGACTTAGGCCCGGACTTGGAGCAACTTCAAGCGTTCCCTCCATTGCCTCCACGCTCAACGCACGCTCTCGGGTACACCTCTAATGAAACCCTAGCCCGTGTGCAATTGGGCTCCACACGCTTCTCTCCTCCCGATCCACAAAGTCAAGCAGATCTCAACATGAGAGTTAACCAGCTAGCTCAGAGAATGGACGACCAAAACGCTCTTATGAGGCAGCTCCTTAATCAAATAAGCGTGGCTCAAAATCTTGGCCTTGGACAACCAGGCGAAGAGAGAAGAATAGACGAATGCACCGGTGGGCAGCTCAACGGGCACCAAGCAGGTCGAGCAGGAGTGAGCAGACAAGGGGATGCACAACCACGTGATCAGCTTGCCGACATGTCGCGAGCATCTGCAAGCCACACACAAAGCAACGTGCGAGAAAGGCTCGGCCCACGACTTAACGTCCGTGCTCGCCTGGGCCCGCAGGGAAATGTACTTCAAAGGCTAGGCTCCTAGGGAGGTCAAGCTGGCAATCACCGCAATGAGGATTGTGAAGAGAGGCGCTCCGCTGCCCACTCGCAGAGAAATATTCACGAAAGGCTAGGCCCCCAAGGAGGTCAACCCGATAACCCTCGCAACGAGGATCGTGAAGAGAGGCGCTCCACTGCCCGCTCTCGGAGAACCAATTCTCGCCGTCAAGCTGCAGAAAATCCCTCTCAAACGCAGTCCACCAACACGCCTCCTAGGCAGCGCAGACAAGATGACCGACCCTCGCGGACCAACGAGGAAGTCAATCAGCGTCGCCCGAATCGCAAAAGTCGCCAATGTGATCGACCAGCAATGTGCGCGGAAGACGTTGAGAAGCTTGTGAATGACCGACTTCGAGACTTGAAGACTGGCGGGAACCTCGAGGATGCACTACGTAAGGAGATGGACCAGGCGATCTCTACTCCTTTCACCCCCGAAGAGATTCTCAACGCATTCGTTTACGCATTTCAAGGGAGATTCTGATCCCGAGAGCCACCTAAAACACTTCAAAAGTGTCACGATCTTCCACAAGGCCGATGACGCACTGATGTGCAAGGCATTTGCAATAACCTTGCAAGGAGCAGCTAAGGATTGGTTCCACACCCTGCCATCCGGGTCGATCAATAGTTTCAAGGAGCTTGCCTATGTCTTCACTAAAGAATACACTTCTTATCAGACTATCAAGAAGAACCCAGATCATCTGTTCAACCTGCGCAAGAAGCCAGACGAATCCATTCAAGATTACATCAAGAGGTTCAAAGCAGAAAAGGCCAACATCGTAGGGTGCGACGACCAGATCGCATCATCTACCTTCAAGAAAGGTCTTCCAGCAGAACACGAGTTATACCGTGAGCTGACTATCACTCCCAACCAGACTTTAGCAGAGGTCTTCACGACTGCAGAATGCTACGTGCTCTGGGATAACGATCGAATTGCTGCGAAGAAGTCCACTGAGCAGGGAGATCGGCCGACCAAGCGGGCGGGCCAAAGAAGCGATGGATTTAGCAACAAGAATAAGGACAAGCGTAGGTCACACCCACAAGGGGACACTAAGGCAGGAGAGAACTACACCAAGTTCACCATCCCTATACATCAAATCCTAGCCCAAGTGAAAAACAAACCTTGGGTAAGAAGACTGCCACCCTTGAAAGAAGATCCAGATAGGAGGCATACTAGCAAATACTGTGCCTTCTATGGGACGCATGGACACACTACGAACAACTACTTCGCTTGGAAAGCACACCTCGAAGAACTCGTGAGGGAAGGTCACTGTACGGAATTCATCGCTAAGCAGGCCATCCAGCAGATAGAGGACCGCTACACCGCCAAGGAGCCGCCCCAAAAGGTCATAAGGATTAACACAATCCTAGCCGACTCCGAGGAATCTGGGCTAACCAGCAAGGAAAAAAAAAGGAAGATCAAACAAGCCACTATGATCTCCCAAGTCTCAACCGACCTTCCGCTAGCAGAAGACGATCCTGTAATCAGCTTCCAAAAGAAAGCTCTAATTGGCCTTGATCTACCACACAATGACGCTCTTGTCATCAGCATTCAAATTGCTCAAGCCATGGTCGACCGAATCCATGCAGACGAGGGCAGTGCAGCCAACATCCTACAATTGACAGTTATCCAACAGATGGGCTTAGAGGCAAAGATCAATAAATCAGCCAAGTCGCTGATTGGCTTCAATGGTCAACAACAGTTACCGTAGGCACGATAGAGCTCGACGTGTACGCCCCACCTGTAATCAGCTCGCAAATGTTCATGGTCATTGATGAAGTCTCACCCCACAATGGCATTCTAGGCAGACCATGGATCAGCAAGATCAACATCATCACCTTCGCCACGCATCAAAAGATTCGCTACCCAATTCCTTAGGGTGGGATCGGCCAAATCAACAGCAATCAGGCAATGGCAAGGAAATGCTCAGCTCAAGGGCTGAAGAAAGGCAAGCAAACACAATTCCTCCTTGTGAATCAAGCAGATCTAAAGGGAGTAGAACAAGCAAAGGAGAAAGAAAATCTCGTTCTTGACGGCCGAGCAGGCCAAAAAGGAAAGGGAATAACTACTCCCCAATAGCAATCAAAGAATCAGGACCAAGTCAAGGGAATCCGTCCGGAGGTCTATCCTGAAGAAGGATGGAAGCCCGAGGAGGACGTTGAGCTAGTACCCCTTGATCCTGACAAGCCAGAGAGAACAGCGCAGATCGGCTCGGGCCTAAGCCAGGAGGAAAAGGCAGAGCTTGTAGCCTTCCTCCAGAACAACAAAGACGTATTTGCATGGTCACCATCTGACATGCCTGGCATCGATCCCCAGATAATATGCCATCGCCTACACGTCAACCCAGCCATCAAGCCTGTAGCACAGAAGAGACGCAACTTCGCCCCCAAGCGGGTCGCCATCATTGAAGCCGAGATAGACAAGCTTCTAGCTGCCGGTTTCATTGAAGAAGTCTCATACGCAGAATGGCTGGCGAACGTTGTTCTAGTAGCAAGGAAAGATAAAGGCCTGCGGAGAGTGTGCGTCGACTTTACTGACCTCAACAAGGCATCTCCTAAAGATAACTTTTCACTGCCGAGAATTGATCAGCTCGTTGATTCAACTTCCGGCAATCAACTGCTAAGCTTCATGGACGCCTACTCCGGCTACAACCAAACCATGATGCATAAAGACAACAAGGCAAAGACCTCTTTCATCATCGAAAGAGGTACCTACTGCTACAAGGTCATGCCCTTTGGGCTGAAGAATGTCGGGGCAACCTACCAAATGCTGGTGAACAAAATTTTCAAGGAGCAAATCGGCAAGACTATGGAGGTCTACGTAGACGACATACTAGTTAAAGCTCCCGAATGAGCAAACCACATCGAGAATCTTGCCGAGGCATTCAGCCTACTCCGAAAATACAACATGAAGTTGAACCCGAGCAAATGCACATTTGTAGTCTCGTCCGGCCGATTCCTTGGATACTTGGTCACCCAAAGAGGAATTGAGGCACATCCAAATCAAATCAAGGCTATACTCAACATGAAGTCACCTGCCACAACAAAAGAGATACAAAGTTTAACGGGTAAGGCGGCAGCTCTCAACCGATTCCTCTCTAGATCTACCGACAAATGCAGACCATTTTTCAAAGCCTTGAAGAAGGGACACAAAGACAAGTGGGATGACGAGTGTGAAGTAGCTTTTCAAACCTTGAAAACTTACCTCACTTCACCTTCATTGCTCTCAAAGCCGATACCAGGTGAAGACTTGTACATCTACATAGTGGTGTCCGACTCAGCTGTCAGCTCAGCTCTCATCCAAGAAGAGCTAGGGGCACAACATTCGGTATTCTACACTTCAAAAGCTCTCCCCAATGCAGAGACTCGCTATCCGAAAATGGAGAAGCTCATTTTTTCGCTTGTGGTTTCTGCGAGAAAGTTAAGGCCATACTATCAGGCACACCGGGTAATTGTCATAACATAATTTCCTTTAAGATCGATCCTTCACAGCCCTTACGCTTCTCAGCGACTCATGAAATGGGCTATCAAACTCAGTTAATACGACCTCCTCTACCGGCCGAAGACTGCTATAAAAGCCCAAGCTTTAGCAGATTTTGTTGTAGAGTTTACTCCGACAGCCGAAGAAGAGAAGATGGTCACGAAAAGCAAGGAAAAGGCGGACGACACCTCCCCCACCGATTCGAACCTACCTAACGACATGTGGCAGTTGCATGTAGACGGAGTATCAAATCACAAAGGAGCGGGAGCAGGAGTCGTCATAATCACCCCAGACGGAGCCTTGTTGGAACAAGCTATCACACTAGGCTTTTCTGCTTCAAACAACAAGGCAAAATATAAGGCACTGCTTGCAGGACTACGCTTAGCGAAAGAACTGTCGATCAAGAGACTGGCCACCTACTCAGACTCCCAACTAATCACGAATCAAACCTCAGGCGAGTACATGGCAAAGCATCCAAGAATGGTCCAGTACCTCGACAAAGTCCAAGGACTTCTGAAAGAATTCCCTACTTTCACCATCCAACAAGTTCCACGGGCATAGAACACTCATGCAGATGCGTTGGCGAGCCTAGGATCAGCACTGGACACCCAGTTCAGACGCTCCATCCCAGTTGAACAACTTGGCCGGCCAAGTATCGAAGAAATAGAGTCGATCGACTCAATGCAAATTGATGAGGACCCCAACTGGCAAGACCCTATCATCGACTACTTAGTGAATGGAAACCTGCCAATGGATAAGTCCGAAGCTAGAAAGGTCCATCAGAAGGTCGCGAGATATTATATGCACGGCAGCAAGCTCATCTGTAGATCATACTCCGGCCCTCATCTCACCTGTATAAAGTACCCTCAAAAACTTGAAGTCCTCTACAAAATTCACGATGGCGAGTGTGGCAACCACTCGGGGGGCAGGTCACTCGCCCAGAAAACTCTGAACGTAGGCTATTTCTGGCCTGCCATGCGCCACGACTCCGCTGAATATGTCAAAAAGTGTGATCATTGCCAACGATACAAGCCGATCCCTAATCTGCCTGCCGAAGTTTACCATCTGCAAAACAGTCCATGGCCATTCATGCAATGGGCCATCGACTTAGTGGGTCCCTTGCCATCGGCGCCCGCCAAGAAAGAAATGATGATCGTCGCCACCGACTACTTTACTAAATGGATCGAGACCGAAGCTCTATCATCTACTAAAGAAGCCGATGTGGAGCGATTCATCTGGAGAAATATCATCTGCCGGTTCGGCTGCCCACAATCGTTGGTCACTGACAATGGCTCACAGTTCATTGGCAAGTAGATCATCGCATTCTTTGCGAAATACAAGATCAAGCAACACCTGTCCACTCCAAGGTATCCACAAGGAAATGGGCAGGCCGAGGCATCCAACAAAGTCATATTAGACTACTTGAAGAAAAGGCTAGAAGGTGCCGAAGGGAAATGGGTGGACGAACTCCCCGGAGTACTATGGGCTTATCACACCACCAAACGAAGGTCGACTGGCGAAACCCCATTTTACCTTGCCTATGGAACTGAAGCGATCATTCCTCCTCACGTCACTGTCCCCTCTATAGGCATTGAAGTCAGCAGTATATAGCAAAACTTCGAGCAGATGAGACTCAACCTTGACTTACTTGAAGGCGAGCGCGAGAATGCCATTGTCCGAGTCGCCTCCTATCAATAGCGGTTGAAGTCCTACTACGACAAAAGAGCCAAGATCAGACAGTTTCAACCTGGCGACCTTGTGCTAAGAAAGGCCTTCATCATTGCACAAAGACAAGGGTCTAAGAAAATAAAACCCAATTGGGAAGGCCCTTATCTGATCAGCGAGTCCGGGGGCAGAGGAAGCTACACGCTGGACACCATGGATGGGAAGGAAATACCACGACAATGGAATGCCTACCATCTCCGAAAGTATTATCCATAATGTTTCCTCCTGTCTGCTAGAAGTTCCAAGTTTTTGTACTCAGTGATTTTCGTTTTCGAATAAAGGACTGTAATCTTATGAATATCAATATAAGTTCAATTTCTCATTCCAAAATGTCTCATTTACCCACAAAACACAACTGTTGCCCATAAGCAGCGTCCTTCGGAAGACGCGGGACAAGGACCAGAAGCGTCCTTCGAGAGACGCAGCCCATAAAAAGCGTCCTAAGGGAGACGCAGGGTGCGCCAGGAATTTCCTAAGGGAGGTATCCAGGTTCCTATCCGTTTCCTAAGGGAGGCAGGATAGTCATACAATTGCCCATAAGGAGCGTCCTGAGGGAGAAGCAGGGCGACGACTAAAAGTGTCCGTTTAGAGACGCAGCCCACTAAAAAAGCGTCCTTAGGGAGACGCAGGGTGCGCCAGGAATTTCTTAAAAGGAGGTCTCCATGCCTCATGCGGGAATTATCCTGGTTCCTATCCGTTTCCTAAGGGAGGCAGGATAGTCATACAATTGCCCATAAGGAGCGTCTTAAGGGAAACGCAGGGCGATGACTAAAAGCGTCCGTTTCGAGACGCAACCCACTAAAAAAGTGTCCTAAGGGAGACGCAGGGTGCGCTAGGAATTTCTTAAAAGGAGGTCTCCATGCCTCCCGCTAGAAGTATCTAGGTTCCTATCTGTTTCCTAAGGGAGGCAGGATAGTCATACAGTTGCCCATAAGCAGCGTCCTTCGGGAGACGCGGGGCGACGACCAAGCCATCCTAAGGGATATGCAGAACACGTCCGGAGCCCCTTAAGGGGGGCCCTGGCACTCGTCAACTTCCTAAGGGGAGCCATCCTAAGAGATATGCAGAGCACACTTCCAACCTCCGCCAACCTCACTTCCAAAGGAATTTGCTACGTCGAATCAACTCCACGCTTGACTGCTCGTGACTCAACAATTGGATCATGACGGTTAGATAGATGAGCAGACCTCCCACATCGACCTCCACTTTTCGACTGGTGTAAACGACCTGAACTTCGGGGAGGAACATCCGCATCTCTTTGTCTTTCAACAGGTGAGCTAGATCGCGCACGGACCACTTCGCGGAGCAGATCATGATCTCCAAGCTATTCAGCAATAGGCTTAAGGGGAGCATCCCTTATGTTGAGCATACCGCCAATCTTCTTACTGTCTGCGCCAACAAGATGCTTGACCTTGGCAGATGAGGCAGGAACAACTCCTACTGGGATCTTCTTAGCAGAAGGGAGCTTTGGCTTCTTCCTCAATGGAGACGCGTTCCTCGCCCGTGAAGAGGTAGCTTGAGTTCTCGGAGACTTGACTTCAGCCTTCCTTTTTTATGGGGGTTCAACAGAGCGTGCCTCTTGTTCAGCAGACAAATCATCAAGGTCCGGACCACTCTGCTACCATCTTTCGACATCCTCGGCAGGGGGCAGACCACCGTCTTCCTCTCGATACTCGCTCAACAGCCAACGCCACTCACGAAACTTTTGGGCGATGTTCAAAGCGCGGCGGACCTTAGCCATGTCAGGCTCAAGCTCCAATTTCTTGCTGATGTCGTCCGCTACAAGCAGAAGACAGAAGTTAGTCACCTACGTTTCAAGAAATTCGAACAAAAAGATAGCAGATAGAAGAAAAAACTGCAAAAAGACGTACAATTGAAATAGGTGAGAGGAACAAGGGGACCATTACCAACATCACCTTCCCACCGTCCGCTAACTTCCAACACATCATCATGCCACACGTGATCTCCCTGACTAAGACTGTCAAACAGCTTGACATTGCAGGTGCGAAGTTAGGCATACTCCTTGAAGCACCTCACTTCAAAAAAAATAGAAGAACTCTCGTACTGTCAGCTCCAACATGAAGAAACGGCTCTGGTTTTCAAAACACATGATCGCCCGGTAGACGTTCGGAGTACACTGACTTGGAGCACACTCCATGGCGCAGAATACCTCCTTGAAAAGCTTTGACAGTGGGAATTTGAAGCCCAAGGAGAAGTAAAAGGGACGGAAGGTGATGATTCTGGCATTCGAATCATTCGCATCCACGCAAGGCATGTTGTCAGTCAAAGGCTTCACCAGCTTGACATGCACGTCGTCAAGAATTGCAGAGACATAAGCAGCCCGCCACCTCTGGAATTGATCTTCATTTGTAACGCAGTGCAGGTTGGCCACAAACCTCTTCTTGTACACCTCGGAACCTCCCCACAAATACAAAGGCACCTGAGAGCTTGAAGCCTTACTACCGTCTCTGGAAGGCATGGTTGGTCAACAAATAACTGCAAGAAGAGAAGAAAAACAAGTTAGAATCCCAAACAAAAGCTGGCAACAAAAAAAAAAAAAAAAAACAAAAAACAAACAAAAACAGGTAGAAAAAGAAAAAATATTAAAGCAGCCCAGCATGAGCAGTCCGTCAGCGCCTCCAGCCCAGCGCGCATGCGGCCCAACTCCAGCCTGGCCCGGTCCTCCAGCTCCTGCGCGCAAGGCTCGCCTACTTGGCGCAGGCCCACGTTGCGCAGCCCAGCGCCTTCTAGCCCAAACGCCAGCAGCGTGGTATGCATGCCCAGCGCAAGCCCTCGACGCGCAAGGCCCAGCGCCTCTCAGCCACTGCTTCGAGCCTAGCTCCTCCACGCACTCTCTTCAAGCCCAGCTCTTGCACCAGGCTTGTATTGCATCAGCTCCAGCCCAGACCAGGTTGCTCCAGGGCACCACATGCTCCATTTGATTCCAGCACGAATTCTCCAGCTTTTGTCAACTATTGCCCACGGATTTGCAGCTCATACTGGACCACCTCCTTGCTGCCAAAAATCAGAAAAAAAAATATATGTGCATATATATTTTCACAAGCTCGACTTACTCCGGATGCATGGCAATTCCTTTCTTCAACAAAGCAATACAAATTCTCTAAGATCTTTCTCAAGCTAGAAGGTAGAGAAGTTAAGTTTGTGATATGAGAAAGAATGAAGAAAAGCCATGTGTTTATACAGGTTGGACAACTCAGGTCAAGGAGGGATCGCAAGCTCATTCCTATTGGGAATCCAACTCCAACAACAGTCAAAAGCCTACACCAATTGGAAATCTGATCTGCAAAGGAGTCCAACTCACATAATAAAGCCCAGACACAGTTGGAGAGCCCGAAAAAAAATATATATATAAATAATTTCATCTCCTACATGCCACACAAGCGCCGTGCAGAAGCTGGGGGGCATTTGTGGGAGCAGATATTTTCGTCTCCAATCGCAACGCGCCACGTGGAAAAGAAGATTATCTCTTTTAATTAATTAATTGAACCAGTTTATCTGGCCAATTAATTAATTGGGATAAATATCTTAATTAACATGATATTATCTTTATTTAATAAGATAATATCATTAATTAAGACATTATCCTAATAAAGAGAAGATAATGTCATTATCTCAGATATTATCTCCATAAAAAGAGATAATATCATTTAATTAAGATATTATCTCCATAAAAAGAGATAATATCATTAAGGGTTCTCAGTCCGACTCAATCCCTACGAATTTGGGTAGAGAATAAACTCAGCATATTCTTTACGAAACCCTAGCCCCGAGGCTCCTATAAATAGATGACCTCATTCATCATTCAAGGTACATCTAAACCTACTCCTTATACCCGAGAAAAATACCCGAAGCTCTTTCTCCCTCTCCACTCTCCATATTTTCTCCACACGGCTCCATCCACCACACACGGCTCCGGCCGCCCAGTTCACACCCTACATAAACACTACTTCGTACTCTTTGCTTAGATATTGTTTTTCTACAAACACTCGAACTAACTTAGGCATCAGAAGGCCTTTGGCCAACACCCCCTGGGTGTGGTCTATTTACTCCAATTTGTTTTACAGGAATCGAGGAAGAGAGAGAAGGAAGATCGAAGGTTGAAGGATCTAGAAGCGAATATTCTCCCGTGAGATTATTTGCACAAACATCCCATACAAGTCAAATTAATCAAACTCCAAGTTTTATTAACCAAGTTTGAGAATATATATATATATATATATTAACCGACTTTTATTCTACTCCTAACTTGTTTTATTGACATATTATATACCATAGACATAAGAATACGGAGCATTGGGGAAGATTCAAAATCAAGTCAACAAAAGGTGTAACTAATAACTAGTACATTCAACAATAAGCACCCCAAAATTCAAGGAGGCAAAGTACAAAACAAGTAGCACACTCCTGGCATACTAATAACATCATAAGAGCATAATGGGCTCCATAAATCACCTCCCTTAGCTACAATTTAGGGAATTGAAAAAACTCACTTCCAATCATGTTCCCTATCCAGCTCCTAAAATAAGGAGACCTTGAGGAACTCCTAAATGTGAGGAGAGAGAAATGACTCCTAGTGGCTCTCTATAATTAAATACTACTATATTTTATTATTATTTTAAACATTTATTTAATGATATCTTTAATTTTATCATTTTTTTTCTGCATTTTATATTTTTGAATCACCTTTCCACGTTGCAAAACACAAGCATATATTTTTAACAATTTTCTCGTTTCTTTTCGCTGTAGTATTTTGCAGTACACTTTTTTAGTTTTCAATTCTTTTTGTTGTAAGTGCTTTGCAAAGCACAAGAAATTTTTAAAAAAAATTCTTTTCGTTGTAGGTATTTTTCAAAACACAAACACTTTTTAATATAATTATTTTCACATGATTTATTGTTTTGACATCCAATTCTTTCAAAGCATAAAACAATAGAATATCAAAATTGAATAACAATCCTTTCAAATTATTAGTAATAATATAAATTCAAATTACTAGTTTCATATTCTCCTGCATGTAGTTGCCACAAGTGTTCAATAAGATCTAATTGAAGTTGGGAATGACCACCTTTTCTTTGATGATCGCCATTTAAATTGTTTTCGTAGTTTTTTATGTGGGAATGTTCATTATTTGAATATGAACATTTTATTGTAAATTAGAAATTAAATTTAAAAAGAAGTAAAGTATTTATGATAAAAAGAAGTAAAGCATTTATGACTCTCCAAATTAGGGATTATGGTTGGAGTTGAATTTTTTAGAGAGCTCCTAAAATAGTTTTTTTGTGTTTTTAGCTAAATTTTAGCTGAAAAATAGGGAGCATGATTGTGAATGCTCTAACAGTTGCCTTTTGGCCCCGGATTTGATTTTTCAATCTAAATAGTTTTCATGTAGAAACCCTTATCTCCTTCGATAGTATTAGAATCAGAGCCGGCCCTTTTGCCAATGGAGGCACCAGATGCCTGCTACTGCGTTGGTTTGGGGTTGGATAAGTGATGACTGTTTGGGGATGGATAAGTTAGATGAGTGTTGGTGGTTGGATAAGTTTAGGGTTGGATAATATTTTGAACCATAAGTTAGATGATTGTTTTGTGATGGGGGTTGGATAATATTTTGTGGAGCTTGAAGCATGAATTAGATGATTGTTTTGCTAACTCGGTGAGACTATGCCTTCAATTTTTGGGTTGCTCTTTTGACCACAAGTTGAGCCTTTTGACAGCCAACATGTACATGATATTAGGCAGGTGTTGTGAATTGCATTTAGATTTTTGACCAGGTTTAGAAGATGAAGATGTACATTGAAATAGATGTTTTTGGTAATATGCATAGGTTTACTTTGTGAATGAATCCAACTGTAATGCTGCAAATTAATGAATTTTTATGTTATACTTATGTACTTGTAACCTATAATGTTAGTATATGTTTTCATGTTTATTATTTTTATTTCACTACAATGTTGGACATTGTTAAAGTGATAATAGTTTATTGCTTTTTATGTACAAACACATATTTATATGATTTTTATGATATCTAGTGGCTCTATATTGTGGCACTAATAAAGTGCTCAAGGGTAGTTGGATAAAACGCTAAGGACCTGTTTGGCATGCTTCACTAAACCTCACTGGATTGGATTGGGTTAAATAGTCCTAAAAACCTATGTTTGGTAAGGGAAAGGATTAAGTTAAATGATATTATATAGTCCAATGGGTAAGAAAAACATTGGACTTGCTTGTCTAATATAGCGAGCCCAAAACTTGGTTCGCTAAATAGCGAGGGTGCTGTTTTGTACACGGAGTCCCACTGAATACCACCACCACCATCAAACACACAAGCCCGAAACATCAAACATACCACTATCACCCCGATGCCACAACCATCAAACCACCACCATCAAACCCATAACCAGCCACTACATACTCGATCGAACCATCACTATCATCACCAGCCACCACATACCCAGCTAAACCACCAACACCACCCAATCGAACCACCACAACCATTAATTAGTGGAACTACATAGAGAGAGAGAGAGAGAGAGAGAGAGAGAGAGAGAGAGAGAGAGAGAGAGAGAGAGAGAGAGAGAGAGGAGGGAAGGAAGAAGAAAAGATAAGGAAAGAATGGGGAGAAGGAAATGAAGAAAAAAAAGAAGGAGCGGCCAGAGAAGACAAGACAAATGAGAGAAGAGTAAGGAAGAAGAAAAATAAAAAGAAATGAGATAGTTTTAGTCTTTCAAAAATATTATAATTTTATTTACTTTTAGGCTAAAATCCTTAATTAAAATTAAATATTAAAAAAAAATTAGTCCGACACAACACCAAACATAAGTCTTCGCTATTTTTACAATCTAGTTTCTTAGTCCGAGGTAACACCAAACATAGGTCAATATTTAATCCAGCTTAATCCAATCCGAGCTAATTCAAGATAGTCCTAGGATTTAATTCGGTCCATAACAGTCCGCTATACCAAACAACCCCTAAATGTATAGGATTTGGAAATCTTCCAATAGGACTTATTTTTTCCTCCTTATTAAATTATTCTTTTTTAATAAAAATATTTATTTTATTTTTAATTTTTGCCAAAATTATTCATTTTTATTGACGTCCCCAAAAATGGTAGTTACAGTGGTTTTAATGTTGCACAGTAAGTACATGTATGCAAGAACATAGGAAAAGTTAATGAAGTTGGAAACATGCGTTAATATGTTTTCTCTTTATATTATTATTATTTTTTAAATTATTGTACTGAGCATGGTTTCAAATTGTGCTTAATTCTTTTTATTTAAATTTTTTTTAAAAACAACTTATAGTATTGTGTACGGTTTCAAATTGTGCTTAGTTTTTTAAAATTATAGATGTAATATATATATATACAGGGAGCTTCAGTTGAGGAATCCCTCACTCTTGTAGGGCCCACTCTGTATTGTATTTCACTAATCCAAACGTCTATTTTGTAGATACTCTTTC